CGATCGTAATGGACACTTGCCTGGTTATGAACTTTAATGTTTTATAACATGTGTTTATAATATCGAATCTGTACTATTGAGCGTGGAGCAAAGCCAGCTACGGTGAGATGGGGTCATATGCTAAGGATGCCGAAGAAAGACTCCCCCGGGAAACGTTCGAAGGATGTCCTCCAGGCATTAGGAACCAGAGACCGGGTGATGCGCCTGGCCGAAGAGAGACCACCGATCTGGGAGCCACGGTTGATGCCACTGGCAGAGAACAGGATGGAAGGCCTTGATGGAGTTGCTGCCCCCGCGACCCGATTTCGGTTCGGAAAAGCAGGCCTATATTGATTGATTTGCTATAACATGTGTAGCGCCATGATAATTGTTTTATTAATCGTGTTAGATACTATAAATGCATAGGTGCTCATGTGAAAAAAAAACACTTCATGGGTGTGCACAACAAATTGTAACAGAACTATGTGGAGATTATTGGCAAATAAGCAAGAAAATAAACCGGTGTTCCTAGTTTAAAACGGGTTTTGTGTGTGAAATTGCTTTCGTCTCCACCCCCTTCTGCACATCACCCTTACAAATAAGTGCTCTTACAGTGGAGAGAGAAATCTAATGCTCAACTCCGTTCTCGATCTAGACCACGTTTTTATTGGTAGGAACCTCGTGGTTACACCAGCCCACAGGGGGGGTTATTGTGTCCGTCAGTCGTGCAGGGAGGGGCTGGGTGGGGAGGGTGGGGAGGTAGGGAGGGGATGGTTGGGAGGGGCTGGGTGGTGAGGGGCTGGGTGGGGAGGGGTGGGGTGGGGCTGGGTGGGGAGGGGCTGGTCACCCCGTGGTGCCCTTATAAAACTCAACGTTTAACCTACTCACGCTGGCTTGTGCCCGCCCTCACAGTCGGGCATATTTGCGGAATACACCACGCCGCCGTTGACCCTGGCCATTGACCGAGCAACCCAACGTTCCTACCAGCTCCCTCCGCAGGAATGTGTTTCCACCATCAGCTGCATGGTCACATCTAGCCCAAATGGCCTGCTAAGAGCGGAAGCTCCAAGACGTAAAGATACAAAAGTTATATTGAGATGAAAGTGAGTTCAACAATAAAGAGACTGCCGTGTGATGTAATAACATCTTTCCATATGACGTGTAATGTGGCGTTTCCTGCCATCACACGGTAATTGTTCACGTCCTCCCAGAAAATATATCCAAACCCTGGCTTAGACAGTGCCATGAGATATGTTCGGTTAACTCGTGTGGGTTCATTACTACTTGCACGTCAGGAATCTCCAGAGCTTACAATGACTTCAAGTTAAAAACATGTTTTATGTTAAATTGGGTACCATCCCTGTAAGAACCCAACTTAAAAATCCTGGCTATGACCCCAGCAAATCCCTTCACCATCTCACAGTTCTCTTATCCCTGGCACTACACACATCACATCGTTTCTTTCAAGGCAAAAGGCCATAGTCTATCAAGGGGTTGTGTTATTTGTATGTTGTGCACATTTTTTTGCAAGGTTTGAAAAACACATTTCTGCTCTGTTAAGCTTTTGAACTTTGATTTGTGGGTTAAGGTCTCTGTGCCCTTGTGGATATCTACACTTGGCCGCATACTGCTGCGATGCTTACTGTGCTTGTCAATGGGTTGTCATGTTTGTTCACGGTGTTCAATTCGTTTCGTTTCAGAAATCCAATACCACATATTATAGGTTTAAACAACTTAATTCTAACTAAGGTACGGGTAAATCAGGTACCACATTCAACCGCAGTGCATTGTGTGCAATTTTGCACCAACAGTACGAAAGGTAAACCCTTTAATGCCTGTGTCATTCATAAGTCTGTAACACTGGGATTTCTTAAGACACTATTATGCTCTGAACACACAAATCCTTTACAGTATTAGCATAATAATAGGGGTCCCCCCTTTTTTCTGGCAACAAAACTGAAACCTTTTTACAAGGAATAATGTGTAAATTAACCAAATACTTGTGGTCAAAATGCAAAAAAAAAACACTGATAATATATGCATTGTCTTTGAAACTGATTGGTCCACACCAAAGACGGCTTTCTTTTGAGCCTCGTCTCAATTGGTGCTAGACCAGAGGATGCCAAAAGGTGTACAGCTCAAAGACAATGCACTATCAAAGTAATGAGGGCTCGGGTAAGCATCTACATCATTAGACCTCCATTGCCAGTACCAACATATAATAATAGGGTTCATATTCAACATTGTCTTGTGCAAAATTGCATTGTTTATCCCTGTAGTATTTGAAAACAAAAATATAATAGTATATTTAAGCCAGGAGTTTGTCTAATTTACCAAGTGCAGCCTTCTCTTATACTGCTTTCCTTCAATGCAAGAATTTGCACTTTGCTCACCCCTAAATTTTCATGTGATCCTAGTGTGAGCTGCCTTGGACTAATGCCCCCAACCAGCTTCACTGAGCAAAACAGCTGTGTGTCGTATACATTATACTTGCAAAAACAACTCGACCTTGCTCCCATGACCCCTGGTTTAATAAAACTCGTTGCTTAAATTAACATTATGTTAGCTTCGGGGGGGGGGGGGATATTTCAATGTATGACAAAAAAAAAATTTTGGTTGATTTCCAACTTAAAATCGTTTTATTGAAATAACATAACAGAAGTGGTATTTTTTCATACAGTTCTGTAATTCCTTGCAAAGTTACAATTCCAGATGGTGTGCAATTGTCTAAGTCTTTGAATTACAAATGTTTATTTTTAATGCAATATTATTGTGCAAGGTAACAACTGTTCTCGCTTGAATTTATCACCTTTATAACTGTCAAATTGGAGGCACTGAATCTAAGCTGCATGTGTACGAGTTATATCTGCAATGCAAGCAGTGCATAGCAGGAATGTGACCATTGCAACTTATTTTTCCATGCTCAAAGAAAACTCCATTGAGGCAGATGGTAATGGTGAATATGTATGTACGTTCACCTCTGCACTGCATGCAGGTGTTGCTTATTTTAATTATTGTTTAAGCCTTGATGGTGAGGGTATGCTGAGCGTTTAATTTGGTAGAGGACGTTTGACCGTGCGCCCAGCACTATGTTTAGCTTTAAGTTACGTACGGAATCTCTAGTCGGCTGTGTGATGGTCTTATGACTTTGTTCCATTGGCTGCATTCTGTGTGAAAGGTAAGTGAGGCTGGTATTGAGGGGGTGGGGGCCGTCTGACTGGAGTAAGAATAACTTTAGGCTGCAGCACAGGGACGGATTGCCGGTTTGCACCTGCAATTCAATGCCCTAAATGACCTTTGTTTCTGTCTGCCCATTGGCATTCTGGGGTAAAGGCCACACAGAGAGCCACCCCATAGCGCAGGGGTCTGCAACCTGTGGCTCCGGAGCCGCATGCGGCTCTTTAAGGACTGCTTCGTGACGTTATTTATTATCGAAAGAAATGGCTTGTTAGTTTGATTCTCGACCCCTGCCATAGAGTAACCTGTAGCTGCAAAAGGGCACGTTCATTTGAAATATTTAACATTGCAGTGTGGCAATTGTGCTGATCTGGCCTGACAATTGATTGCCAGGATTTGAAAAGGCTCTTTGTTAATATTCATGGGTTGAGGTGAAAGGTTCCTCTGGTTCATTAGGGTTCTCGTATCCGGGACATTGCTACATTTAGATTGGTTTTGTTTATATGTTGAAATTGAAGTGTTTGGTTTCTCTCAGAGTTGGTCAACAGATGACTGTTGGATAGAGTTTTATTGGATGTCTGCCTCATGGTTGTATTTGAAAAGAAAATTTCGTGCTCCTGAATTTTATGTTGGAACTGAAGCTGCCAATAGTTAAAACTTTTTTTATTATGCAACTATTTTTTTAAATGGTTACCTTCTCTCTGACTTTGAATAAATTGACTCGTCGCATTTGTTTTGGTCATGTTTAAATGGCCAACAAGATTCCGTATATCGGCTGTGGGTATCGCAGGATATTTTTTGTTTATTCTTTTGTTTATTAAAACCAGCACATTATACCACGTTCAACATTAATTGCAGTCGAATTGTGTTTCAGATTTAGCATGCGATCTTATGCTGAACCCTCACCTTCCAATGCAATAACCAACGTTCTGCAAGTGCAGCCGTAATCAACATTTGCAATATGAATTGTGGTAGAAAGGGCATTTTGTGCGCTGTGCTTTACAACATTATATAAAAACAACTAATACACAACTGTTGACTTTGGCAAAGATGCACCGATTGCTTTTTTGTTCTCTGAAAATGGGCGAATGTGCACATTGTGATTATAAAACTGAAATTAACAAAAAATAAATGAAATTGCTTCATCCTACAGTTCACTTTTTTTTCTCAAAAAATTACACTCAATTCTTGAAATGTCTTAGTTTGCGCATAAGGGTGGTGCTCATCCTGCCCCTGTTCAAGTCGAGGCTCAAAGTCGTTCCTACTGCCTGTCTAAAATAAATTACCACTGTAACCACATTTATCTGTGTCACTGGAACCCCAAATTAATTATATTTCTATTTTTCACCGACAAGATGAGTAACCCAGAAATGATTCGTGCCATTATGTACTTTACACACAGTATGATGCACCCCAGCAGCCACGGCGGATAATAGTGTCTACCGTAATTGGGCTCATGTTGAATGATAGCCAGTGCGCGAGTCCTGACTGCAGGAAACGATTGCGCCCAACTGCTTACCAGAATATTTATTCGTAGTGGAGGAATACGATGAACTATAAAGCTCTTTTTCACAGATGTCGAGTTGGTGGATAAGAACATTACAACAACAAACAATGCAAAAACACGATATTAGTGCAAAGTATACGAAAGGCAAACAAATCGCCCAAAAAATATACAAATGAAATTAAACCATCCCCATCCTACCAGGAAAAGCCCACTCGGGTATTAACTTATTTTTCAGAAGCGACCTGGTCATAATTTATATCTCAACAAAGTGGCTTATCACGTGGAAAATGTATAGCAAAATAATTTAAATAATTTCAATGTTCCGTGTGTACCGCAGGCAAGATGCAGTCTGCTCAGGAGGTGCTGAAGACGTTGCGGGTGCCCGAGCTGGATGAGGTGCGTCAGTACGTGCGCTCGCTGCCGGCGCCGGCGCTCATGGGGCTGGGCGCGCTGGGCACCATGACGGCTTACTGGCTCGCCACGCGACCCCGCGCTCTGTCCGCACCCTGTGACCTCTCAAAGCAGTCTCTACCCGTCAAGGTGAGGTCACCTCCTGCTTCTTACGATTTTTTTTTACCTTCTCCCTCCCACCCCGCCACCCTCCCCTTTTCACAACTTATTTCAATTGTGCTACCGGTGTCGTGTTGTGAAAAGGAAGAATTCATTCCGAAATCTCCACAGTGCAGCTTGCCCCCATGTGTCCAGAACAGGTGGGGGGAAATGTTTTTTTAGGGCTTCTCTTAAAAAGTGATTTGAAGTGGCCTTTTTATTATTTTCACAGTTGTGAGAGGGACCCTCCTGCAAGCTCTACTATGAGATTGCTGCATGACGGTCAGACTAATATGCATAATTCTCAGAGCTGAAATGTCGCCAACTTAAGCACAAAACCAAATTTGATATCATTTTTTGCGCAGTCACTGGTGACCAGATTTAAACCATCAACTCTATTAACACTAGAGAAACCACATTTAATCGTGGGAAGCTGCCCATATTTTAACATATGATCTCAGCAGTGCTAGCTCATCGCTCTGAATTCTGAGAAAAAACAGTCATGGTTGCCTTCGCTAAAGTGCCCATCATCACATGGGTTTGGCAGGGTTGGATTACATTTGTACGCGTGTGGCCAAGTGTGTGCGGAGTTGAAGCTTTTCACCCCCTTGTTTGCATGGGTTTACTTGTTGCCCCAGTTTCCTTCCACACTTGGCCAAACAATCACAAAACTTAAATCTTCTGAAAATACGATGAAGACTAGAGCTGGGACCATGAGTCTGTTATGCTGATTATACGATTGTGAAACATTTGAATTGACTACTTTTTTTGTGGTTGATTATTCAGATCCCTGTAATGGTTGTGGCCACCCGTACAATCCTTCCTACTAGAGGCTAGAGACATGAGAATCAGAATATTTATTTAGACTGGAGAAATTTGATGGGCTATGAAGCTCTTTTCACAGCTGTCCGGTCGGGGCACAGGGTCAGCAAGTTACAACCAAAAAAATCAATAGGGACACCCTGCAGGCCACGCCAAGCGGCCGAGCGTGACACAGCTGAATGTCCATGACGTCACCCAAGCATCTCTTGTTACCTCCCTTCCACCGGCACGAATGGGAATAGAGCCGAGACATTTTTATCCCAACTATTTTCCTCTGGCTTTTTTTTTAGATGGACATACATTCTAAAAAAAGATAATATAAATATTTGGAGTATAGCCAGAAAGTTTGTTTTCAATGTCACAGGGTGCCTCAGTCATTGGCTCCTAATAATACTGAACCTAGTGAGCTGACACTTTTTATACTTGTTTGATAAAAAAAGTTGAACTTAGTTCGTCCTTCAATCATAAAATATGTAAACATCCTTTCCTGCGAGTGAGTCGCTGGGATCCTCTAGAATTTACTATCTATGGTCACAATATTGCACACACATTTAATACATTTTATTTTAACATGGTACAAAATAATGAGTATAATAACCAACAACTGGCAGAAGAATAGCTGTTAGCAAGGGTAATGTTTTTTTAAATTAGTATATCAACAAGGCAATTAATCCAATGTGTTCCAAATAATTGCAGGACACATTTATAAGCCCATGAGTTGTTAACGTGACCAAGAAAGGCATGATTGCTGAGCGCTTAACAAGCAGTCTTCTGTTTACAAGTAGTTTCTTACTTTGCAAGCAGTGTGTATTTTGGCCAAGCAAGCATTTCCCATGCTAGAATGGCTCTTAACAGAATGTGCACCTTTATGTGTGCAAAAGAGCAGGCACACCGTCAACTTTGTGTGAGTGTGCCCCAGGTGTAGCACTGTTATGAGTGGACAGCCTGGGTGAATGGGTTCCTCAAAAAAAACATTGGCGTAAAGCATCATTATGCATGTCCCATGTGGTTCTCTGCCAAGTTATTGCTCGCTAGTCATTAAAAGGGCTTTGCCCTGGTATCCGATAGGTGTGTTCACTTGCCCGTGTTATTAATTAAGTGACTCGCAGTTCAGTAATCCGCTTCGGGAGTAGCCTGGTGAACGTATGAAAAATGCTGCCAGCGAACAATTGCCACAAGCAGTACCGCTTATCCGAGCCCTTGCGTGGCCAAGAAGTGTAACCCCCAGGAACGGAACAGATTCTTCCTATTATCCAAATTTAGCCATTCTTTACCGCTGGTAAAATGAGCCAATTATTTTAGTAAACAAGGGATTATATGGTCGATCCACCATGCCCTCCACATAAAATCAGGTAAGGAAATTTCCAATGGTTTTTGTTCACTTTTGACCTTAGAAACTAAATTTAATAGTGGTCCAGAAAAAAACGTTTTAGATGCATACAATTCTGGTGACGTCCCTTACCACTCCACGACCTCTTACCATTATTTTCCCCTACTCGTCTTCATTGGTAACTTTACCTGTAATACATGCTTTGTCATTGGAGATAATCTATATCAGTGTAAGTGGAAGAAACCTTGGAATAAGGATTAAACCTCTTGACTTTAACTGGTGTTAGCTGCCTTGATTAGTTGGATTGTTTATGGGGGTATTATTCTAGGGCTTGAATTACAAAAACATTAAAATGTTATGTTCTTTAAATTGGATGCATTTGCATCAGACTGTTGTGTGCACATAGTTTTATATATGTTGCATGTACTCTTGTCAATACATCTCATGGCCGTGAAGTTCAGGAACTTTAGACATCTCCTGTTCTCAAATGTTCCTGTTTTCTAAATCGCATTGAGGCACTGCATTTGATATTGGTCAATTATGTGGGTGATGCTTTTATCATTCTGCAGCTCACAAATCATGAGTTTTTTTTGCTTTTTAGATATCCAACTTAAAATGATAAATACTCCTTTGCTCTTAATGCGTGGGCGGCGCATCGATTCCTGTCCTGCTGATATATTTTATAATCATGTTGGTGCAAGCTACTCAACTCGGCACCATGATGTTGACTCTATACCTTTATGTATTTACTGTCATTAATGATTACAATAACTTGTTACCAGGCAGAAATGCTCATTGATGATGGTGAGTGAATGAATTAATATGTTTCTGTGCTTGAGCAAATGATTTAGTACTCAGCAATGTGTGCCAATTCTGTGGAGTATCAAAACGAATGCATTGACAATGATGGCATGCCATGTGACCTGAACTTACGCAGGCACCCATAATAACTCCATGATTTAGGAGAACCACCTACGATGTCCTAGAACATGGTGCTGGCAGTGGTGTATGGCAAACTTTCTGCCGAGCCCTGGGTGATAGGAAATTTCTCTTCGCATGTGTTCGCTGAAACCCTGTCCCCTTGCCAGGGCCTGGAGTACGTGCGCAGGAGTACACTTGTACCAGACGACAATACATTCTTCACGTATTTTTATGAGGATGCCCGCACAGGATATGAAGTATTCCAAAGAGGACTTCGAATGAGCAGTGAGTATCCTGATCTTTTTTGTCTTTGTGTTTTGGTATTTTAAAATGAATGGATGTATCACTACCAATTGTTTCAAAAATGAACTCTTGAACTCATCTGGTCTCCCATCGGAACACGTTTTTATTGTTGTAATTGCCTTCCTTTTCTTTGTTCGATATGTTTTACATGAACTGTAATAGTGAGCTCATTTACTCTTAATAGCAGTGTCTCTGGGTATCCTTATCGACCTCTAAAAACAAGACCCACATCCATTGGCGAGACAGCTGCTGACGTTGTCTAATTCTATTTTTATGGGCAGTGTTTAGCTGCAAAATAATTATCATGGCAAGTAGAGTATTTGTTTTTTTCATGTTAACTTTAGCTCGTGGTGTAATTCACTATTGCAAGCAGTGAAGATCATTAGTCATTACAATCGTCTCACCTGAAGACGATTGCCTGTGTTGCGATCGAAACGTCGTGATCTATTATTTTGTGCCTTTACCCAAAGACCCAAAGAGGGAAATCCTGCAGTCACGAAAGCTTTAAATCAATTGTTACCATATTTGCTTGTTTCGTGTCATCCAAAGGTGGTTCGCAACAAACAAAAAGGAAATTATATATTCAGAAAAAGACATAGGATGGTCATATTTTGGCAACCAATCGTCAAAAGACTGATCAAAGCCGTGACTGTGAACACGAATCTAGGTTGACAATGCCCTACTTCCCCGTTTTAAATATTTTATTTTTCCATATTAGTTCAGATGTTTGTTTTTGCTTTGTAGCCATTTCTGTTATTATAAGCGAAAGGTTGTTGCTGGCCTTGCAATTTCCTGGCAATTGTGACTTTACACTATGAGGACCTCCTTTACCAGTGGCAAAATATAGTAGTAGGTTTTTACCCTTTAAACTGGTACAAAACTGACACCTTTATACAAGGCATCAAGGGATCATGTTTGCAATAACCACAACACAATTAGTCATAATGCAAGCAAAAAGAAACAACTCTGATAATGATAATAATATGCACTGTCCTTGAAGTTGATTGGTCCACACCCGAGACAGCTTTCCTTAGAGCCTAGTCTCCATTGGTGTTGTATGCCTTTTGGTGTCATCTGGTCCAACACCAATGGAGACTAGGCTCTAAGGAAAGCTGTCTCGGGTGTGGACCAATCAACTTCAAGGACAGTGCATATCATTATCAGAGTTGTTTCTTTTTGTTTGCATTTTGACTACTTGTGTTGTGGTTATTGCAAACATGATGCCTTGTATAAAGGTGTCAGTTTTGTACCAGTTTAAAGGGTAAAAACCTACTACTAAATTGTGACTTTGTTGCTTGAAGAGCTGCAGTGCAGCTCAAGCAGAGACCCATGTCAGTGGAACATGTCACCCTGTACTGAAACTGCTTCACCAAATAAAACAAACTGTTCTGAGGCTCATAGCTCGATAATTTGTTCTGTGTTAAAATTCAGTATATATAAAATGACTTGAACTAAGTAACTTTTCACATGTATGTATGTTTAACTTCTTTCGCACCATACGTAGCCAACCGTGCTAATTGGAGGTGCGGGGAAGGACAACAAACTAAATACAAAAAATTTTGAAATTCATTTTCAATCTATATTTAAAAGTGCATAGCTCCAGTGGCTTCTGTATATTGGAAGGACTTCAGTTATAGTATCGTGCATGCTTCATGTCAGAGTGAAAATGAAAGTATGTTGTGCGATTGCGAATGTCGTTGATTTGAGGCTAACAAGATGTATGGCATTTAAAAATAAAAGTTATGACCGTTTTAAAAACAACACGAATATTCTGCATAAAATCATTGTGCCCCAAATTATACAAATGTCACGTTTGCCACAAGCAAGGTGCGTTTATAAATCGTTAATCCCGAAAATATTGTGCTGCTCTTGCAATTTAGATAATGGACCGTGCCTTGGCCACAGGAAACCAAATCATCCCTACGAGTGGATCTCTTACAAAGAGGTGAGAACATCTTGGCGGTGGAACACGGGTTGACTGGTGATCTGGAAAGAGAGCGGTAGGAATCTGGGTAGGAATAATAGAGGGAAGTGGTGTCTGCAGACCTGCTGTCGGTCACAACAAGAAGAGGAAATACAAATATCCATCAAAAATACACGTGTGTGCAGGAGTTCTGTGTAGTGGTAAATTGTGTTTGGAGTAGAGGATTACAGAGATTCGGCAGTGTAATAGCATTGAAGTTTTAGGAGATTATAGATTTCGCCACACGTAGAGGTGTGCATTGGATGTACAAAAGCCTTATCCATTAGCTTACAAGCACTGAATAGAATTGAGAGTGCAGTCAACAATCGGCAGCAGTAAAACAAAGACAAGTTCTCATTATAACTCATGAGTACAGCACGTTCAGCAATGTCCGGCACTGCCACGTGCCTCTTGGAACTCTTAAAACATGGATCATATTGTCACTTGGCTAAAGGAAACAATACTTCAAATATGTAAATGATGAGAGAACCCATCACAACAGCAACATTGTGTGTATTTACGTTGAAGTTATTTCTCATCGTACGTAGCCAACCATACTAATCGGAGGTGCGAAAAGAAAACGGATTTAACGGCACACAAATGTGAGTGTCTCGCTTCAGAATAAATATTTTTACTGGAAGACTCCGATGAGTTATCAAGCTCTTTTTCATAGATGTCAAAGTTGGTTTCCACAGATGTCCAGTTGTGAAAACGTCTCAGACTCATCCAAACCACTGGCTGATGAGAACTGAATCTCGCCATTTTGTCATTTAGACCGGTGTTTCTCAACCTTCTTAATTCCTCTGCGCACTTTCGAAGTTGCTCAATCTTTGCGGCACACTGAACTAACAAATAACTTTCTGGCCTTTTTTAGCTATTTATTTAGCACTTTTCAGAATGCGACTGCCGCGGTGTAATGGTTTAACACGCTGGACTTGAAATAGTGTTTGCCGGTTCAATTTCATCTGTCAGCGCGGCAGTTGAATTGATGGGAAGATTTCTTAAAATGCCCCCCCCTCACGTCCCTTCTGTCTGCTCGTGGCACACCAGTGTCGAAGTACTGGTTTAGACCACCCAACTCAATAAAGTTATGAAAATGTGGCCATCCACACGCAGCATTTCAGCAAAGACGCATTCTCATTAGAACTCATTTCCTATCTCATCAGTTTAGAAATGTTCGCTGCTGCTGCCAATATGCCTCTGGGGAGCCCCCATATGTTGAGAACTTTTACCTTTACACTATGGAGACCTCATTAGCACTTGCTTAAAGGAAGCGACAATTTAAATGTAACTGACAGGAAAACCCATCGCAACAAATAATAAATGCAGGTTGGAAATTAATTGAGCTGAAAGAGATTGAATTGCACGCAAAGGTGTGTATTTCACAAGCTCAAAATAACGGAATATAGCCATTTTGTCATTTATGCCACCAGCTCAAATAGAGTTTAGTAATTGTGGCAATCCCAGCAGGCAGCAGTGATGCCGAGTCATATGGCAGCAGCAAACATTGACTGCTGTACTAATGAGTTGTAATGAGTAAGAAACCTGGTATACAGGAGTCTTCGCTTTACTGCTGCCTGTTGGGATGCCACATTTTCTCAATTCCTTGAGTTGGTGGTCTGCGACAAATTGGCCACACTTTCAGTTCTTTTAAGCTGGTGTTTTGGGTCAGGCTCAGAGCTTAAGTGCATGCGATGCATACCTCTGTGTCGTCAATCTGTCTGTTTCTAGCCTGCATTAATTGTTTCTGTTGTTGATGGGTTTTGTTATTTTACAGAATTGAAATAAGAGATACAAAGGGGGGGGGGTGGCAAAAGTTCTACTGTTGGGGGATCACCAGCTTGGGATGCTTACAATGCAGTTTCATTCAGTGCCATTCTGTTTCTCTTTTTAAAACATGAACTTGTGAAAGTATTCTCAATGCTCACGATAAAATTGGAAGCCCCTTGCCACAACAAGAGAAGTGAAACTAAAATCCACTTGTACTGTACACAGCTTCATACTAAACACAGGTATGGCCGATCACTTCTGCACTCATCTTAGGAGTGAAGCATGTCGCACCCAGCTGCGAATCCCCAACTTCCTTTCTAAAAACACAGATTTTTGCGGCTCATGCCCATGACAGCTGAACTGCCATCAATAGAAAATTCCCCCTGAGCTCATGCTATGCAGTCCCATGGTCACCGACACAAACACATGCCCTGTGTTCACTGTTTTTTTACATCTCTGACGGAAGCTCAGACTTATGCACATTAACTTGGCAGCCACATTCCTGAGTTTGGCCGCATAACTGCAATGTGGTTCAAATATTCATTGACATCTATGGAGCTTGTGTTGAGAGACTGCATATTATTGAATGTTCTTTGCTGCAAACAAATAAATTACACACTTAACTATTATAATTGCTTTGCAGCCATGTAATATTTATGGATTGCATAATTTTAAGAGCTTTAAAACATTCTTATGTTCCATAAGTGCCTCAATATATTATATTTTTTATACACAATGCTAATTGCAACAACATGCTCTCAGTGTCTTATCACAAGGGAGCAAATGCTGAAGTTAAACGGTTGTTGGTGTTTCTATAGATACATAGACGGATTTGACGAGCCGCGCTTGTTAACTTAACACTTCTTGGAACACTATAAATATGAGCACGACATCTGAGCACCAGCCCTTGCACAGTTACTGAATACAACTACACTTCTTTTCTTCGTCAGTTGCTTTTTCTACATTAGTCCCTTCAATTTCCAACATTCTCTGCACCTCCCATTAGCACGGTTGGCTACGTACAGTGCGAAAGAAGAGCTGCATACATGCCCTGTCACATTACTCGCCAGAATCCTTGATACATTACTATATATTTTGCATAGTGTAAACGCAATCGCATCTCAAGATGCTTAAGAATAGTGGGAAGATTTATTTTCGAGGGATGGTCAAGTAGAGCCAGGGGGAGGAAAGGCTGGGTGTGTTTGAACTTGGGCAGGAAGTTTACAGCACAGATGGCTGTGGGAAGGGAGTTCCATGCTATTGCAGCAGCAGAGGATAACATGAAAATTCTCACCGAGCAAAGGTTCCCGGTGGCTTCATTCAAAAGCTTTGTTTTCTGAAATGTAGAGTTCGTGGCAGGGGAATAGTGTGATGAGAGGTGAGGCCTCTCTTCTTCACGAGCCACACAGCAGCATAAGAGCATTGCTTTTAGTGTCTTGAGCGTCTTGTTCGGTTCATAATTTTCTAATTTATGTTTTATAGTGTATTTTTTTTTACCCTCGGAAGACTCATTCATGGGGCGAGCGAGTCTATTTTTTACTGTTAATTTTCTGAGACCAGATGCTGATTTTCTTGCCGGAGGACATACGACTAAACTAATCACTTTTTAATTTACTAGGTAAGGCCCCACTGCGCTATATATCTCTTTTTCAGAAGTGACCTGTCCAGAAATTATAGCCCAAGGAAGTGGCTTATAATGTGGAAATGTATAGCAGCCAGATACTCTAGATATGATGTCTCTGGCTGCCCCTTTTTTCCCCCGAGTACCATAACAAATGTTTGTCCTATTTTGTGTTTCTGTGTTTATTCCGCAGACTTCGGATCGTGCAGAGTATCTGGGGTCGGGGTTCCTGCACCGTGGGGCAAAGCCATCGTCTGAGCAAGTCATCGGGATCTTCTCACAGAATCGGCCTGAGGTGATGGCACTAATCTCTCGGCTCTTCCACAACATGCTCCATGCAATGCTCTTTCAAATTGTCATCGCCAGGCATGGAGCATTGCATCTATTCATCTATTGATGTCGATATTTACACTCGCAATGCATGTATCAAATTGTGCCTGTGTGACTTGATTATGATTTATGCAATTGGTGTACTAAACTAAAATGTATGCCAATATGGCAAACAATTGCAAATCGGACATAAACAACAAGAAACGAATGGTACATTTAATCGATGTTGACACATGGAGCATGCAGGGCTCTAATATTCGATTCGTATATTGTATGCAATTGCTTTACATAATCCTTGCAGCATCTATCTATTCCGCATTCACCACAATGCCAAACATTTTTATTCTTGAATCGAATCCCAACTCCAAATCATGACAGTTCATTGAATCACCAGGGCAGAATCAGTATACGACCAATCGATACGGTAGTGGACATCGGCTTGCACATTCTCCGTGAATTCACAACTTGCTTGCTGAATTGGTCATCTCTAGGTGGGAGTTTAAACAACTGACTTGTCTCCTGCAGTGGATCATTGCGGAGCAAGCCTGCTACACATACTCCTTGGTGGTGGTCCCCCTCTATGATACGTTGGGACGAGAATCCATTGACTACATCATCAGTCAGGGTATGTGCATGCATCTATACACAGGTATTGTATTTTTTTATCAGGTAAGTCCCACTGAGCTATATAGCTCTCTTTCAGAAGTGACCTGGCCACAAATGATTGCTCAATGAAGTGCAAATACTCTAAAAGCATGTTTATAAATATGGAGGGAAAAACAGGAGGACCCGGATCGAAAATAAAATCTACATGTCCACAGGAAGAACATACAAACTCCACATATACAGGCATCACAGTAGGGATCGAACCCATGACCTGTATACCAGGCAAGGTAGTTAACATCTCGCCACCGTGGCGCCCCACAATAATCAGGGTACAACTCATAACCATGGAATAATATCAATGTTTTACGTTGAGAATCTTGAATTGTTTTAGCCCTCGTGGCTCCCCACCCCCCACCCCCCCCAATTGTGTTTATGGTGTTATGTCACAAGATGAAGTATCCATTGAGTTTGTCACAGAGTAGTGTTAGAGAACGGCCCATTGAAGCATGTGACACAGCTACCTCCTGAGAATCGTTCAAGTGACCTCTGGTCCATACAGTATGACCAGCACCCACCTGCCCTGCCTGCCATCGAAAGTAATGTTTTTTGTATGACGGTCAAACCAATATTTTCACTTCTCAGTACGTACTGGAATTTAGCCAATTTGAGTCCAGTACTGTATTTAATGTTTTTTTGTACAGTAATTTGTGACAATAGATAAACTGGTTTAATCACAGGTGAGAATGTAACTGTGTTCCAGAGAATGTAGCAGGGATTTTTAAACCATAAGTTATAGGTGCGTACTGGTTTGGTTAATAAGTATAAATCTATTGCTGTGTGCATATGTATGTATATAATTTTAAAAAGCGTGGGCGTTTGGACAAACGATGAACATTTGCCGTGCATTCTTGAATTTCAGTTATTCAGACCTTTTTTATTTCAACAAAAATTTATTAAACCGACTTCATAATGTGCACCAAGATGCAAGTTTTCATGCCTGATGGGAAAACTTCGAACAAATAGCCATTCGTACCTGGGAAATGTCTTGAAATAGTGGAACATAACAAATGCATGGCACTTCCCACGTCTTTTCTTGTTTTTTAACAACGTGTGCCTTCGTGACTATACACTGTTCCTGCCCATTTTAATGTAAAATTAGCGTACGTAAAATAGTCATTTATGTCCGGATATACTTTTCTCTGGAGACGGTGGATTTCTCAAACTTTACATGCTCCAATATGCCCAGGGCCATTCCATTTCTCAGACTGAAACATTATAATTATAGGACGCAGTTCAGCCGGTTTTACAGAATCTCGTCATTACAACCCTTAACCGCCTACCTTTTCATGTTTACAATCTTCATTCAAAAGTTACAATAATGCGTACTTGGTGATTGCTAAGCGATAGTTCCACGTGACATACAGAGCACTGATTCAAATTAATGTGTGTGTGTGTGTCACACAAGATGCCTCAGTGGGGAGCACCGGTGGTGCAGCTTCCAGTCATCTGAATCTGTTGTTAACCCATAACACCTGGGTCTGGCCCGTGACCTCCTGCCAGAGAGCAAGCCTTAGACACTTCACCTGGTCTCAAAGTGTACTTGGCGTGGCGAAACTAGCATTGCACAGCCGCTGTGGTGTGACATCACGGTCACTTGGTGGCGAATGACAGCGTTACGTTGACTTGGCAATCGCTGAGTCATGTGCGATTATTGTCAATCGTCAGGATTGTGCAGTGTGTAATGACTTAATTTGTATTATAACCGAGAAGATTGGTAAATATGAAAATGTGGACCGGAGTAGATCTGGGCACTGAAGTTTGAAAAACACTGCAGTAACGAGAGATATACTGTTGTGTTTATATTCGGCTCAAGTTTATTTACTAACATGGTGCACGTGGGGCGCACAAACATGAATTGGATGGGTTTGTTTTTCTGCAGCTGCTTGTGCATTGTGACTTGCAATTTGGATATTATTATCAAACCATATTTATACTACAATCTCAAGTCAAGTCCTCTGGCCCATTGTAGAAAATCTAACACTTTTTCTTCTGATTAGATGGTTTAAATGAGCCACTGTTTATTACAATTTGCTGCATTTGTAAAAAAAAATAAGACATGGAGAGTATAATAGTCTAAATATAAGAATAGATTTTACCTTTTCAGGCAATGAAACAGGTGTTAAGATGTTTGAACACCAAACAGAAACCTTTTGCAAGGAATCATGTCTGCATTAATCACATATAATTGTGGTGAACATGCAAACAAAAAACATGCTCTAACAGTATGTGCATTGTCTTTGAAACTGATTGGTCCACACCAGAGACAGCTTTCTTTAGAGCCTAGTCTCAAACAGTGTTAGACCAGAGGACGCCAAAGGGCAAACGGCACAAAGACAGTGCCACTATCAGGGCATTAAGAGCTTGGGGTGAGCAGCTGCTAGGCTCTGACGAAAGCTGTCGCTGGTGTGGACTAATCGGTTTCAAAGACAACGCATATACTACCAGAGCATGTTTTTTGTTTGCATGTTCACCACAAGTATATGTGGTTGATGCAAGCATGATTCCTTGCAAAAGGTTTCAACTTGTTGTTTTAACATCTTAACACCTGTTTTATTGCCAGAAAGGGTGAAACCTTTTCTTATATTCTGATAATGGTGAGAGGTCCCATAATGTAATAGACTTGTCACAGTTGTCCAATACTCTGCTCATTCTTCCAAAACGTATGCTTTATTCCTCCAATTCTGTTGATTGCTGTGTGCACATTGTGGACGTCTGAACATTTAGCGGAGATCTCCACGGTGGTCTGTGACAAGTTGGAGAAGGTGAAGGGCCTGCTGGAGAGCATAGAGGAGGGTGCGATCCGCATCGTCAAAACCATCGTGGTCATGGAGCCCTTCGACGGCGTGATGGAGCAGCGTGCCCGCAATTGCGGAGTCGACTTAATCCTTTTCCGCGAGCTTGAGGTGAGACGTGGCCCAATGTCGCCCATTTGTATACGTACGTTGAGCTTCTTTCGTACCGTACGTAGCCACCCGCGCTAATTGGAGTGCGTGTGTCTCCAGCCCTCACGCGTGTGTTATGGGCCAACACGATGTCATACCAGTTGGCTCGTAGACTTGCTATCTGGTTGTTGAAGCTTTTTATTGGTGTAATGATTGTCAGTTTGATTAGTCGACTAGTCTGATAACGTGACAATAGTCGGTGGGGGGGGGACGAGTCTCACGTGTGCCGCCAGATAGGAGGTAATTATTATTATTGTTTTAATCCGTAATTGCCTTGTCTGCAATGTATGGCTCTTAATTTGTTGCAATGAGTTTGAGTGTGCATGTGTCGTGCGATTTTACATGGGGCGAATAACGTTTGTAAACATGTAACATGTTTTTCAGGTCATTGGAAAGACAAATCACAGAAAGCCAATTGTAAGTACGGTACAAATCTGTATCGCACAGTGGCAAAATATAATTCAAATCAAGAGTAATATGTACGATGTGTTTAGTCAGTTTCGCTGAATGCATTTCTTTGTTTTTCTGCAGCCTCCTCAGCCAGATGATATCGCCATCATTTGTTACACAAGTGGAACGACAGGTGAGCATCCACTTGCGCAAGCTGGCTTGTCATATCCTCTGCACCGTTCCGGTCGTGCATACAGAGAATAGATGTCTAAGCACAGGCAACATCATCGGGACCCACCTCGGGTGGATCTTAAAATGCACGAAGATTATACCACTGCGTTGTGCTTTAAAGCTCTGGGGTGTGTTTTTGGGTTGTTTCTGCGTGTTTGGCATGGTGTATGATGTTTCACTTTCCGTTTAATCTTAGACCAAAAACTTACACCTAACGTCCTGGGAGCAATTAAGTTGCTGTCGAAGCTGTTCCATCGTTTCGCTGCACATGCTGTGGGAGCCTCATGAGAAACTGAAATCATCCCACTTTATCTATGTTGAACTTCTTTCGCAACCGTGCTAATGGGTTGGCTACGTACGTAGGGAAGCGTCGGACATTGTGTCAAACAACACTCTTTTACAACCCGAAAACACGTTGGGAGAGCTGTGCACCGATAAACAGTTGCCGCATCTTTGATGGTTCAGTCGCTGTGTTTGCAAAGTTCAACATGCAGTGAACACCAGTTATTGACCAATAAAATTAAGTGTGGTGTTGCATTGTGTTTTGTGTGGGACATCTGTGAAAAATAACTATATTGCTCGTCTTATTCTTCCAATATTCATAAAGATATATTAATTCGTGGTTAAATTATATTTTTCTTAATCATACCTCCATGTCTTTGTGGAAATTATAATGTGTTTAGCCTAATGGAGCAGCGTTTGTGTAAGCACAGCAAATAGGACCTGGGTTAACTTTTGGATCTCGTCAGCAGAGAGGATTGTTATAACAAGTAATTATAATTGTTTTGTATTTTTATTGTGTTAATGTTAAGTTCAATTGTTTTTAAAGACAGATTAAGGTTTTTTTAATGAAGCATTGAAAGAGATCGAGGGTAATGTTGCTTAAGAAATTAGTGTTTGAAAGTGCCAGTATGGGAAATGCGTTTTGTTGTCATGTACACTGCAGAATTTATGACCACTTTAAAAATTACGTGAGGTACGTATTTGGGGAATAGTTAAATCTATCAACCGTAACGGTTAAGTTGATGCAATGCGCAATGCATTGCCTTTGCTAAGTTGCTGTGGTGACTACAGCAAACTCTCTCATGCCATTTGTTTTTGTTGGGCAGGAAATCCTAAGGGTGCTATGCTAACCCACAAGAACATGATTTCCGACTTCTCTGCTTTCTTGGCCGTTACTAAGGTAACAACACTGCCAAGAAAAGCTTATCGCATACTTACATTGTCTTCAAACCGTATTGTCTGTCGTGTGGAATCCACGCTCGACTCTTTGAGCTGTTTTCTTTGCCGTTTTCTCGCGCCATTGATTTGTTTGAGGTTGGATGTTTCAGCTTTCACGTCTCTCCTGTTTACAACTTGACCCGCCCGATTTAACTTTGAGTTTCATATTCGAGACGGTCGATATGAGCTGGGTACACACCCTTGCGTTCGTTGCACTCGCTGCGTTAATACAGCAGATGGCAATGTTGTGGTTTAGCGAGCCCTGCACTGTTGTGGTGGCGCAGTGGTTTGGCCACTGTGCCGCAGACTGTTACCCCAGTTCATTTCGAGGTCACGCTGACACCTGTGACTCTACTAATCCTGGGCTTCTGCCCCCCCTCCACCACTTCACCCACCCTGCACAGACCAGCGTGGTGAAATTTGGTCGAACAACATCCATTACAGCAGTGGATTGACAAACGGTTATACGTTGTTATATTTTTCATCATAGTTAGTCTTCTTGTGTTGTGAAAGTTTTCAGTCGATTGCACTATTCTAAATTGTTTGTCATGTGCAGTACTCGTGCTGTGTTTTACACTACTCTATGCTACACGGTGTACGCTTGTCGGAATTAGTGCTTATTTAACTAAGTGCAAGCTGGGTAAAACCACATCTGTTTGGTTTGGAGACTAACTTGTTTTAATTTTTTCATTTCACAGGATACGTTTTTACCCAACAAGGACGACGTTTTAATCTCATTCCTCCCACTGGCTCACATGTTTGAAAGGCTTGTTGAGGTAATATAAGTCAACGCTTTTTGTTGACCGGGCTCAATGGTTAACAATTATGAGAGGTTCTTTAATTTTTGCGTCTTGCACCGATTGAGCTTCCCTGTCCAAGTTACCATGCCGCTGGGTACAGTGTGGTATATTCGGTAATAATGTCCTGCCCTTTAACTATCAAACCATCTTAGTGCAAGGTAAAATATTGCCGCTAGATTTTTGTGCAGTTAATTCATAGAGCTCCTCACGTATTATTCAACATGTCTGACGTTTTTCCGAAAGTGTTGGGGTCTTCTTCAAGTGAAAAATAAGTTTCTGAAGGAAAAACATATGGTATGGCCCGAAAACATTTTGGAGAGCTTATACAGCACAATCGGGGAAAACCTACGCAGTTAAGAATTAATGTGTATATATATGTATACATACAGTATTTGGTATATTTTGTTAGCAATGTATTGACGGTCTCTCAATCATCTCTCTGAATACCATATGAGTGCTATTTGATATCCCCATTAGAATTAAGTTTTAGTCAAGTTGCTTTCCAAAGTCTCCATAATTAGGCAAATGCACCTTTTTAAATAACCAAACATTAAGGGTATGTGTGTTTTGTGTGTGTACGTGTTCAGGCCTCCATTTTCTGCAACGGTGGCCGAGTAGGTTTTTATCAGGGTGATATAAGGTTACTCATGGACGATATGAAGGTTCTGCAACCCACCGTCTTCCCTGTCGTACCACGTCTGCTCAACCGAATCTATGACAAAGTAGGTGCATTAGAACGCTACTTAACTTTGCTTCATCGTAACCCTTGCCAGCATGATATATGACATCTAATGGATACCAGGAGTGCCCTTTCTTGGAAATGCTATTCCATGCAGCAGCCTCCTATGCTGATGGATGCTGCCGTGGTTTAATGGTTGGCACACTGGAATTCCAATCGAGAGGTGACCGGTTCGATCTCCCAAGTGTGGCGGTTTAAATGAGTACAGCACAGTCCGTCTATCGGCAGGTTGCGTGTGGTGGGGTAAACGGTGGGTACTCTCACCTGATCAAAAATGTATGACCAGCATTGGCAAAATACTCTCATGGAGGGGCTTTCTCGAATTCCCTCTAGCAGAGAACTTCCTGTCAGCAGTGGCATGACCAGGTAATTGCAAGGCCTCACATTTACCTTTATACTCCCTGTGATTGATCTCTTCAAAATTTGTCCCAGGCTCAAAAATATTTAGTTTATATCTCAGGCGTGATGATCCGACCCTCATGAGTGCAACGGTATAGGGAGGAGTATGACTGCCAATGTTGGATGCTGCAGGTGCTCAGTGGTGCCAAATCGCACTTCAAGCGTTGGCTGCTGGATTTTGCCGTGAGCCGGAAGATGGCCGAGTTGCGCTGCGGCGTCGTGCGAAAGGACAGCATCTGGGACAAGCTCATCTTCCACCGTGTACAGGTGCCCCCTCTGCTGTCCTCATCACGTGTTCGTCTGTTCACCATTGGCTTTGCCATAACCGGGTAGCTGTATAAGGCCAATGGTCTTCCTATTTGTTTTTGCTTAACACATTCGGCAAACAATTATATTATTAACACCGTAGAGCAAGCCCTAAAATAAAAGTGTGATGGCTGTCATCGAAATTATTACTGCTGGGCAGGTCCAGAAAGATGGAACTGAACATGAATGGGTTTGCATATTATTATTTTTAATACCAATTCTGGCTGCACAGCATATTCTGCATTCTAGACAGACGAGGACTTGCATTGGAATTTCGATCAGGTGATTTCTACAGAGTTTCCTCCGTGCATTGTCACACCAGTCATCATCAGGGCCCACCTTGATAAAAAAATAAATGTTTATGTTAACGTATGTTGAACTTCCTTCGCTGTACGTAGCCAACCGTGCTAATCGGAGGTTAACCTGTGGACTTAATCATGAGCCCAATGTAGTTGTTAACCATGTCATAAATAAACATGCTTCTCGTGGGGCGTATTTTCTTGGCTCCAAGTTGCCGAGAAAAAAGCTGCCTTTTGTCGGGTTGACGGCGCCTCGTGTCATGGTCTCTCATGCATGCCTGTTTACCCCTGCGCCGTGCAGGCGAGCATGGGAGGCCGTGTCCGCTTCATGGTCACTGGAGCCGCCCCCATCTCCGCGTCTATCCTCACCTTCCTTCGAGCCATCCTTGGCTGCCAGGTGAGTCTCTCTGCAAAGTCGGTTTTCACGAGAGAATGTTATTGTTTGCCTATGACCAAATCGTCAGGAATATGGCCCGATGTTGTCAAGAGTTGATTCGGGATCCTGTTTGGGTGGCCAACCACCAACACGCATGCCGAGTTGTCACAGGCGGCTGTGGGGTTATGTGGTGGGCAGCAGGGGGCAGTGCATCGAAATGTGTTGCTATATCCATTGTAATGTGTACGCCTACATTAACACCCCCCCCCCCCCTGGCATTCACCAGTTTGGCTCCCAAGCGACGACATCACATTTATCCCGCTATTTAAGACCGAAACAGGAGGATTTCTCCACAACTGGCAGTCGCCTGATGATGCTGTTGTAATTACTGGCGAAAACGTCATACTCGAATTGTAAATGTTGTGGCTTTACTCTACAACAGCGGTGTGCTGTACTAGTAACGAATTGGCATGTTTGGTTTTACGTGACAAACCTTACTAATTGGCTGTGTCGGTGGTGGCGGGTTTAACAACACATTTATATTTAGACGATCTAACCCAAAAACCTCATGTTGCTATCTTGTGTGTCTATGCTATGGCCCGCCTTCACCAACCGTATTGTGAAGTATGGTCAAGTAAACCTCCATGGCATTGGGAGGCCGTCGTTCACGTTGTGTCAATATATTGCTGCTTAGCCTTAACTTATCACTGGAAAGCTTTTACATGATAAATACAATTACATAATTTGTGTTTACAATAGAAATAAAAAAACTTTTCAAAGGACCTTTTGCTTTTTTTAAATAAAATATTGCCCAACATGCCTAATTAAAGGTGTAGCATTTTTCTTGGGTTGACTCGTGCATTAAAAATGGTTTCCGTGGACGTGATTGTAGTGTTGTTAGGTAAGAAAACGCGACTATGTGCTTATTCAGGACGAATAAATGGTCTTCTCTTATTACTGGAACATCTAGAATTTCACACCAGTTACATTTAACAATGCACGTTGATTGTTGAGGTATTACAACGTTTTAAAAGGAATCATAATTCACCTCTAGAAAGTGCCGATTAAATGGCATGCATTATTGAATATGTAACGTGACACTCGACATGTATTTGGAAAGCTTTTTTTTGGTTTTTATATATTTCTCGGCTTTAAATTTTTGTAATTATTGCTGTCTTCAGTGCAAAACGTGGACTTTTACAGGCCATTAGAGTTTACACGCTCCACTGCAAACATGAGTTCCTCGTTGAACATGTTCTCTTGTAAAAGAACACAATTTCTGTAAAGTATATTTCATGTAACAATTACATAATTTTTCTTCGTTGAAAAAAAATCGATATTGCAAAGGAGCCACGTGATTTACATGAAAAAAATGGAAATTATAAATAAGCATGAGAAAATATGCAACACTGAAATTCACATTGTATTCATTTTAATTGTGTATTGATACCGATTTTTGACTTTACTTTGTTCTTGTAGTAATAGGATGAGTATGCGGTGATGGTGGGGAGGATGTTGGACTGTTTGTGTTGGAATTGTTAAAGTCCTGCCCTGTGGTCATAGAAGTGGAACGAATGATGGGTGGGTGGAAGAGAGCAGCACTTTATAATGGACCTCGTCCACCCTTTCCTCTGCCTTTCACACCACACAGGTGTACGAGGGCTTTGGGCAGACCGAGTGTACAGCTGGGTGCACCTTCACCATGCCCAGCGACAGCACCGCGGGTAACTCTCCCTGGGTCTGGGCTCCGCTCGTGGCTCGCGCACTTTTTGTGTGAATTTTTGTTCCAGCTGCTAGAGTTTATAGCTCCAGGTTTCCACGTGTGGACTGAGGCATGCACGGGGATGTTGGATGAATATAGAATGTTGGGGGAGGGGGAGGGCAGTGTGAAGCGCCAGCACTTGCTAAGCTCTTGTAAGGATTACCTTTAATCTCCCTTGTTCTCACAGTGCTACTGAAACGAGCTGTGATGAAAGCAATTTAAAATTGTTGCAACAAAGGAGCATACTGGTTTAGTTTAATCAGAAATTATTTATTTGTTTTTAGTGTTATACGCTTGGAATATGCATTTTAAACCTGCTTTAGCTGTAGTTATAAGCACGTAATAAGTCAGTTATGTTCAATATACATGCACTGAATTGTGCATGGTATAATTGATTAGTTATCGTTTACACTAATGATATATAGGTTGATTCAGCAAAGAGAGGGGGAAAAATAAACAATATAATTGAAATGGAAAAATATGCTTTCTTGAATTGATTATTGACCCTGAAATTGTGACGTTTATGTGATCTAATGATTGGGGTCATGAATCTAAGCAATCTCTCATCATGCTTTAGAGTTCATTTACTCCAGATGAATGATAAATACGCATTACAGGTTCATGTATTTTTTATGGATAACTAGCCTTTTGCCCGTCCAAGGACGGGTGTATTTCAGTAAATCTGAAACTTGCAAGCGAAAAGCAGACCATGACGTGATATTCATTGCGTCAATTCGTGTGCAGTTTGTTAGACCGCGGTGACACAGACTTATTTCATTTGAAGGTAATAATCACTTGTTCATCATGACGTCCTTTTTACTTTGATGTCTCAATAGCGATACGGAGATCGCGTGACGTGAGGGTTCTGCCTTTGTAGTGAGGGTTGTAAGTTGACGCCGAGAAGGGGGGAGGAGGCGCCTCGGCCCCCCAAGTGGAGTGACGTCAGCCGCTAATTATTATGAATGGAGGGGGGGGGGTGTCCATTTGGAGGACGTCACCTTATAATGATTATTAATGAGGGGGGCTGTTCGATGTGGAGTGACGTCCCCTGCTCATGATCATTAATGAGGGGGGAGGGTGCTCCATGTGGAGTGATGTCACCTGCTCATGATTATTAATGAGGGGGGGCTGGTTGACGTGGAGTGACGTCACGCGCGTTGCACACAGACATTCTTGGCTTATTATAGTAGGTAATAATGGGGGGGGGGGGGGGTGTCCATTTGGAGGACGTCACTTGCTCATGAATATTAATGAGGGGGGCTGGTCGATGTGGAGTGACGTCATGAGCGTTAAGGACGGACATTCCTGGGTGATTATAGTAGGTATGCCCACAATCAGATGCCATCTCATAGTATGGTGGTTGGTGGCTGGAATAAGACGCTGGATGGAAGTGGTCACTTTTCCCGTGTGCGTTTGCGAATGGCTTACCAGACGCACTCCTGCTTTTTAGTAATCAAGGGTTTAACCAGGGCCCCACTCACGACCTTATTATGGGTGCAATTGCCCTCCTTGAGGATCATCAATTTGGAGGACGTCAGTTAGTGTACTACACCAGGGGTCCAAACCTCTCAAGTAAGAGCTCCTTTAGCCGTTATTTTCACAGATCAGTAATAGATTGTTTGGAATTTGTTACGTACCTTTTTTTTGTATATGGCCCCTGTTTTAAGGCATGGTTGATGACTTTGTATGAATCCAGCATTTAGGCCACTGGCATTTGTTCTTTTTTTCATAAATATTGTATAAATCCAACTCGGCCTTCCACTGCATTTGGCACTGAAACTGCAGTGTTTTATCTGCCGGTGTCTTGCAGGTCACGTGGGACCTCCGATGCCGTGTAACCACATCAAGGTGGTGGATGTAGCAGACATGAACTACTTTGCTGCCAACGGAGAGGGAGAGGTAAGACTGTGTGCATAATCTCATGAATGTAATTTCACGTGTCCATGCATGCCACTTTTGTAAACTTGGCTTACATATAGAGAACTGCCAGAATTTTCAAAGGTTACAATTGTGATGTTTTATTAATATGATTATGAAACTTTACACGATATATTTTTGGTTAGATTTCCTTTCATATTTCATCGTTTTGAGTCCACGTTGTACGAGAACCATTTGATGAAGAACGACGTGGCTAGTCGTCGTTCCAGTTTTTAAGTGGGGTGACTGTTTTGGGTTTTCATGTGGTATGTTGTTTACCTAGGTGAGAAATCAAGAGACGAATGAATGTTTCGTTTGAAAGAGCGATCTGGCTTGCCAAAGTGACAAGCAATCGCATTAAAATGAGTACAACAACAATGAGGCAAATATAAATCCGCTAACGTAACCAAATAGAAATGGGACAAAAAATTACTACGTAGCAGAAAAACGGTGCACAGCTATAAACAACAAATTTTGCATTGTACATATTAAACAAAAACTATTCATAGTAAAATGAAGTTGTAGAAACATGAAAATATACTTACGGTGATTTGTGTGTGCGTGTGCAGGTGTGTGTTTATGGCACAAATGTGTTCAAGGGTTACCTGAAGGACCCGACGCGGACAGCTGAGGCTCTGGATGAGGATGGCTGGCTCCACACGGGCGACATCGGCAAGTGGCTGCCTGTGAGTTCTGCCCCTTTCACACATGCCTAATACGGGCACTGTAATAGCACGATAATAGAAAATAGTAATTTACAGGCTTTTGTCAATATACCGCTGGATAAAAGCGTGTTAATAGTTCATGTAACAATTCAACCCTCCCAAGTGAATCAATGAAATCTCTGGAAAGTTATAGTTGCAATTTTATAATAAAAAAGTGACCTATTTTGTTTACCTGGTAAAGACCACTTGGCTATTGGTGCTTTTTCAGAGGTAATCTGGTCCCACATGATAGCTGATCAAAGTAGCTTGTATGTTGGAATTTGTAGGAGCCAAGTAATGTAAACGCGTGTTTCTAAATGTGGAGGGTAAAAACCGAGGACCTGGAGAAAACACCACACGACCACAGGTAGCAAGAACATGCAAACTCCACAAACTACTGCATATCGGACGAGTGGAAATGACATTTCACCACCGATAAAAAAAGTTTTCTCTTTTTCTCTCTTACCATCGTGTTGTTTCATGTTTTCATTTGTGTAAACGTACTCTATTCTTAAACAGTCTATGCTTTTTTTGTGAGCATTCATTATGCATACTAATAATTATTGTGTATTAATAATGCATAATGATAAACGGTGCTTGAAAAATTCATTGCTACTACTGACATCAACATAAAGTTATACAATACCATTTTTCACTTTGAAAATTAATACCAGTATAACAAAACTCATGGCTAGAATGATGGAGCAGTGGTTAGCGCAATGCACCGTGTATCTGGCGACCTGTTCGATTCCCGGCCACGGCTAACATAGGTGAGATATGACTGACACGGCATGCGGAAGCCCTCATCTCGCTTCCCGATACTTGCTGTTTATATCATGCCTATATAACCATGCTTGTAACTAAGAGCTATACCGTGTGCCGTTGCAGGACGCCCTTGAAATAGAGCCTGACAGCTCATTGGGCCCTTCCTGCTGAAATATATAAATGCACAAATAAAAATCCATGCTGTTGACTTCTTGCCCCTGTTCAAGTCTAGGACATTCATGTTTTTCCTCTGCCTATGATTAATTGCCTTTGTCCATAAGATAAATCCGTTTCGACATAGCATCTTCAGATGTGGTCACATGTAGATGCTAAAAAAATATAGCATCATATCCAGTAGTGGTTTGAAGATTATTATTATTAAAAATAACACTCGGACATCTGCTTGCGTTATAGTGCTAGCAGCAAGGTGAACGACAACAAACTAAAAATGCATTTACTCGCTCACCTTGCCATGCTTCGGACCTGTGTGTTTGTTTGTTAGAATGGAACACTGAAGATTGTTGACCGGAAGAAGCACATCTTCAAGCTGTCGCAGGGAGAGTACATCGCCCCAGAGAAGATTGAGACGGTGTACGTGCGCAGTGAGCCCGTGGCCCAGGTGTTCGTGCACGGAGACAGCCTGCAGGTAAACAGCTCCGCCATTGAATTGTGCAAGCAATGTGTGTTTAGTCGGTACAGTTTATAGCACTATTCTAAAGCTGTTAAGTGAAGGATCATGTTAAAACGTGTAAATTGTGTTAAATATTATATAACTTACAAAAAATTAACGACCCATGTATATCTCGCATATAGGATGGAGCGATGGTGCACTGGTTACCGCACTATGCTCTGAATCCGGGACCTGTTCACAAACATTCGTGATGAGTGATATCTGGACCGGTCCTGTTTGCTATGGGCTTTCACATTTTGTCCCATAGGCAGCGGTTTGGAAAATAATCTCATGTGACCACTGTGTGGTGTTGGCAAAGGAGCAGTTGGTGGCCTTGTAATGAGACAAAGCACTTTTGTAAGCACACACTGTCCCACTGATTGCAACGGAACTATAAACAATGGGCGTTCCCATTTTAGTTCTTGAGTGCAAAGAATCGTTTCAGGAAAGCATCAGGTTTTTTGGCTTTACTCAAATTGAAAGACGAAGCCTTTTTACTTATGTAAATTTTGAGACTTGTGTAAAAATTGCAACAAAGCATAATTACGCATACAATCGATCGTGTACATGCTCGGCGTTACGCAAACCGTGCAAATGCGTTGCGCTGGCTCGCCACCAATGCCCTTCTTGGCAGGTATTTGATATTGATGCAAGCTGATGTTCTTGGTTGCTCAGTCTTGCCTGGTGTGCATCGTGGTGCCGGACATGGATGTTCTGCCAAGCTGGGTGCAGAAACGAGGCATCAAGTGTAACCCAAACTCTCTGTTCATAAACAAGGTGAATGCCCCTAACTCTTGCAGCAGCTTTGCTAGGGAGCGCACTAGTCTTTGAATCGAGGAAACTTAACTTTTGTAAGTTTAACAGCTATTATAAAATATCAGTGAAAGTTTAGTGCGCCAATTGTCACGTGTTTTGTTGCAGTGGCCTTAACGCAGTCGGTAATAAAAGTGTAATTTTCACGGCAGGATGTCCGTGCAGCCATCCTTCACGACATGGTGCGTCTGGGCAAGGAGGCTGGGCTCAAGTCGTTTGAGCAGGTAACATACAACACCAGTCGTCAGGCAACCCTACGCGAACAGAAATTTCATAATATGTAAAATCTCCAAATTAGACTGAACAGATCGTTTGGGGAAAGTGCTGTTCACCTATTCTTGGGTCTTTCTGTAAAGTCACATAGATAGGTTCAAAGAAAAATAACAAAAAACTACGACGTTTCGATCGCAACACAAGCGGTCGTCTTCAGGAAAATGGGGGTTAGCTTCCAAGGCAAACCGTTTATAAGGGTTTGAAATGGGCGTAGCCCAAATGTCAGCAGCCAATGATAATGTAAGTGGGGGACAGCCAACCTGACGGTGGTTGGTTTTCCACCAATAAAAGGGCTGCCAGGTGAAAATGAGCATGTTAAAGAGAGATTAGCATACTCTTTGGCTCTTTCGTTAAAGTCACGTAGGTAGAAATAAAACAAAATAAATCACGACGTTTAGAACGCAACACAAGCGCCCGGCTTCAGGTGAAAATCGCGATAGCCGCGATGTCAGCTGCTCGATCGGATCATTGGGATTTATTAGTAATAAATCGGCATTTTGCGACCGCCACTGCCACTGTAGCATATTATTACGTGCCAGGGACACTGAGATGATATGACAATAGTCTGAGTCCATAATTGGCAATAAGTAACGGCAAAGCAGTTATAAGTGACTCACAGAATTGTACACAATTGCTTATCAAATATTTTGTCACTTGTGGCATAGTTGGTGACAAGATATTTTAGAAAAACACTACTTGGCTGAACCGAAAAACATGGACTACACTTGATTTAATCACGTAATACAATTTTGCACTGATGTCGATTCACATTTGGAAATTCGGCTACAATTCCATACATTTATGGGAGGGGGGTCTTTTAATCAATGTAAAAGCAGAAAGCATGTGCTTGTGTAAGAATATGATAGGAACTGCATGTGCATATCTGTAAAGTTAAGCTCAGCCTTCCAGAGGGCATTGGTACCTTTTGAGTTGGGGGAGTTGTATAGGTTTTTTTTAATCCTGGCCTAATCCCTTGGGAAATGTTGGTGGTATCCGTTATTTATTCTACCACAAGCGATCTGGAAATGTATTTCTTTGACAATTGGATAAATTGTGACAACTATAGTTTGCTTGAAGGTAAATTTGCTTTGGTGAACCTTATCTGAATCTAAGTGTGAGTGTCATGTTTTGCATGTGATGTTGTGCTTGCAGGTACGAGCTGTCCACCTGCACTCAGACCTGTTTAGCATTGAGAACGGGCTTCTGACACCGACGTTCAAAGTGAAACGGGCCGAGGTATCCAAGTTCTTTCATTCAGAAATAGACAACCTGTACGCTGGCATTACTGTATGAGCTCTGGCAGACGAAGAAACGTCGTCTCCTTCAGGCATTTGTTGAAGGGCCTGTTGTGAAGGTGGCTAAGAAGTAAAAAAATCAAGCCTTGTTTTTGACATTGTGCAAAATCTTCAAGTTGAGTTTCCAATACAATGTAACCTTGTAAAACACAAAACTGTCACGCTATGGATGCTATTGATTCGATCGACGAGGGGGTGGAGAATGTATAATTTTTATACGTGTGTACATATTTTCTACAGCTTATTGTGTTGGGAAACCCTTAAGATCAAAAAATGTAACAAAGGTATGTACGCAGCTCACCAGCAACAATAGATGTTTTTTGCAGATGGTTCCTTGAAAGATAAACAACTGGGAATTATTTCAGGAGAGTACATTTTACAAAACACTAACCAGTGGGATAGACACAAGGCACTGTGTTAAAGGCAGGAGGACTGCTTTGATTTTCCTTTCATTGTAATGGTCCACAACATGGGAGACTGCATTGCTCGCTATTTTGCTACCTCTGTCTTGCGAGACACTGATTTGCTAACATAGAATATGTTATTTAAAATAAAATGACGAATCTTGTGTACAGGGTATATAGGAATGTGTAGAGGAGACATGCTATCCCATGGACCATGTTTCTCAAGGGCTGCTGTGAAAGTGTATTCTTCCAAACAAAGTACTATTGAGGAAGAATGGTGGAAATCGGTTTATCAATTTACTCATAACAAAACCATATGTAGAGGTGTCATTTCATGTCTAGCTACAGTAAATTGTACACGATTCTCATTCTACATGCATTTGTTGTGGATTTTAGGAGAGAATACAGGCTTTGAGGGGTTGTGGCATGGTTGGCAACAAAAGAACAATTATAATTCTGTGCGAGCGTGACGGGAAGTTGAGCAGTTGGCACTAAGCAGTGTAGCCCTGCCAATTAAGACTCGTAAAGTAACACTTTAAATCTCACAGCTGGTGAAAAAGCAAGAATTATAAAAATTCTGTAAATGTTTCTCCTCCCCCTTGTTTGAAATGCTGTCAGATGTTGAATACCTTTTTAATACTGGCCAATGGACTTTGAGCAATTAAGTAATGATTAAATTTTTATTTAAAGCTTTCGTGACTGCAGGGATTTCATCTTCTTGGTTCTTTCGGTAAAGTCACGTAAAAGGGAAGTAATAAATTTTTTTTTATTATGTTTTATTATTTTATTACTTCCCTTCTACGTGACTTTACCGAAAGAACCAAGAAGATAAGTAATGATTGTATTTTTTTCTGTGGGTGACAAATACAGGTAAAAGCTGTAAAGCTTTGGTTATGAACTGTGGCCGATTTACTTTTCACTTTATGCAATGCATATTAGTGTTAAAGCAACACTGTCAAGGGCATTAATAATAATCAGAAAAAATGTGTGCGTCATATAACTTGCGAAAAGGAATTAAACGTCTAAAGTTTACATGCCAAATCTAACGGGAGGGGGGGGGAAGATGTTTACACAAGTCTGCTGCATTGCCGCATTAAGGGTTGTTTTTGAAAATGTATTTATTTTCACCAACCTGACGTGTAGCTGATTTGTGCCAAAACATGGGTTAGACCTTTAGACCTGGCATAGTGTTACATGAGCACATAAGTATTGAAGTGAGATTTTAATAATAAATGTGCAAAAGTCAAAAAGCTTCTGAAAAAAAACCCCCACTTTTCCTCTTCTGACATGAGATGCAGTGGCATTTATATGCTGTATAACTGCAAACTATTTGTTGCTGGCCTCAAAACAGCAGGTGAAATTATTCTACCTTCTCCCGTATGCCATGCACATAAGTGTTTCGTGTAATGCTGTGGGTGATGTTTGTTTTAAAGGCTTAAAAAATGGATTGGAGTTTTATGATGAAATGCTTTAAAAAATTTAATTGTACTGTGTATACAACTACTGTGCATAGTTATCACTATGTGCGCTTTAAATTATGCAACTACTGTATTACACATCTGTCTTGTGAAAGTATAATCTTATTTCATTTTTAATTATAGCCATATAATTATACAAATTTTAAACAAATGTTCAATCAACTGTGAGATAAAAGGATCAACATGCCATGTGGCTCTGAGATATTGTTTGACCATACTTACCCATACTGGTCAATGCGGGTTTGTGAATGGGGCTTTTCAAGACCGGTTCATATATATTAATCACCCCTGATGTTAGCCGTGTCTGGGAATGGAACTCAGGTTACCAGTTGTATAGTGCATTGTGCAAACGAGCACGCCACTGCTCCACCCCAACATTATTACCATGTCTGTAATAAAAATGTGCGAGTATGCAATGTTGAATGTAAGACTACGTTATGGGAATTGTATCTTTGTTACGGAACACACAGTCGTATCTGGTCTCTTGGCATATGGCATTATGCAAAGTGGATTATACAAGCCTCAGCTGGGTATTTTTGGGACTAGCTTATTTGGTTTTAACGTAATTGTTAGGCGGGTTACAATCTGCTGTACAAAATCCTAAGTAGAATTGTGCCCGCAAAATGAACGTGTGAATCGTTGAGAGAGGACTTAAACAAGTGCGAGTCTTAACATGAAGCTAGATTCCCACCTATCCACTCAAATTAAACAGCCATGTCGGACTGCATTGAGTTTGCACCAGACTTAAGTATATATGATGACTTATTTTTTCCCTAGTCCATACCTTTTGTTGCCACCAAAAAAATAGAACTCTTGTGTTGCCTCATCAGTCAATGCATGCTATCTTACTAAATACGAAAGAGCAACTGACATTGAATAGATCGTGTAGGTCGGAATCCATTATAATTTGTCATAAGTCGTGTGACTTTTGTCAAATCTCTTGAACTATTAGGGATAAGGATCCACTTTAATTGTGACCTCATATTTTACGTCCCTGTCATACCATCCCCAAATACATGGCATGAAGCCATTTTTTCATTGTGTGTGTATGCCGCTTTACTCTTTGCATTAGTTGTGAATAATTCTTGCAAAACTTAAATTACTGATGTTTCTTGGATTATCTGTATTTTAAATATGGTACTTAATATACCAACATGTAATTGCCATTTTGTCTAAATAAAAAACACAGTTTTGGCTACATCTGCTACAATACAGTGCTCAATTGAAATGCATTGTACTGTATATAATTTGATTAGAGCGTTTTGTAATTGATAGTCATCATGAATTATTGAATGGTCTCGATACACAACTCTTGTTTTAATTATTTGTGCATTAGCATTGTCAAACATGAATAGGCTTGTTAGCATTTCATATTATTCACACTTGGCTTGTATGTGTTCTTTTCCCCCCTTTAGAAGTTTAGTGTGAGTGTAATATTGATACCTTGTAATTATTTTATTGGTGCCTAGACATTTCATGATATATTTGTAGTCGAGTTCACATCAATTTTGCTTATAGCAAAACACCAAAAAGAGATTTGTTGACTCTGTAATTTACAATATTGACAGTCATCTGTCCTGACAAATAAGATTGTTCTCAAGTGTTGAAATCCACTGCTTTGGATTTATTGCAAGTGCATTTTCTGAAATATTTTAAGATGTTTATATAAACAACTTTTAAATCTGGTATTCACGTGACGCAAGAGATGGATTTAAATGTCATGAAGATGTACCTGGTATTCATTGTACAGTCGTACAATAAGCACAGTTATGCCTTAATCAGATGAACTTGTGAAACTTTGCAAAGAGCTGTGATATGTACAATTATCAATGTTTGAACTTGAATAAAATGTTCAGGGTGTGCTACACGTTCTTGTATCCACCGTGTCTTAATGATTTTTAAGCGTTCTTGGTTTGAGATGCACCTCACAAGTGTGATTTAGTGCGATGGCTTTTGATTTATAGCCATATGTCAATCCACTGCTGGATGAAGACCCCTCCATGTCATATTCAAAAACTCTGTTTCGATCGCAACACAAGTGGTCGTCTTCAAAACGTCGTAGTGTTTTGTTTTTTTCTTTGAACCTATCTACGTGACTTTACCGAAAGACCCAAGAATATTAATTCTTGCAGTCACGAAAGCTTTAAGTCAAGATCCCTCTGTCAGTCATGAGAATTTCACCATATTCCACTGTCTGTTTGACACGTAGGCTTTCACGACCAATATTCATAAAGGCGTTTGGGTTAGCGTCACCACCCGACACAGCCAACCAGTAAAGTTTGTCACCTAAACATAACGTGCCAATTAGTTACTACTTCAGCCCACTGGTGTGAGTAAATCCACAACATTTACCATTTGAGTACTATGTTTCGCTGGTAATTGCATCCAGCATCATCGGGCGGTTTAACAGTGAAACGTAGTACAGTACTCATTTAAAAGGTGGATTTACTCTACAAAACCGGTCGGCTGAAGTAACTAATTGGCACGTTGTGTTTACGTGACAAACCTTACTTGGTTAGCTTTGTTGGGTGGTGGTGGGTTTTGACACTTATATTTACGCGGTCTAACCCAAAAACCTTTTTATTTAGAATATTTCACCGTGTTGGTCAGTGCAGGTGTGTAGCGTTGTGCTGGACTGGTTCAGCTATCATACCACTAATGTTAGCCGAAGTTGGGAATCAAACTCAAGTGTGCTAGCCACTCTGCCACCACTCCTACTCTAGAGAAGATAATATGCTAAAAACTTGCAAAACAAAAAACCTGTCCTAGGAATCGTGTAAATAAAAGGAGCCTGCTCAGTGGAGTGCTCTTAAGGCTATTTATTACGCCGAATTTTTCACGATGGTAGTCCCAAAAAGTTCCATTTACACTTTTGATAGATGTCTTTAACGTGTAAAGCCACTGGCAGCAGTTAATAGTTACATGCTGCATATGTTATCTATTTTTGAGGTCCTTTTCACCTTAATTTTTAGGCTTTGAAAAATACCAATGTCAATATACTCATTACATTCACCCACCAGATTTTCAAACCTTTTAATGTTTTACCTCAAGTCTAAAAATAAAACATTGCTTTTAAGAACGCCTACTATTCAAGACTTAATTTTATTGTAGGAATTGTACGGAAATTCGACAGGGTTGTTCTAAATGTCCTGTGCATATCGGATGTGGAATATCAGAATTTATAGCGTTTTCAGTATTGTTTGTATATGTAGTTTTGATTTAATCCTAAAATAACGGTTTAATCGTAGACAATACAGTTACGTATTATTGTATTGATACAACGGCTTGCAATAGTGCTCACGAATTTAAGCTTGCGTCCATGAAATCGGCATTGTTTTACACAGCGATCTGGCTTTCTTCCAGTCATTAAATACAGGGTGTTTAAAAAAATTAACCCGTAAAAACAAAGTTTTTCACTATAAATCCTTTATATGCGTGGCATCGGTTTTATTGTATTATTCATTTCTGTTTTTCTTGAGTAACAGTTTCATTTTTATCACATTGGTATTTTAAATTAAATATGACATTTTTTTTTTCCTAAAAAGTGGAATTTTTTTTATTTTTTTTCACGAAAATAAATTGTCACGCACAACGAGTCTGTGTGCAAAATGTCAGCTCGATTGGATCATGGGAAAGTGGGTTAAAAAACGACCGAAAGATTTGCACGGTCGTAAGCGCGCAAGCAAGCAAGTGAACTTAATATAAAGGATTGAAAAACATGTTAACACTTACATGCAAATTTCGTTTTTAATGGAAAAAACGGATAATACACTGTAACATAACAAACGTATGGTAATAGCCAGAGGTGGGACAAAGTCATTGTTATGCAAGTCCAAGTCGAGTCTGAAGTCATCAAATTCATGACTCGAGTCTGACTCGAGTCCAAGTCACATGACTCGAGTCCACATCTCAGAGGTGGGACAAAGTCATTGTTATGCAAGTCCAAGTCGAGTCTGAAGTCATCAAATTCATGACTCGAGTCTGACTCGAGTCCAAGTCACATGACTCGAGTCCACACCTCTGGTAATAGCTTCAAAAAGCCAGTCTCCACTTGTTCGCCATCATTGTCAACGCATGCCTGGAATCTTCTCCAGGTAGTCTCCAGAGCTCGGAGGCACATTTCCTGTGGTGTTGTTGCAAATTCTCAGAAATGTTAACATTTGTTTGAAGCACCCCCTTTTAAGTTCACCTCTCGGCTTGGCTGTGTGCCCGCTGATGCACTTTACAATGCTTTTCCACTTATCCAGTTTAGGCTGGCATTTTATAACGCGGTGACGCATTGTTACGGCTCCGTTCTATGGCTCGGCTGTCATCCAGCATTGTGTGTGCAGGGTGCCCATAGCTCTTGAGGCAGCTGGGAAAAGGCATTGTAACGTACGTAGGACTGAATAATGCCATACGCGCCTGACGTCTAACAACTGATATTGCTTCATCCGGTGTTACATTTTATTAAGTATGGATGGCGGCGGGGGTGGGTGACCCGCGCAACTGAAGATCATTTATTAATGTATAGCTAACGTATTGTAATTAGATATTTTACTTTGAAGTTGACACGAGCATCCCCTGAAAGGCTTGTCGGGGGAGTTTTATTTAAATGTTAAATGGGTGCTCATGTCAGAACAAATATTTTATGTTATTTAAGTGTAGGAAACAATATTAGGCAGTTTATAGTTTTCGGAGCAGTTACATGTGAAACAAGTAAGTATAAAACCTTAAATTATGAAAATAGAGTGATTGTATATATGCATTGAAATGTAATAACTTCGAGCGGATGGATTCGTTTGTGCAAATTAAAAGTGCCACAACACTAAATTAGTGCAAATACTGTACATATATAATGTGCTGTAGATTGTTAATTGCAACTTCATGGTTACATTAGTGGCATTTGTGATGGGTTAACCTAGGGGTCTGCAACCAAAGTAACAATGGCATTTTTTTCGTATTCGAAAAAAAAACCCTCAATATTTCAAGAGTCACAATGCACATAAATAAGAGACGGTCCTTGCTAAATAACGTCACGAAGCAGTCAAAGAGCCGTAGGTTGCCAACCCCTGGGCTAACCAATACCAGAGCCATTGTGGTAAAAAAAACAACCTTTGCTGTCAACCTTGAGTCAGTGGATCTCTGCTGGTGAACTAAAGCGGGCCACTGTTGAAAACGCCAAGTGTACACCAGGGTGGGGTTAGTATGTAGGGTTACGGTGATGTATACACACTGATTGATCCCCTAGGAATTTGGGCACCTTCATTTAAAAAACCCGCCATCACCTGTAACACGGCCAAGCTCGAACCGTTTTTTTAAAATCCTTTATATTAAGTTCACTTGCTTGCGTGCTTACGACCGTGCAAATCTTTCGGTCGTTTTTTAACCCACTTCCCGTGATCCAATCGAGCTGACATTTTGCACACAGACTGCGTGACAATTTATTTTCGTGAATTTTTTTTTCCAAAATCTTACACTTTTTAGGAAAAAATAAATTATATTTAATTACCAATTGCTTAATGGTGGCAGGCAATCATCTGACCCATAGGTGGCAGCCATCTCAAGCCAGAGGACGAGAGGACTCTAGCCGCCACGCATATAAAGGATTTATAGTGAAAAACTTTGTTTTTACGGGTAAATTTTTTATTACTCGTCGTAAACCCAGAACGCCCCATAACTTTCAGTATCACCTCACGCTGTTTGTGAATGCGAGCTGACTGTAACAGCACTCAATACTGTACATTAACTTGCTTTATAATCAAACTGAAACCTCATTAAATTCGACCTATTTTATGGCAACGCCTACTAAACTTATGGAACTTTTTATTTAAAAAACAGACTTGACTGCAAAACAAATGGAGAACACCATCAGCACCTGCCTGCTCAGATATTTAATGGAAAAATGTCTTAAAAATATGCCTTCACTTCAGTGTCACCAGAAGCTAAATAACTATATCAATATGTATGCTATGAAGAAGATCCTTTATTCACAATGTTCCATATTATATATTCTTCCTTTGAAAGCCAGTGTTATTGGCAAATGTATTTGTTTCTTTGTTTTTGCTTGTGCGCCACTGCCTGTCCAGTATCACCATCGAATGTATTTCGATTTATAATCGCTGCTATTGAAATATAGCCACAACATGCAAGAAGATAAAAAAACAGGTGAGAGCCCATTAGGGCTAAGATATATTTTATCAAGCGAGACCTGGGAAACAAAAGAGAATACGATATAGAGGAATTACAGGATCAAAAAAAGTTAAAGCAAAGCTAAAAGCACTACGGTTTTGAAATTTCAATCTGCTCGGCCAAAAGTTCCGTTATTGTATCGGGTCGAATGCTCGGATTGTATTTCACCACGTGATTCTTTATTCTGTGCCTCTTCCGTTGTCATTGAGGTTATAAAGTACGTTTAACATCAATTTAAAATTAGGAATAGCTCCTACCCTTAAATTGTCCTTGTGTGAGTGCTCTGCAGTTGATCCAGTATCGAGTACAAACTGGGGAGGAATGACGTTCAAATATAAAATTGATACAGTTTAGATTCGATGAATTGTCACTGTTGGAGGGTCAAGATCAGATTCAAACGTTCGATTCAGTGTTGTCTTGTTTGTACTGCTTGGTCTAAGCTGTATTCATCCTGTTTGTACTGCCTAATTCGCTTATTCTGCCTTGGCTGTCGTCTTTATTCCATTTATTATGTACTATTCTTTGGTTCCTTCGGTAAAGTCACGTAGATAGAAAATAATAAAAAGGTAAAAAAAACCACGACGTTTCGATCGCAACACAAGCGATCGTCCTCAGGTGAACAAATACAGCAGGCGGACTGCTGAGAGAAATATAACGAGAGCTACTGCAGCTAAATGTTATATTTTCTATCTACGTGACTTTACCGAAAGAACCAAAGAATATGAATTCCTGCAGTCAGTCACGAAAGCTCTAAGTCAAGATTTATTATGTACTGTCTCGTGTGTACTTCCATATTGCCAGCTTTTCGTACCACCGTCTGTCTCGTCTATGTGCCGAGTTTCATGTATTTCTCGTGTGTACTGTCTGATGCGTGTAATTCTATGCTCGTTTGTGCTAATTCTGGCTTATTGTCTCGTTTGTGTTCTGATTTATAGTTTCAACGTTTTATATTACCAGGTAGGATCCACTGAACTACATTATATTGCTCTTTTTCAGAAGCGACCTGGCCACAAATTATTGCTCAAGTGGCTTATTGTGTGGAAATGAATTTCAGCCAAATACTCTGAAACACGAAGAAAAAGCCACGTGGCCACGGTGAGTGCATACCTGTCAACCCCTTATCAGTGCCTACCAATGTCAGACCTTATTGGTCACCCCATGCCCCGTATAAATCTCAACGTTCATCCTACAAAGTCCCATCACAAGGGAGAAACACAAACAAATAAGACACAAAAATATTTGCTCGTATTGAAACGGCTGTACGCCGTATGGACCTGAAAACTCAATTTCCATGTACAAAGACCACGACGGGGTTATGAGAGCTATGAGAGCGAGAGACACGCAAACTCCAAATACAGGGTGTTTGAAAAAGATAGACCCCATTTTAAATCGCTATATTTCTGCAACCACGAACCGCCCATGAATGAAACTCTTACCACTTGAAAGGGCGGGGCATAGAGTTACAAATGATTCTAGATTTGAAGCTTTCGTGACTGCAAGGATTTATTTTCTTAGGTCTTTTCGGTAAAGTCACGTAGGTAAAAAATAAAGAATAAATATAAATAATAACATAATATAGGAAATAATAGAAATGAAATAATAAATCACGTTTCGGAGGCAACACAAGCTTCCACCTGAAGACGGAAGCTTGTGTTGCCTCCGAAACGTCGTGATTTATTATTTAATTTATATTATTTCCTTTATTATTTTATTCGTTATTTCATTACTTATTTTATTACTTATTACAAATGATTACCGCTCGATGCCTCTCCCAGCACACAAACAGCCCCTAGCCTCAGTCATTCGCAAGACACACTGCCTCAACGTTGGATAGGTCGCACGGGAACCCCAAGACTTGGCGCTACACTCTTAGCCCCCAAGATCCCCAGACATCACACCCTGCGACTTTTTCTTATGGGGATACGTCAAAGACCGTGGTTTTGTGCCACCATTAGCGATTAATCTGGATGACCTCAAAAACAGAATCACGGCAGCGGTGACTTCAGTGGAAGAAGACACTTTGAGAGGCGTTTGGGACGAATTCAACTATCGTCTCGATGTTGTCCGTACAGCAGGTGGAGGTCACATAGAGCATTTATAAAATGGTCAGTAAAACTTGATAACTCATTAAACCGTTTCTAACTTTTCGTGTAATTGTAACATGTTGCCATCGTGAAATATACTGCTTTGCAATTGGATCCATCTTTTTGAAACACCCTGTATACAGCAGACGTCCCGGGTAGGCATTGAACCCCACGCGACCTGCTTGCACACCAGCCGAGGTAAGTTAACAACCTCGGCCACCGCGGCTCGCTCGCAGTTTGCAGAGATGCGTCTCGTTTGTATCGTTGCCTTGCACTGCCGTACCACGTGCTCTTCTCAGTCCTGCCTGTCAACTCGTGCCCTTTAAACATCAACATCGCCCCTTCCTCTTCTTCTGTCTCATCTCTTCCCATCGCATCCCACCCCACCCCCCACTTAACGGTTCGATTTCCACGATTCTTAAACGCGTCGATTTGTACGAAAGCGATTCATTTCCGGCACGTGTTGCGAGTCACGGGAATCGATCCGAATCGACGGGCGTTCGTATCGTGTCCATTCGATTAACTCGGGCACAAGCCTCGGGGCTGCCGTTGTTTGTCGTCGCGCTCGCGCAGAAGCTGTGGTGCCGCACCCCCCCCACCCCTCCCCCCCGCCGCTGGGGGCGTGGTGTGGAGCGACTGAGACTCGGGCAACGTTGGAGGTCGCCATCCAGGGAAGCAACAGGAAGAGAGATTGACCACCTCCACACAACCGCGTAAGCGATGGTCTCTCCACGCGTTCCGTCTCTCATTTGTCGTTTTGCTCAGAGGCAGCCGAAGATGAGTTGCAGGCGGTAGTTGTCACCGGCACTTATGAGCGAAGTCGCTATGTTGGGGGGTGGTGGTGGGGGGGGGGCGGGTGTGGTCTCGCCACGCCTTGTTAGATGCGCCCTCGGTCCGCAGGGCGGGCTAGGAAAAGCGTAAGGCGCCGAGGTGCGCGGCTCGGGCCTACTTAATTGAATGGAAACGCCGGTGACAGCCTTTCGTGTGGTTTCTGTGACAGTGTTCACTGTTCTGTAATTTAGATGTTGTTGTTGTTAACACCCAGTCGGTCCCACATGCTTGCTTCTCGATGTGAGTTGGTGTGGTCAATTGTAGCGTTGTGCCTGACGTTTGGTTATACGCAAAACGTAGAGTGTGTGTGTGTTCGTGCAGCGAAGGAATGTAGGAGCGTATTCACGGCAGTGAGCGGATTTGTATAATAAAAACACCGCCTTCATGTGAATGTTCTCAGGTTGTCATTGATAACATTGCTATCCAATCGTCAAGTGGAACTACTTGGGAAATTGAATTACGGTACTCGTCTGAGAAGCTGGCGTTTTTTGTTCAGTGTCCCCAGCCTCTTATCGCGCGATTAGATTGTTACTGTACTGTTTTATGACACGGGGGTCTTCCTTGAACAAGATACTCTTTGTTAACAACGACTTCTCACCGGGTTTTATACATTTCCTTTCAACGTCAAGACGCCTTTGTATTCGTTCGTGCACGCGTTCGTTATTTTTAATTGTGTAATGTATTTATGACAACAGTAAATCGAATTTGCTGGTAAAAGAAGAAAAGCAATAATGCCTTGGCCATTCATTCAAATTGTGGGCTAGTTTTGTAATAACTCTTGCCTTGCCCCCATCAAGTTTTCAATTCCTATTGAGTCCTAGATTCTGCGTTGCTCGTTTGATTTGGCCTGGTTTAGTAGGGGACACTCACGCTCGCATGTCATGGTCACCACGCTGAGTGTAGTTGACATTGAGAAGGGGAGAGAGATGCCCCTCCTGATGTTCTCAAGGTTTGAAGTTGGTTTTTCCGAATTAATTTTATTTTCAAATTATTTAGAAGTATAGGGTGTACTATATAAAAACCGTAACTACATTTTTTTTTATGAAACAACCGAAAATCGTGCACAAACTTAACGTTGTTCTTGTTATAGAGCTTATTTATGCACATCACGAGATAATTTGGTCCATTGCGCTTGGCATAAATGTTTCTTTTTTAAAGGCTGTTGAGGGATTGGACTTGTTTCTACTGTAGCGTAAAGGGCAGCAGCAGTAGCCAGCTAAGCAGCTTTGAAAGTCAGCACCACCCAACTATGGCAGAAATGTTAAGTTGATCCTGCAATCATTGGATGCAGACCCAAGTACACCACCCTGCCAGCTGCCCATAAAATAGAATTCCTTGCAAGGACACAAACCAACAGTGACAACTATCAAGCATTGATTCACACCTGCAAAAGGGCAATGCATACGTTGTGCTTTTTATGGCTTGTGTAAATACCATCAAGCATACAGCTGCTCGTAATTATCCTTATAGAATTCCACCATTGGTCATCACCTCGTTGGCTGTCTTGGCTATCATTGCAAGTATGCGACTGGGATTTTGCTGGAGTGGCTGTTTAATTGGGTGTGTCATTCCCACGTGTCTCTGACACAATGTCAAGTTAATCAACATTAACTCCACGTGGACAGTTCAACAGGCATCTGCTTTTGTGAGAGCCTCTTGTGTTGTCATAACAGCCACTTTTCAACTTTGCACTCTACTGCAGTGTTTACAATAGCGAGCTTTCTACATCCATTGCTGTATGTCCTATTAATCAATTTATGTACGATTCAAAATTATGGAAATTTCAATGAAGATGAATTTATATCGACATTGTTCACAGTATATTGGAACGATGCATTTACTTTTTTCATTCACCCATTTAAGCTGACTTGTTGGAGTCGAGGGATTTTTAAGGCTATAACTAAAAAAATATTGTAAGTATGGCTAGTTTGTCTGCCTTTATATACAATACTGTCACCTAAATTAAATGTGGTTTGCTTCAGGGTCGTGAGCATGTCAATGCAAGTGCATGCAGTAACTGCATTTGCATTACTTTGTTTTCACACAGCATGGTGTAACAACTCCCCCAAGACAAGCAAAGTACAAACCCAAGCACAAAAAAGGTTAGGCGGACTACTACAGTACTGCAAACGCCTGATTAAAGATTGTCAACGATTTTGAAAAAATGATTTGGTTGTTTATATCACTTGAATGGATTTTTTTTTATCTGGCACCATTACCTGCTAATGTATTGTGTTTGTTTGTGCTTGCTTGTAGCGATTATGCATACGCTGTAGAAGTAAATATTGTTTGGCTGATTTGGTGGAGATATACGTCGTTAAAGTGTCCATTATGAAATACAATATTTTTAATAGAAAACAATGGAATAAAGATTATGATATGAAAATCCTTTTTTTACTCTGGTTTAAAATGTTAGCATTGAAGGTGGCTTACAAAAAGATGTATTATAATATTCTTATGATGTTATATTTGTAATATTCTTAATGCCATACATTATTTGTATTTGCCAGGGAAACTCGCTACGTTATATTTCACTGCCTGTAAGATATTTTATTAAAAATATATAGATTAAAAAAGGGAATTACAACACGAATGAATTAATTAGTGAGGATTGGTTGCCCAGGTTCCTTATGGGATAAATGGAATCGCTTCATATCGGCTGACTCCACAGGAATCATAAGAACGAGTTGTGTGTTGTTTTATTGGTGAGGTTTTTGGTTGACTTAATCATCACACAAGTCAAAATGGACCTCTTATAAAATCACTTGCCATTTTAAAATATCGACTAAATACCGTATGTTATTGTCCATAAACTTAAATTTTTTATCTTGACTTAAAGCTTTCATGACTGCAGGAATTCATATTATTTGGGTCTTTCGGTAAAGTCACGTAGATAGGTTCAAAGAAAATAACAAAAAACTACGACGTTTCGATCGCAACACAAGTGGCCGTCATCAGGAAAAGGGGGACGACCGCTTGTGTTGTGATCAAAACGTCGTAGTTTTTTACTATTTTGTTATTTTCTTTGAACCTATCTACGTGACTTTACCGAAAGACCCAAAGAATAACTGTGCTATGTGTTTGTGATGGCAAATCAGTGACACGTGGTAACTGTATACCATAACACTGTTTATGGCAAACACTTGCAGGAGCTTGGCAAGTTCCAGCTTGCTGCTGCTTCATCCAGTCATGTGGATTGTCACGTACATTGATTTGTGCCTGACCCCAAGGTTCAATGTTGTGCGTGCTGTATATATGAGCCCGAGCCAACTTGGACATAATTTTCTTAACCGTGATATATTTTCTGAGAGGGAACATTTATTAATTTAGAATTGTCCGTTACATTTGATACTTTTTAAATAAATCCAACTAGCTTTTTTGCCCGTCCAAGGACGGGTGTATATTTGCAGTAAATCTGAAATATTCAATAGATAAATTGTTCAGCTCATGATTATTAATGAGAGGGTGTTGACCCATGTGGAGTGACGTAACCCTCGAATGGTATTGGGAAGGGGTGCGGCATGTGGAGTGATGTCACCCGCTCATGATTTTTAATGAGGGAAGAGGTGCTGCATGTGAAATGTGTGACCTTCTTGTGCGTTAGTGTAAATTTCCACGTGGGCATGAATTTTAATGAAGGGGGGGCGGGGGCTCTTTTGCAGTGATGTCACGCACGGATGTAGCACTGTGTTGCGTAGATTTATTTTTTTACCGTCACTTTCTGTAAAGAGACGTCATATTTGAAGCGACTTTGCGTAATAGATTATTTAATTCAGCTCCACCTTCCTCTGTGTTAGTGTAGAAATCGACCCACTCATGAATATTAATGAGGCGGGGTGGGCCTCATGTGGAGTGACGTCACACGCGGGACGGACAGACGTTTCTGGGTGTTTATAGTAGGTATTTTGAAGTTATTTTCCCTGAGTTGTGGAAGGAAATGACTAAATCTCAATAAAATAATTCACGTGCCTGAGAACAAGTGACATTTATCACGTAAAGTTTTATAAAATGCATAACATTTGTATATGCTGAGAGAGTTAATTGGTTAGCATCTATGTATGTAGCAACAGTCAATTTATGCCTGCAAAGTACAGTACAAATTACCATAAGCAAGTCACTATTATTCCAAGCACACTAATATTATATTCTTGGTTCTTTTGGTAAAGTCACGTAGAAGGGAAATAATAAAATAATATAAATAAAACAAAATTCTCACGACTTTTCGATTGCAACACAAGCAATCATCATCAGGTGTGAAAACCACAGCAAGAACATTTAAAAAAAAGTGCCGTGGTTTTCACACCTGATGACGATTGCTTGTGTTGCAATCGAAACGTCGTGAGAATTTTATTATTTTATTTTTATTATTTTATTATTTTCCTTCTACGTGACTTTACCGAAAGAGCCAAGAATATGAATCCCTGCAATCACGAAAGCTTTAAATCACGCTAATATTGTTATATTTTTTGCTTTGTACGTTTAACTTTTTTCGTGACGTACCTCCATGAAGTTTTACGTGATATGTGGTATACAGGGTATAGTATATGGCCACGATGTGGACAGTGCAGCAAAGTCCATTGTACATTCCTCTGCTCCCACGTTTATACTGCCCTCAACATTTATACTGCCCTGCTTTATCAACGTGCACTGACCAGCTTGGTGAAGTATAGTCAAGTAGCCTTCACTAACACGCACGTCGGAGGGAGGTCCTTATCCAGCAGTGGATTGACAAAACGGATGTGCTTGCACGCAGAATATGAACATCAAAACAAATATTGTTTGTAAACAAGGAAGATAAATCATGCATATGCGTGGATTTTGTAATACTAACATGCGTTTGTCCTCGGTAGTATTTGGTGATAATAACATTGTTCCAAGCAGCACAACAAGAGAACGTCATGCAGCACATGACCGACAGGATAGGGGAAGCGTGCATGGAATGTGAAGTTAAATACTCTTTTAGCAGTGGTTTTTTATCAAAATTTGGGCAAGCATTTGAACAATTTGGCCTGTTTTCTCTAGAGTAAGTCCCTAACATATGAACAGATATATGGAAATAACTAAGGCATTCATACTTTTTCAACCTTGGTTTGAAAGCATTAAATAGATATTGTATGTCATTTAAAAAAGATGATGAGTGTAACGCTTGAATTTCTTAAATTTGCTTTCACAGGTGCCGCAATGGGGAGGGTAAGCTCGGGCCTGTCGGATCGGAGGGAGGAGATGGGTCTCATTCGTCTCTGCCACTGGGGTCCAGCCGTGGCCCTCTCCGTAATCACCGTGTGCACCTGCATGGCCATCCTGGACTCGCTGCTGTGGTACTGGCCCACCGATACACCCGGCGGGCTTCTCAACCTCGCTGTGCTCTCCCTCTGGGCTTTTCTCATCCTCTACAACTACTTCAGCGCCATGTTCGTGGGGCCTGGCTATGTGCCTTACGGCTGGAAGCCCGTACGTACTCGGCGGTCGTGCTCAATCATTCATCTTTACCATCGCACTTAGCGTCATACATTAAAGTGAAGTATATATGGCGCCATAGGGATCCATAATTGTCGGCGGCTAAGTGCAGAAGTGTCTCGCATTGCCAAGAATTTGGTGATTTCGTAACTGCAGGAACTTCTGCATTTATATCATCAGCAAATGGTGATGTTTTTGCATCATCATGGTGTACTAGGTATTGCCATGTTGGACTTTCGCCCAAACGGTTGCCTTGTCACGGGACAGAAAATTACAGTTTAGCAATTTTGTAACATGATACTTGGACACATTGTAAACTTGATATCAGTGACTGTCTTGCAAACAGTGTTATGGAATATCTTTCACTGATGCCATAGATATGTTTGTTTTCCTAGTGTTCATTTATAAAATACTGATTAAACAGTTGCAAGTCCATATAAAAATGCAGTGTTATCTAACATTGTGACATTTGTTGTCAGGTAAGTTCTTGATTTAACATTCATTTGAAAAAAAAAATTGATCCTTACAAGATATGTTTGATTTACTCTCTTAACACCTTTGTTGCTCTTAGGACACAGTCACTGATAAGTTGCATAGCTTCAGAGTCCTAAGACATTGCCGCCAGGTCTCTTTATGTAAGTGATGTGGACTGAATAAGGTATTGCTGACTGTTCTTTGTCTTCGCTGGTTGTGTGTGTCATTAGGAAAAGCCAGAGGATGTCCAGTACCTGCAGTATTGCAACATCTGCCAGGGGTACAAGCCCCCACGCTCACATCACTGCCGCAAGTGTAACAGGTCAGAAAACCATTTCCTCAATCGTCGGTTTATGATATTAGCAGGTTTAGTTGCCGTTTATTCTCATGTGTGCGTCTGAAGGCGATAAGAACAGACCTTTCTCTGAACGTTAGCTAAACCAGGCAATGGTAATGATGACCATGAAAGTTTAACACGTAGGCTTTCGCGAACCAATATTCGTCATTCAGGTTTTTTGGTTTAGATCGCGTAAATATATAAAAGTGTCGTTAAACCTGCCACCACCCGAAACAGCCAATTAGTAAGGGTTTGTCACGTAAACAGAACATGCCAATTTGTTATTAGTAAACACAGTTGGACTTTTACATAGTACAGCACACTGTTTATGTGACAAACCTTACTAATTGTCTGTGTCTGGTAGTGGCGGGTTTAACGACACTTTAATATATTTACACACTCTAACCCAAAAAACCTGTATTATGGGTGACCATTGTAGATGACCATTGGGGCGCTTCAGTGGCGAGATGTTAACTACCTCGCCTGGTATACAATAGGTCATGGGTTCGACTCCAAATACGCAGGCCCTGACGCCTGTGTATTTGGAGTTTACACATCTCATCCTGTAGTCGCTTGGATTTGTCTCCGCTTCATAAGTGTTTTCCCTCCAGATTTAGCAACATGCGTTTAGAGTATTTGGTTGCTATAAATGTCCATATGATATGCCACGTTGTTGAGCTACCATTTGTGGCCAGGTCGCTTCTGAAAAAGACCTAAATAGCTCAGTGGGCCTTACCTGGTGAAATAAAAATAGTAAAAAGTTTAGATTGTTGTTAATCTATTGTGGTGTGTCACACCCGACACAGTTGTTCCTTAAGGTCTAGTTTAAATAATATATGCATATTATATATAATTATTGCCTGCAGCAGTTGATGAATCATTCAAACCGTCTTCCTACATCAAGAATGGGGGCAGCTGTTTTTGTGAATTTTACTTAATATTTTAGTGACTACAGAGGAGGGTGGTGTGAAATGTTGCGTTCTTAATAAGTACCATTGTATCAAACATTAGCTTGCATTGTTGATACTTAAAAATGCGTTACCTTGTGCATGCCTGCTCAAGAACAGTCGTAATTAACAGTTGTTTTGTATTGTGTGCATGCCTTTCAGGTGCGTGATGAAGATGGACCACCACTGCCCATGGATCAACAACTGCTGTGGCCACTCCAACCATGCGTACTTCACGTGGTTCCTGCTGCTGGCGCCACTGGGCTGCTTGCACGCATCTGCCATCATCTCTCTGACCATCTATAGCCAGCTGTACCACAGGGTCAGCTCCTGCTCCCACTGGCTCTCCTGCAGGGCAGTACTCAACACCTTCCTACTTTTCTTACTTTTCTGCGCAGCACGTTCTTGAAACTGTAACTAACCCGTCTGCATCTGCGTCTGAATCGGTGTTCCTTCCAAGGCTGGCCTTCCCAAACGCTTTTCTTCCGTGGGTCCGGGTTTCGTGGTTGTGTGAGTGAGTCCTGCCCTGGACTAAGCAACCTCAAAGGGACACCATAAAATATGGATTAGCATTGGTGCTCATGAGTCTAATGCGGCATACGTTTGTATTTTTAAACGTTTTGCAAACTGCACACTACATCATTATGAATTTACAATTGGCAGTAATGTCACGAGAAATATATCACCATACTTTTGCAGCATCGCTTTTTTAATTTATGGCTCAAGGGCCTTACAATTCTCCTGAGCTCTGCCTTTTTATCATAAAGTGCAAGCCGCTTTGCAGTGATAATGTATAGCCCAGGAACCATGCACGCTGAGTCCATGGGTCCTTATGGCTGCACTGGTGACCTGAAATTTATCGGAGCTTAGAGGCATCACAGTGTGGGCCTGGTTGAGTATTGTGGCTCTACATGTGATAAACAGTGGATTGGTTTAGGTTCTTTTTAGCAAAATATATCGTTCCCCTGGCTTCAGTGTCGGTAAGCGCAGATGTGCCTACAATCCTGATAGCGACGCTTTGTGTCACGCAAACGCATGCACTCTCATGTACCAGTTTTCGTCTGTGGGCTAACTATTCCATTTTCACAATCTTGACCCAGTGCTGCCACTTATTCATTCTTGTCCTCTGCATTCTTCTGTCAATTCAAGGTAATCTTTTTGGCATTACTTGCATTTACTTATTACTCAGACCTCATGTGAATTCATTTTTATTCCTGTTCTATCATTCTCGGTTAACTCTTTATAACGAAATATGTCACAGTTAATCTCTTGTTACAAACAGAACAAACATGTATTCAAAAGTATAAATTGTAAAATTTGATTTACTTGGCTTATATTTGTTATCTGGTAGGCAATTACAAATGTATATTCTTTTAATAATCACGAAATAGAATCAATTGTTATAGGATATGGAAAAGCTGTATTCTTGTGACCTCTTGATGATACACCAGTTGACCTTTCATTCTGATGGAGAAATAACTACTGACAAGCAATGGCTCGTAAGTTCTTTAGATATAGACTAAATACATATTTCAATAACTACTTCATTTTGTTATAAACTGTTTCCCCATTTGTCATTGACCATATCACATTCTTGTAAGGATTAAATTGAAACTCGAATACGCAGATCAAAGTAAGTTTTGCTTAACACTGCAGCTTTCAAATATTTTTTTACAATTTTAAAAACATTCTGGGAAAATTTTGCAAACTCATTTTTTAAATATAAAGTCCTCCTTTTTCATTGACCAACTTTACTATTTTACATTCATTCAGAACAAATATTTTGAATATTTTGCAACCCAATATGTGAATTTGACAAATTGTACGGCAATGTTTATTTTTTTACTTGGCACTCTTAGCAGTGTTTGTCACGAAAACAGGAGTCGTTTGTTTTATAATCCCGTTTCTGTGTGAAAGGTTTTAAAATATGGCACACAATTTTTGCTTATCATGTGGAGGGTACGGAAGTTGGGTTCACGTTGGTGGTGTTGCAATGTTCCCCGACGCTATCCATGGTGTCTCGTATCCCATGCTGCAGATCTCCTTTGGGATGACAAAACTGCAGATCGACGTGTCAGCTCCGCCCATGGGACCTGTGCCGTTCGGAGTTTCAGCTTTTGCTGCATCCCTGTTCGCTCTGGGCCTTGCTGTGGGCACTACCATTGCCGTGGGAATGCTTTTCTGTGTACAGGTTTGTCTCTCTTCTACAGCAGGACTATTACAAACTCTCCAGTGTGCGACTGTGGTCATGCAGAACAGACCATACTACATATCACGACGCAACGCCAGATCCACAAAAGGGAAGGAGACATCGCAGCGATGCATATTTCGCTGCTCCTGACGTGGTTATCTGGCTTGACCACCTGAATGTGAAATCGTAGTTGCTGTTCTGCATCTACTTCAGCCATACGAAAGAAAAAGAAACGAGACTAATTTCATGATGTACATATATATTTTTCACTTGCCAACGAAGGCGGTGGTTTTCAAAAGTTCATCAACTTGCATGTTGCCTTGTCCCGTTACTGCTTTCAATTAGTAGAGCACACCTTCTGTAGCTTCTATATTACTTAATTAAGGATTTAAAAGTCTGCCTGCAGCTAAACTGATTGGGGTGCACACGTTGTATTGGCTGTTTTATCACAAGTACTTGGATACATGTCATTATAGCTAAATAAGTTGCACCCTTATTTTCTTTGCAGATTAAAATTATTTTGAGAAACAAAACTTCCATCGAAACCTGGATTGAAGAAAAGGTAAGAAAGAAAGTACCTGAAATAAGAACTATGTGGAACAAATAAATCTGGCTTTAAATTTAAAAACCTCTACATTTCTCAAGAGTTTTCTAGTTCAGACTGTCATTCAAAGTGTTTTACAATGGGGATATTTAAATATTAAATATGTCACTTATTACCAGTGTCTAGAATTCACAACGATATATGTTATATCCACTTCTCATTTGATCCAAAATGTCTTTTTGTTGATTATGCACAAATCATATCAGGTTTGCATGACTTATGAATGTAGAACTGTTTGACATTTGGATGTGTACTGAACAGTAATACTGCTCTTTGGTAATCCTGCTGTGAAAAGGACTAAAATATTAATTTGTTTATTACTCATGTTTAAGCCTGCAGCAATAATGCCAAAAAATACAACCATCCACCAGGTTAACCCTTCTCTTGTCTCCCTTGTCCTTTCAGGCACGGGACAGAATCAACTATTATAAACTGGACGAGCAGTTTGTGTTTCCGTACGATCTGGGCTCACGCTGGGCCAACTTTAAACAGGTGGTGACGCTCGGGGGCATGCCGCGTGGGAACGGCGTGCACTGGGCCCTTCACGAGGGCTGCGACCCCTACACGCTCACGGTGCTTCTGCAGTGCTGTTATGCACCACACCTCACCGACATACACCGCACATTGCCAGCATGCCGCGATGGTATAGAATGTCAATGTACCTCTGTATTCAAGCTGTTATGGACTCATTGCCAGCATGCCGCGATGGTATAGAATGTGAGTGTACCTCTGTATATTAAGCCGATATGGACTCATAACAGCATTGGGTATGAAGGTCTTCCACCCACTCTGTATATTAGAACCGCGACATGTTTCCTTCAGTGAGTGGCTCACCAGTTGCTGAATACTATGCAGTGAGTGTTGTTTGCAAGGCTGACTGGTTCATCTCATCAATACTGTTATATTTTATATATATTAATCAGAATTGCTTGATAATTAATTTTGATGGCTATCCATGGTGTTATGTGGGAGCACTTTTCCAAATTGAATCTCCATCTATTAATTTCAGTTAAGTCAGGTTTATAAATATAATCCCATGAAGGATGGCCAAAGCATCAAGCGAAGTAAGGTCATGCACTGTTTACTCCAATAACTGCAATTACTCTAATAATATTTTAAATTCTCTGCTTACAAGAGACTACGTTATGTTTCAGGTGGAGCAGCTCAAGCAGAAGGCTGACAAGAGGGCCAGGACGGTGAGTGGATGTTCTTGGTTTGACAAGCGAGACAGAAGCTAGACTCATTGTCAAGGAACGCAATACCAAATTTAGTGAAAACAATCGGACTATCATGCATCCAAACTACCTCTTTTGCAAGTGGAATTAAACTGCAAATCTCTGCACTGTGATGGCATGCTGTCTGTCATAGGATATTGTATTTCCATGCACCTCCGATCAGCACGGTTGGCTATGCACACTGCGAAATAAGTTCTACATACATATGTATAGCATGTTTTCACAGTACAGCAAACATACGTGCTAACTAAATGTGAGTGTAGATTTAACGGCACTGCAGAGTTGATTTAAAAGCATTCTTAGAAGAAATTGACTGAACATCCCAATGAAAGGACCCTCTAGAAAAGTCTTGAGACTCAGGGCTTGGTGGATAAAAAAATTGGCTTAATTATTATGCTGTCACGTAACACAATACCACACTTTCGTGTACTTATTCGCTTGAAGCTCTACAGCCTCAAGAGTGACCTGTCACACGAGCTTAATATCGACTTAAGTTGCCGTAGTGTTTTTTTGACAGGAGTTATAAAAATGAGATCATTCACCAAAGCCGTTTCAGCTTGACACCAGCCAGTGGCGCTCGAGTGAGATTTGTGTCGACCGAGGCTACAGAGCGGTCACGGCGCATTTGCAGGTGCCGTACCGTGCTTCGGAGAACTACAGCGGAGCGTGCTGCCCCATCACCAAGGGCGTGAGGACACTCTTCGGGATGCCCTGCACGGATGAGCCTCGCATCAAGCTGACGCGGGGCGACGTCGTGCTCATCACGCGTGCCACCAAGTATGCGCGGCTAGGCGGTCTTGCATGAAACGGCCTCGTATGTTTGCGTGCGAAACAACAAAGCCTAACTGTCAGTAAAGCGCCTGCATTTTCTTATTGATTCTTGTGGAAATTATTTGCACAGAAATTAGAGATGGGAAGTTGCTACATGATTCCTATGCTGGAAATGTGATTCTGTTCTTAGAATCGAATACGGTTACTCGTGAGATTGGTCTACAAGATGTGTGACCACCATGGAGATGGAGCAATGAAATCGGCCTCTGTGCAGGTGCCAGGTGGATTGTTATATTGCAGAACCATGGTAAATGGGGATTGCTTTGGGGAGGCCCTGAATCAGCAGTGAATTGAACTTGGCTGATGATAATGAATCTTTCGAATAGTTGTATGTAAATTAACTATCTCCATGAGATACACTTGGTTGATAAAGTAAAATTGTTCGACTGAATATCTGAAGTGGACACACTGCAAATCACGACCACATTTGCTGCCGTGTAACTTTTCCCATAATTTTTTAATACATGTTGGATAATTTTATATTATTTTATACATTGGAGTTGACATCTGATTTATGAAGCCTTTTTCTTTTCACTTTGTTTTACATAGGCACTGGTTTTATGGAGAAAAGGTTGCCGATGGCGGTAAGTGTCCAAACAGCTTTGCCTAACAATTTGTAAGTGGATGTTACAAGCTCTGAAGTATATTTTAACCAATGTGGGTCATTGTGTGCCTTTAGTTAATATAAATTCACAAATAAAAATTATACAACTAAAGCACTCTTACCATTTCATCAAGCTCAAGAGTTCTTAGACGATGTCATTGATGCCACCACACTTTGCCATCACTTCCTGCTGCTAGATGCAGCACATCTTACAACATTCACACCCATCCCAAGATCTGCCTTTAAATTACCTTCTCATTTTTCTTTAGCTCTTCCCTTTGATTTTCCACATCTAGTTGCTGAGATATATACCTGTCCTGGCAATGTGGCACACACAATCCACCCATCACAACTCACTTTGACTTGTTGCATCTGCACTAATTTTGGCATGTTCAATTATGAATGTCCAATGTGCTCACCCTATCCTGACATTAATTTCCTAGCATTCTCCACGGTCGCTAGTATTGAAAGGCCTTAAGCTTATCTTCTAGTTACTTTATTCAAATCCCATTCCCACTCATGCAGTAATATGAACATTACCACGTCTCAAAAGAGTGTCTTATAACACCAATGTTGACTTCGCTACTCCTCCAGTGTGATTTATGTCATTCGCCAATAATTCACTTTCCTAACACATCTCTTGACCTTGCAACTCTCTTTATTATGCACCTTGCTACTTAAATGAGTGAAGTCTTCTACCTCCACATTCTCATGTTCTACTTTGATAAACGTACAAGAGGTGCATTTCTAACCACTGCCATTAACATCCATGGAATTCCCAAGTTCCTAAATCAAAGACATGGGGTTTCTCGGAGGGCACTTAACTGATGGAATTAAGCACAGTAAATTGATTATGTACAAAAACTACCCAAAGTCTCCCTCTTTGAAAGAGTAAAGGCCTAAATAACACGATGCAATTTCGGTGAATTCCGACTGAGGGCTTTCAGTTGCGTCACTATTGTGTAATTTTTGCACGATGCAATCGGTCGCAGTTGCAGTTGCATGATTGATCCCGGTTTATATTTTTGCAATCTGACAAAATTGTCAGCGTAGCCTCAGAGTTCACCTAGCCTGGCACACGTGCTGTGGTGACGTCACCACCATTAAGTGCAAAATGTTGGTTGTTGTACAGCAGGTGTTTCCTTGTGTGAGAATCGCAAATATGCTTGCTTGTTTGTTTTGTGTGTATGTACGCCAGGTGTGTGAGAGAGAGACCGTTTGCGTGGTAATTAATGGGCGTGTGCACGTTTGTTTTGTGTGTGTACAATAGTCGTGTGGATTTGGATGTGTGTGTGTGCCGGTACAACACGCATGGTGGCGTAGTAGTTAGCGCACGGTGACATTAACGTAGTTCGATCATTGGCCATGGCTAACATCGATGGCGAGTGTTATATGAACTGGTCCTGGGCGTCAAGGTTGACTCTTTATGCGAGTACCTTATGCAGTGTATATGCACATTTTCTGTGCATGCACCATGCCTGCCTTGTTGTTGCTCGTTAAGAACACTACCCTGACATCTGGTGTAAGCATGTGTTTGTGTATATATAACACATTCCTGCGGAGGGAGCTGGTAGGAACGTTGGGTTGCTCGGTCAATGGCCAGGGTCAATGGCGATGTGGTGTATTCCGCAAATATGGCTGACTGTGAGGGGGGGCACAAGCCGGCGTGAGTAGGTTAAACGTTGAGTTTTATAAGGGCACCACGGGGTGACAAGCCCCTCCCCACCCAGCCCCACCCCTCCCACCCCCCACCCAGCCCCACCCTCCCCACCCAGCCCCTCCTCACTCTCCCCTCCTCACCCAGCCCCTCCCCACCCTCCCCACCCAGCCCCTCTCCACCCAGCCCCACCCTCCCATTTTTGGATGCACGACGGACGGACACAATAATCCCCTGTGGGCTGGTGGAACCAGGTGGTTCCTACCAGTATATGTGTGTGTGTGAGTGTGCTTGATTATGTATATTTATACATGTGTTTATGTATTGTGTGACTTGTTCCCTGTCTCATGGCACCCTTTGGGACAGTATTGCACTGTTGCAGTGTCACCTCGAACGCTTGCTTGCGATCGATGGTTTGCAATCCTGTGCACTCTTTAATTATACGCCCACATCGATTGCACTGAAATGGCATCATGTATCTCGGGTCTTTAATAATCCTCCGTGAGATTTCACCATGGTAAGGAACATTGAGTTTATTTGAAACACTATCGCGTAATGTGTATGTAAGTTTATTGTACATTTTTGTCTTCTTTAATCCATTGCTAGATGAGGGCCTCCCCACACTGAGGCTCTTGGTGGTCAGTGCAATTAGATGGAGACAGGGAGCATAGAATACATGACAACGATTATTATAATTCAATCACTATACAGTTTCAAACCTGCTTAGTTTCCGAACTCTGATAAGATGGGGCTCATTCCAGGTTATTTGGTCAGAGGCAAGTTTATGGTACAGCCGTGAGAGTATAGTGCGTGAGTGTGACATGCCTGGTGTGTGTGTGTGTGTGGCATGTGAGTGATGCGTGTGTTGTGTGCAGCACATGCGGGGGTGTGTGCGTGGCACGTGCGACGCGTGTGGTGCACGTGGCACATGAGTGTATGACGTATGTTGCGTGTGCGCATGCTGCAGAAGGAGAGCGGGAGCGTGGTTGGTTTCCCCGTCGCTGTGCTGAGCGCATCTCCCTGCCGGACACGGAGAGCATGGAGAGCACGGAGAACTCCACCGAGGGCAAGAAGAATTCCTGACGTGCAGAGATATACCACCCTTCTCCACACGACACCGCTCTACGGCAAATGTGCAAAAAGCGCACATGCTCGGAAAATTATTCTAAACACAAAATAGAAACCTTCTTTACAGCTGCGCTAACGTTTACAAATGGCTCCTGGAAATAAATTAAGGAAACTACTGAACACGATACATTTTGCATTTTTTTAAAAACTTAAATGGTTACATCCTGTACGTGTTTTACTCTAAATTTATAATATGTTAATGTGTTCTTGAATTTGAGGATGAACAATGTTTAAAGGATAATAGTGCTCTGAAGTGTGTGTACCTTTGGTGCACACCTCTAAATTAAAGTATTTTACCTTTGCTTTCAGTTGCAAAGGTTCCTCTTCCGCTGTTTGCATGAAATGCTGTTTGGCTTTGGGAAATAGTTTGGGTCCGATTTAACAGGAGTGGATTTGCATACCCGATTTTGCAGAATTTTTGCAGAAGGATCTTCTCATTGACTTAATGGTCAGCCAGCTTTAATATTGCCTACAATTACATGTTTTGCATCATTTTGCTTTTGTGTGACCACTCAGAGCTCTATATGTACGCATTTCTCTTATTTTATCTGGGTTAGGTTTGTGTTCATTTTCGTGTATTATGCGGCTAATCTATTTCTACTCAATGAAATTTGAATTCACTCTTTTACTATATTTATTTTACCAGGTAAGGGCCACTGAGCTATATAGTTATTTTTCAGAAGTGACCTGGCCACAAATGATAGTTCAACAAATTGGCTTATGTGGAAATGTATAGCAGCCAAATACTCTAAACGCATGTTTCTAAATGTGGAGGTTAAAACTGGTGGACCCAGAGAAAAAGCCACACGATCACGGGGAGAACTTGCAAACTCCAAATATACAGCAGCAGGCGTCATGGATGGGATAGAACCCACGACTTCCTCTCTATGCGGCCACGCGTGGGAAATCATGTGTACTATATGCGCTACTTGGCAGGCAGCTGTCTGATGCGGTGCATTGTGGGTTGTGTGATTGTGGTCTATGCTACGCGATTTCGCTTTGTTATATTTTTTTGGAACGCGCCTACCACAAAGTGAGGGAAAACTGTATTACCCTCAGCCTCCATCGGTGCCCATAGACTCTGCCACGTGACTTTGCTGTCCGTGCAGTGTAGAGTAGGATTTTGCAAACTCCAGGTCCAGTAAACAGAGTATACGCTGATTAGATGTAACGTGCAGTTTGAATTGGATTATGCTTTCCGCACCTAAATGTGAAAATCCAGCCTGGTCAGACCGTTCCATTTCATTTCCACTAACACTTTATTGTATGGTTTCATATTTATTTAATCGAGTACCAGGTACGTGAATCCTCCATAACATTTTTTCCCAAATCATATTGCTAAGTTTCAGCTCTCCCTAACACTAGAATTGAGACATTACAGTTGGAGTAAAGGCATTTATTCATCTGATGTGTATGTGCACCCTGTTTTGTGAAATCTTTATCTGGCTCAATCAAGTTCTAAAACTAACTGTGGCTTGTACGAGAAGAAGAGAAAAATGTGTATTAATGCTGCTGTCTTGATGACCAAACAGCATTGTGTCTTAAGCCATCGTATAGCAATAGGTAACTACTGGGGCCAAATGTATTGTCTATATTCTCGAGTTTCACATAAGAACACTTGGTCCACATACACACCTAATTTAATTGCGAGTTTTTAGTTGCAATGGGAGCCGCGATGATGGTCAATGTGCTTGGGAAGGTCGAGGATGTAGACATTTTTTAAATGCTGGCACCCAACCAAGTTGTGGTGCAATACAGCAGGGTATTAAAATCTCCCAGGCCATACTCATCAATTAAAAAAAGTAATATATTAATGTTTGTATCCTTAAAATAAAAAATAAGTAAGAAGTGTCACATTTGAGTTTTTACTCCCGTGACGGTGTTTACATAGTATTTCCACGGTGGCTGAATGGGCGTCAAGTCCAAGCTTATTCCAAATCAAGCAATGAATGGTGGTGGCGGCGGTGTGGCTCGGGTAGGGTGGACAGGTGGTGTTAATGTCATCGCTGCCACGCTGCTGAGGGACAGCAAAGTTGTGTTGAAAGCAGTGCCCTGCAAATCGGCACTGCGGCCCATTTGAAGTTGCCATGAATAAGCTGGTTATGATGGCCTTTAGACATTTTGTGTACAGCAAATGGATAGATTGTGCCAATGGACATTCTCTATCAGTAAATATGGCTTGTGGAGAGGAAGCAGTGGTATTTAGAGGAATCTATTTATTTTATATGTTTTGCTTAAACACGGGTATTTGGTAGTTTTATTTTTTGTTATGTTTAACCACTAGCTCGCATGCATCAATCTGTAACTACTATTCAAATCGTTCTTTATGGAAAACAGGCTGGCACTTTCATAGATGCTGGTTTTATCTTGATTTGGGTATTTTTTTGTTTCGCCTATTCTGTTCAACATCACTCATTTTCATGTTAAGATTAAATAATTCTCGGTATATTCACCGATGATTCACAGATTCGTTTGACACAATCTGTCGTGCATTTATGATTTTAATGTGATGATAGCCAGAAAAAAGTGCAGTCAATGGGGCCTTATGCTGTATATACTTTCACTCAGTATGGCGCATTGAGAAATACAACCATGGTAAACCGCAGCGTGCTGTCAGCTACCAAGATAAATTGTCCTATTTTTGCCACATACTAAACAAGCACATGCATTATCAATAAACATCGACATTTAAGTAATTACTGTGGGATTAATTATACACATGTTCATGTATTGTCAGTCACAAAATGTATTCCTGATTTCCACAAGACTAGAAACACTCAAGTGCCCTCCACTCAAGGTTCTGAAGGTTAGTGCCAAACATTGCCTAACGTACCAATTGTTGCATTTGAACCCAGTTCTTGATAGACTTTAAATGATTTTGGTATATTTCGCTAAACTCAAGTTCAGTACTATAAGCACGAGCTCCTTCATTGGGTTTAGAAGTCTGTGCATTTTTCGTATGTAATGTTTGGTCTTTGGTTAAAATTGTCCAGAATTGTTAAATGTGGATTTGTCCTATTGGCGGTTGTGTGCTTAACTGATCTTGGAAAATGTTGGATGGTGTTTCGATATTTTGTCGAATAAGGTAACGGTTTATATGTTTGTTCCTGATGACCAGTATTCCTGTAATCAATTTTCACCTTTGTATTAATGCTGCGTATAGGCTAAAGAACCACCAAAACATTTAAGTATCTTTAAATTTGTCAATGCACTTGCTTTGACTAATCTACTTCCAGAGGTGAAGACCAGGTGAAACGAAGTACTGTATGTTCACTCTTACACATGCTTGCTGTTATATACAGCTATATTGTCTGTGGTCTCCCAATATAAGTTTTTAATCGAACCGTGGAGCATAGTGTTAATACTATATCAGTGAATGAGTTGATTGGATCATTGAGTAAATTTGAGCCCTGAAATATGTTTTAGATATTTGTATGCTGTATTTGGTATACAGATGCCAATACATTCCCAGTGTTGAACATTGGAACATAGCCCATTTTGGAACACAGCAATCATGTTGGCTAAATTATTTTCCACGTCACCTAGCAATAACCAATTGTACAGTGTAATATTTTATGAACGTTATTTTAAAAGGAAACATGCATGAAAAAGCATAGAATTTCTGGAATAAAATGCTAAGAAACAATTGTTCTCGTAATGTGTTTTTTTAATTAAAAGAAAATACGAATAAGCACATTGAATAATGTATGTTAAAGTTGAAACATGATATTGGGATTCACAATCCAGGTCCAAGCCTTTACACTGAATTGTGTTTTTTTTTCATTATAACCTAATATTACCAAGTTGGATGTACTCGGCTTGAATCGGCGCGTGCAGGCAATAGATGCATTTCTCCATCACAAAAGCATGAGAGTTGATCGATTCATTATCTTCGTTTAGATTTGCGATTCATTGTAAAATTGACTTTTTTTATATAGTTTGTAGTCATGTATTTATCATTCCGTAGCTACAGTCGTTCTGCGTTAATATAAATTTATAAATACAAGTTTCAATCGTAATACATTCTTACATACACTCCAACGCATGTATCAAGCCCAATCTTAGTTTCATGAATTGTTACATCTGTAGTGCCATAGCGCTGGCTGCTGGCGGAAAAGGGTAACTGCGGTGTATGGCCTTAACCACGTCAGCAGGCCGCGATAGACACGAGAGGGGGATATTAGGTTTTTTTCGGTAAAGTCACGTAGGTAAGAAATTAATAAAAGTAACCGAACCTCACAAAATAATAATATTCAGGACCTACCTTGGCTCCTCCCACCCTCAAGCAGTATATATACAAATACTGTGTTCTTGGAATTTCTCTCACTTGATACAGCTATCGTGCTGTGACGGTTCCACCTGAAGACGGAAGCTTGTTGCCTCCGAAACATCGTGATTTTTATTTTACTTTTATTAATTTTAATTTTTTACCTACGTGACTTTACCGAAAAACCCCCCTAAGAATATGAATCCTTGCAGTCACGAAAGCTTCAAATCTAGAACGAAAGGGGGACATCTAGCGGGGAAAGGTCACAGAGGGGGGCCCATCGAGAAGCCGCTGGAAGGTTCCAGAGGGGGGGGGGGGGCGTGCGTGGGGGTACTCCACAGAACGTGACATGATGCTGTTTGGACTATATCCAGAGGCACAGTGACGGCTAGCGTGACTCTGTGGTTGAATGACATTGGTGGTGCGTCGCCCAATCGCCCTAATGAAGAAACCGCCCCTGCCGATGGTGTTCGTTAAATAAAATAAGTGCCTCCAAGCATGACTGTCTCCGCGTTAGTCACTACATATGTTTAATGTACACGGGAAAACATTTTTTTTCGACTATATAATACTTTTGACACATCCACTCGCATTTTGTAAACTTGGGGTTACCAACTGGCCCATTGAATGGCCCATGTACTCGCCTTTGGGAGCTGGGTTTGTGGCTTATCAACACTAAACTTGCCAGTGCAAAAACGACGTCTGAGGCTTCTAGATACAGCAACAGTATTATTATCAACACGTGGTTAATATTAAAGTGGTAACCCAAAGAGCTTGCTGTCACGAACGTTTAATCGGACATCTTTAGACCTAAACTGTGTCGTCTTTCTTTATCATTTCTATTTCACGTGCATCCGACTACACGCGAAACATTTCACATTCTTACTTTTCACGACATGAATTTGTAGAGCACCATCGTCACAGCTCTTAACTGCAAGGGGGTAAAATGTGGTTCTTTTCATTTGAAGGTCGCTCCTATTTTGTTACTTGGGGTCATGCATTCCGTTAGGTGTGGCGCCCCCCCCCCCCACAATTAAAACCACTGCTCCCTGTTTAACTCCCCTCCCAGGCCACAAACACAACTAAGTTGAAGGCCACAATACAGATTATACTGGTTACACCAGCCCACAGGGGATTATTGTGTCCGTCCGTCGTGCATACAAAAATGGGAGAGTTGGGGCTGGGTGGGGAGGGGCTGGTCACCCCGTGGTGCCCTTATACAACTCAACGTTTAACCTACTCACGCTGGCTTGTGCCCGCCCTCACAGTCGGGCATATTTGCGGAATACACCACGCCGCCGTTGACCCTGGCCATTGACCGAGCAACCCAACGTTCCTACCAGCTCCCTCCGCAGGAATGTGTTCGTCAGGCGTTTGATTCATGTTCGTGTATTATCAATGTTTATTACTCGGCACAACAGTGCAGCAGCCACACTGTTCTTCCCGCACATTCGAAAGTTCTTCACCAAGGTATCCATGCCGCATCCCCCCTGGATGCCCCGAACCCACGGGTTGCGAACCTCTCGTTTGACGTTTGCGTTGAAGGTGCTACAATCCTCGTGCAACGCGTTTAACACCGCAGATGCGTTCCTGACAAGTGACGCGTTAAGCGAGAACAATTTCCCCCATAAAAAGTGCAACCATAACGTTTGGCGAGATGCGATGAAGACACACAGCAAGACGGCGCGACAAATAACTGAGGGTAACCTCGCCACGTTGCTGCATCTTTCCTCCGATGAGCACGGTTTGGCTACGTACCGTGCGAAAGAAATTCAACATACGTATATGGAGCCTCACGGCTCGAGAATGTATCACGTCGTCGACCGTTGGAGGGGCCGTCCATAAATGACGTCACGCGATTTTGTACGATTTTTGACCCCCCCCCTCGTCACACGGCGTCACAAAAAGTCAGACCCCCCCCCCCTCAAATATGACGTCACAAGTTCATTTATCAGGTATAGCCCTGTGAGCCATTCGGCTCTTGAATCGGGTGCAACCGCAACAAACAAAAAACAAAAACATGAACAAGAAAACATCTTAAAGTGACTATGTGACTAAGTGCAAACAGGAAATCCAAGAAAAGACAGCAGGGTAAAGCGTTGTGACGTCTGTTTCAGGTCACGGTGGTGGATCTAGCGCAAGAGAACCCACGGGGAGAGAAAATACGGAGATGAAATCATGTGTACATGTCTGAGCTCGTGGCTCTTCTTTGCATTTTGGTTAGGCCATGCAGTAACTTCGTGCCAAAATCATTGTCAACCCTCCACCACCCAAGAACGCGTTTCCACGTTTACAGATACATCATGCCGACGTGCCGGTGTATTTATCAAATTGTGACCAATACAGCTTAAGATTTTCCATGACCCCCAATCTTCCACCGGTGTTCGTCAATTGACCGTTCCGCCGTGGAAGGCGAACTGCTCGCGGTCTCGCAGAGCGCACGTGGCGGCACGTGGCTGGCTCCACGTGCTCCTTCCACGTGGGGAGTGGGGGGGGAGGTCACGCGTCTCGCTCGTTATCATCCGTTTGAAGCCAAACCGATGATTTCTAATAACAATTGTCATTACGTAGATCGTTCCGACTGCTCACGACCGTTTCAACTTTCGCCACCGTTGAGCACGATGGAACTGGCCGACTTGCTGCTGCAGGAGGTGGACGCTCTGCTGGTCGGGGCGGCGTGCAGGGTGACTCTTCTGCCGCGTCTCCTGCGAGGTGACAGCCCACTCAAAACCCCGAACCCCTCCCCGGACTCGTATCAACGAAATATTGACAATCAACGGCCGTCTTCCTCTCATCCACCACCGGATGAAAGCCTCCACACGCGCAGCGATGACCGTGGGTTTGGGACAAGTGGGGAGCATAGTACGACAACAACAAATGCTTATTTTTTAAATCCTTTATATTAAGTTCGCTTGCTTGCTTACTTGCGTGCTTGCGTGCTTGCTTGCTTGCTTACGACCGTGTAAATCTTTCGGTCGTTTTTTAACCCACTTCCCGTGATCCAATCGAGCTGACATTTTGCACACAGACTCGTTGTGCGTGACAATTGATTTTCGTGAAAAAAAATTTCAAAAATTTTACACTGTTTAGAAAGAATTTTTTTTTATTACCAATTGCTTAATGCTGGCAGACAATCATCTGACCCATAGGTGGCAGCCATCTCAAGCCAGAGGACGAGAGGACTCTAGCCGCCACGCATATAAAGGATTTATAGTGAAAAACTTTGTTTTTACGGGTTATACTTATTATTTGCCCTACTGCATCCCTGCTGACAACGTAGCCCCAGCAGTAGCAGCAGCTTTCAACACGCGTCTCGTGCACGGTGGTTCGCCCATACGCGCACCATCGGAGCCTCAGGCCCGCTGAGCTTCCCAGATATGACGAGATCGGGCTCATTCCGAGTGATTCGGGTGACAAGGCGTCATTTGGATAAATGACCCGTGCTCACAAGGTCCCGATTATGCTGCGCGACTCAATGCAGGGAAGTATGGACAGAGAAGATTAATGAAATAACGCCGAGAAAATATCAATTGTGATTCAGTGAGCAATTAATCTGCTTTCCTGTTTTTAATGTTCATGATTTTTCGTGATATATATCCAGCAAAACAATGACTCATTTGGTTGCCATCATGACAACAAAAAACCTGATTCTATATGTTATAGAGGCAAGAAATGTGTGAATTGGAAGTTGCTATATGTAACAATGCAGCAGTGGACGTAGCGGTTTGAGCGCTGCGCTCTAAACCCAGCGACCTTGGTTCGATTCCTAGTCGCAGCTAATATCAGTAGTGGGTGATATCTGAACTTTCAACTCTCCGCACTCATCAGCGTGATGAAGTCTGGTCAAGAGACCAATATGGCATGAGCAGGGCCTTCAACCATCAGTGGATTGACTAAATATCTAAAAATGTTGTCCTATTAAAAAAAAGTTTGAGTCACATTACTAGAACAGTAAGACGAAGACTGATTTCAATAGTGATTATTTTAAATGTCAGATGTTGGGAAAATGTTTTACCGTTGTTAACCAAAACGTATCTGGCATGAGCGCCCACATCCGTGTTTTTTTTAATTAACTCGACATCTTCCTGGGCTGTGGTATTGCCAATGAGGTCACAGATTGCAAAGAAATGTTTGACCATACCATACTTCTCCGCGCTGGTTCTGGTTAATGTGCGCTGGTGAAGAAGTGGCCCAAGATATGCTCTAATATCACTCGCCATTTATATCAGCCACTGCAAGAGATCAAACCCAATTTGCCAAGATTCTAACTACCCCACTACACCACTGGTCGACCCACCTACTACATAATAGCTGATGATTGGGAACATTTATTTTGTAACTGTGGATGACTAACATGGTGAGTTTTTTTTTACAAGCAATTATTGTTCAGAGTATGATACTTGATTATTTTTTAACGATGTTTACCTGATTATTGATACTCTGGTGTTTTGGGCCACAGACGACAAAGAAGAGTTGGTTGCAAGCATAGAGAAGGACATAGGAGATGCTCGTGAGTTGGTGAGTCCACATTTTCTTAATGATAGCATCGTGCTCAGAATTAAAATATACATACTGTTTGAGATGAAACCGATTTTTGTTTCAAAATGTTTTATGCAAATACAATTAATCATCCCATCCTACTAAAGTCTACCTTTTAATTTTCACCACTCTTCCTCCTCAGGACGAGAGTTCGCGAAGCCTCATTTTTATATTTATGCATATTTATTTAGAGTAAGAAGTATAGCGATGCGTCACATGTTTCAAGTGTGACATCAAGTGGAAATAGGTGATTTCCATTTCACAATGTGCGTTGATGCCCTTGCTTTTAAGAGCTTCCAAATGATATCAGCCACTAAACACTGAAAAAGAAAGCCCTGCTCCCTGTTGTCGTAGGCATTTTATCGAGCAAAAACATGGACCTTCCCATGTCCCTCTTTACCGCTTACAAGGCCAGGCAATGGCGATATAACGTGGCTACTACAGTAGGCCATGTTACAATTCACCTCGTGCCATACATACATCTATTCCACTTCTGCTCAGTTATAAATAGGAGAGATCAGAAAGGTACAGCAAATGCAAATGCTCTTCATAAGTGCGTTGCTCCATTATCGCCGGAGTACTCCTCGTGCCCTGTTGTTGTTTGTTGTTGTTGTTTGTTGTTGTTGTTGAGAAAAATACGCGGTGCTGCTTTTTGAGAATGTTAATACTGGTAGGAACCTCCTGGTTCCACCAGCCCACAGGGGATTATTGTGTCCGTCCGTCGTGCATTCAAAAATGGGAGGGGTGGGGCTGGGTGGAGAAGGGAGGGTGGGGAGGGGCTGGGTGGGGAGGGTGGGGAGGGGCTGGGTGGGGAAGGTGGGGCTGGGTGGGGGGTGGGAAGGGTGGGGCTGGGTGGGGAGGGGCTGTTCACCCCGTGGTGCCCTTATAAAACTCAACGTTTAACCTACTCACGCCGGCTTGTGCCCACCCTCACAGTCGGGCATATTTCCGGAATACACCACGCCGCCGTTGATCCTGGCCATTGACCGAGCAACCCAACGTTCCTACCAGCTCCCTCCGCAGGAATGTGTTGTGTACCACGTTTTATGAGGGGGGGGAGGGGTGTCGCACTTGTCACCAGTGTTTCCTGTTGGACAATGGCATTGTGGGTTCTTTGTTGTTGATTTAATGTCTCGTATGTATAAAAATGTCCAGCCCCTCTCTCAATCTACTGCTGGGTGAAGGCGTCCCCACAGCATGTCAAGTTGTGGGGATTTGTACCATAGCTACTTTAAGATGTTTTCTTGTTCATGTTTTTGCTTTTTGTTTGTTGCGGTTGCACCCGATTCAAGAGCCGAATGGCTCACAGGGCTATACCAAATAAATGAAACTGAAACAAAAACTGAAACTGAAGCTATACAAAATGCAAAATTCAACACTGGGTCTGTTGCTGTGTACGACATTGCCCATTGATTTTATAAATTACAGTATTTAAGTACTGTACCGTACTGAAATATTCCATCCACAAGATTTCCATATCCACATATCCGTTACATGGACAATGAAGATGTTCATCTGCATTGAAATGTAGATGTGCATGTTCACAATCACACTCACCGCATCATGTTGAATAGGCTACTGTTTCAACCATTAGTCCAATATTTTTTTCTGCTACAAGGCAATGTTAATGAAAGCTGTTCGGTTGGACATTTGCGCCGCACACCAATGTTTCGCACCCGACGGAGTACATGCGCGTGGGTGTTAAAGTGTTCACGTTTTCGTGCACACATGTCATTGCACTGTCAGCTCCTCCAGCTAAACGAAGGCTCCCTTGGTGCATTGCTGTTCGAGTTTCTGGTGGGGAAGAAAAATGCGTGTGCTCGTTTTTTTTTGCCATCTGCTCCAGGAGCTATGCTGAGTGACCTTGTTGAAAACGTCACACAAGTGCTGTTATCGTGCCTGGATTAGTGAAGGACACATATTTTGGAGAAAAATATGTAGTTGAGCTATCTTCCTCCTCTCCCTTTCATCTGCGCACTTTCATCCGGCTTGCTATCCGCACTCTGCAATCGGAAACATTGAGAGGAAGGCGGGCAGGCAGTGGATCAGTTGTCGCCGACCTATGTATGTTTAAGATTTGTTTCGCGCCGTACGCAGCCAATCGTGCTAATCGGAGGTGCGGTGGAAGGACAACAAACGAAACACAAAAATCAGTTCTAAACAATTCAGTTTTCGATCTAGATTTACTATCGGAATGAAGAGCGTTCCAAACGGCCGCATAAGCGCATCTGAAAGCGCGCGATGCGGTGACCGTATTTGTTCGATGGCTCGCCAAAAGCCACCGCGAGGTTGACCGGAGTTCGCGTGGTGGCTTTACGCTCCTTGTTCAAGTTCAAGTTCATTTATTAGGTATAGCCCTGTGAGCCATTCGGCTCTTGAATCGGGTGCAACCGCAACAAACAAAAACATGAACAAAAAAACATCTTAAAGTGAATATGTGACTGAGTGCAAACAGAAAATCCAAGCAAAGACAGCAAAATATCGAGGTCAGCAAGGTATCGTGGTTCATTTGCGGCAAGGACTTGTGCATAATGAGCGAGAACTTATAATATTTTCGTTCAACGACCGGAGCCATTGGAGCTTTTGCATTGTTTTGTATTTTTTGCATTGTTTTGTATTTTTTTCCCCATTGTGTTCGTGACATACTCTGGACAGCTGGAGCAGCTGGAGCTGGCTGGGTGGGAGATGGACGCAAAGCGACGAAAACGTCACCAGGAGCTCGTGAAGACCAAAGGAGAGGCTGTCACTCAGCTACAGAAGGACTACGTGAGCAACGTCCTCCACGAGTCCATCAGCGTCGCTGCGTGTTGCGCACGAGCGAAGCTGGGAGCTATGTCGTTCACATATGCACCTCCGACTAGCACGTGTTGGCTACGTACGATGCGAAAGAATTTGAACATTCATACATGAGAAAAAAGTTCAACATACATGCTATGTGCATGGATTGGCTTGCGCTAATTACTTTTACAATACGAGTCTTAAGCGTTAATTAGAGTATAGTGTATGAGCAGTACACTCGTATTGATGTTGATTTTAAACGGATTTTTATAGTATCTCATCACATTCCAAGACGTTACACTACGGCTTGCGTGCCCACCATATAGTGAACTGAATGAGATTCCCATTGATTTCAACTGTGGGTAGACGACATAGCAATCAGGGGCGATACTTTTAGAAGTGCGCAGACAGTGCTACTGCATCGGGGCCCAGAGGCCACAGAGGCCACAGAGGCACAGGTACCAGGCTCCAAAATGAGGAGGGGGATGGGCAATTGGATTGGGGGGCCCCATTGAAATCATTTCACCAGGGCCCATGCCACCCACCCCTGTGACAATGATGTCCAGTGTCAAAGACAGACACTCAAATGCATCGACCCTTCAGAAATACCACATTCTGCTTTGACACAGTGCACGTGTTATCAAGCGTTTAAAACATGTTTTTGCTTTCAAAACACAAACATGAAACACCAACTCGTTACATGCGTTGCTGCGTGGTATTTATGGCGTGGGACATTGTGGGTTGAATGGGGCCCCCGTAGTTTAGAGGAATGGAGTCTCGTCGTTTGTGTGTCGTGTCGATGTTTCTGGGTTAGATATTTACGCGATCTAACCCAAAAACCTCTATTATGGATTGATTATATTGGTTGCGAAATCCGACTACGTGTTAAAACTCACATACGGTAACTCGGCGAGCTTTTATTTACCAATCCTGACTACTCTGCTGATGGGATCCAGTAGGTCGAAACCAAGTTTGCTTGAATTGAAAAAGCTGCTTGATAATGCTGGTGTGGGAAGCCAATAATTAGACCGATGGACTACAACTTTTTTGTTTGTTACCAAGTACGTGCAAGAAGTTCATTGGTTTCCCAATACGGCCACACTGCCTTATAACAATTGACCATTCTAGATTTGAAGCTTTTGTGACTGCAAGGATTCATACTCTTAGGTTTTTTCGGTAAAGTCACGTAGGTAAAAAAATAAAATTAAAATTAATAAAAGTAATAATAGAAATAAAATATTAATTTAATTTTAATTATATATGTTTTACCTACGTGACTTTACCGAAAAAAACCTAAGAGTAACAATTGACCAGGAGAGGGCGCAATAACACAGCACATCGTATGTTCACGGCTGTGTCCGTGGTCGGCAGTGGCGGGCCCGGATCTCCTACAGGGACGTAGTGAGTCCATGGAATGAAGTTCTGGAGGAAGGTGCAGAGGAGGCCAACCTGTCGGAAGATCTGGTAAGTCCACGCGTCCACTGCGCTGTCTGCCGCGTGTATTGTGGGTTCCATGTTCGGTCACTGAGGCCGCAGCTTAAGCGAGAACATCGCCAGGGAATGCCCTCTGATCTCGCCAGAGCTCCAAAGCTTGGAGCGGGATGGGAGGCTGCTGGATCGTGCTGGCGCGGATGGATGGGTGGGTGGCCACCACATATGTCAGATTGTTCGGAGATGGTTGTGGGGCGTGCAGCAGAGGGTCATTAGTGGCGCCACGGTGGTGAGATGTTCACCACGTCGTCTGGTTTGCGGGAGGTCGTGTGTTCGATCCAAATCCCGACGCATGTTGTGGATTTGGAATTTGCGTGTCTCTCCCGGTGGTGGCGTGAACATTTTCTCTGGGTCCTCCGGTTCCCCCCCCCCCCCCCCCACATTTTAGAGTATTTGGCTGTTATGCATTTCCACGTGATAAGCCACTTCCTTGAGCTATCATTTGTGGCCAGGTCGCTTAGGAAAAAAGAGTTTACATTTTATTAGAGCTGAATCCATTGTTGTACTGTATATCTGTGCTCACACATCTCTTACTCCCTGCCTTCACCGACCACCCCCCCCTCCACCGACTTGCGTGGTGAAGTATGGTCAAATAACCCCCATGACGTTCGCTGCGTGGGGGAGGGCCCCCCTCATCCAGCAGTGGATTGACACAAGGGCTGCACAAATGCCCGAGTAACGGTCATAGTACAATCAATACATGCCACCATACAATTTGGGTTTAAGTAGCATGTGGGTCGCAATGTAAATGCAAACGCATATCAAGGAGATCGTATATATAAGGAGAGTCATGTATACACAATTGTTTTCTTATAAGTTTTTTTTTTACTGTTTATAAAGGAAGGCAGCAATGAGTCTGGCAGGCAGTCGACAGCACGGTGGGCAGGTGGAAGGGAATATCCAAACTGCAGGAGCGACTTGGTACCCAGCATAGACAACACAAATACTGATAAACAAACAAAAGCAAGCCTCGATACGATCGTCAATAGCACTGGGGGGGCCATAATAGGACACAATATATAATCGGCGACGTTTCAAGCAATGGCCCTTCTTCACAACACACAAAGAGGATTTTACGTGCCATTAAAAAAAATGGCCTTTGCCCAAAAATGTCATCTATTATTTATCTTTTCCTTTTAAAGCCGCCACGGTGTTATTGACGAATTCGTTGACCTTCTTGAGAGATGGAGTTCACCTTGCCTGCGGTGGCACGAGCGTCACGTGCAGTCCACAACGAATGGCTATCGCGCTCCGCCGCCATGTGATGGGGTTGTTGGATCACCTTTCGAAGATGGGGGCAGTTCATCAATGTACCTGGCCCAAATGTATGTATGTATGATGCACTTCTTTCACACCGTACGTAGCCAACCGTGCTAATTGGATGTGCCTGGGAAAGACAATAAAGCGTTATAAGTGGAGAACAACTCTAATCTTCATCATCAGCCATGATCAATCCACTGCTGGATGAAGGCATCCATTCCTAAGCCGATTAGCACGGTAGTCTACGTACGGTGCGAAGGAAGTTCAACATCCATGAGCTCTCGCAGTCCTGCCATGTAATAATCCACCTGGCACATGAACACGAGTTGATTTTGTTGTTCCATTTCTGCAACTGATGAAATTTACTAAAATCATCTCACCTAAAATAAAATGATACTGATGTTGTTAGCGTCTATGGCATCTTACAACACATTTTTCCATCATTTGGAACATTTCCAGACACGTGCGCATGGGGATGATCAGTTTACTTAACTTCACTTTCTCAGCGTTTGGCAGTGGCTGGTTCATGAAAGAGTCAAACATTTCCCAAAGCTCCCAATTTTTTTCAACAAACAAAACACTACTCTGTTCTATATTAACAATATTGGATTAGAACTGCAAAGGGAATTAAGTTTTACTCATGGATTCATTTTCATTGCAGGTGTTTATTTTTAAATTAATTTGTACAATGCAAATATATGACTCAAGACCCACAGCACCGTGAACGATTCAGTGAGGCGTGATAGTGTGCATAGGCCCCAGTAGTACATTTGACTTTCCTACATAATGCATCAATTAACATGTTTTTGGAAGTCATGCTGGGACCTCTAATTAACAAATAACATCTGGAGAAAAGGTTGGGACCAAGGAAAATGCTTTCTTTTGCTTAGATTGTGAAAATGTTGGTAATTTCATCAGCTGGGGTTGCCACCTGTCCTGGTTTTCATTGGATCGTCCTCTGTGTTTGAGTCACGTTAAGAGTCCTGATTTTTTTTTCGGTTGCATAATAATTAATATACAACTCAAGCCAATGTATTTACTATATGAAGTTCTCCCCTCTTTCGGTCTTGTGAAATCTTCTTCCCGTGAAATGGCATGATTATTTTGTGCCTTAGAGGTGGCAATCCTTCCATCAGGACATAATTTACTTCATTTTTCTGCTACACACTTACACAGTACGTGCCAATAAATTCAACCCAGCCAGTGCCGTGTGTTCAGCTTAATATTGTCAAAGAAAAGAAAGCTGTGCAGAGGCCCTGCTAAAAAAAATTCTAGACACAGATTATCCGATGATAGAATGCAATGTAATGACTTGTTCCATTCTAATTCCCTGCGCTGTTCACAACAAGATTATGCACCACTTGCTATCTTGAGCCCCGCAAAGTTATTTCCCACCGTGTCACTTTTCGTTAACCCAGTGTTTGAGAAATTCATTGGAATGTTTGAATTTATAAATGTAATGAAATGACTAAAACCACCTAGTATTAAACATTAATATCTGTGGATTTCTCCCCACGATGCTCATGGAGTTCTGGATAGCGCATTTTTGCTATGATTAGAGAACATTCATTGTGAGTTTAACACGTAGGCTTTCGCGACCAATATTATTCATAATCAACGTTTTTGGGTTTAGATCGCGTTATTTATAAATGTGTCGTAACCCTCCACCACCCGACACGGCCAATCAGTAAAAAAGTGTCACGTAGGACAAAAGACAAATAGTTAACTGCTTTAGCCCACCGGTGTGTTGAAGCGTGAAACCACAACATTTACAATTTTTTTGTGCTTTTGCCGCACGTTCAAGAGAGAAGGACTGGACAACTCTTGGTTGACATGTTTTATCAGCAGGTTATCAAACTCTATTAAAAACAATCACCCACACGATTACTGTGGCATGAGCAATGTCGCGCATCCGACTCGCTGGGAATAGAGGTGTAGGCCGGTGTGTCGAAAGGTCAGATTTGTGAACATTTATAGCAAATGACACCATGCACAAATACTGTACTGGGTATAGGCAGTTAATCGATGAGGGCAGATATGCGACGGTCGAATATGCAGTGTACTGTACGTGGCTTTGCTCGGTATTGGATTGTGAGAAGCAACAATGTTTTGCGGCACCTGAAGGATGGCATTCCACTTCGGATATGCGTGCCATAGGTTGAGCAACTCTCGAACTTGAATCCTAACACTCCCAGTAAAACCTGTGTATGCAACATGAGTCATTATTATTCTTAAACTCAGTTGACTCGTGTATTTTTTTTCTCTTCTGGTATTTCGAAATCCTTGAAAACATTTTTTGTCGTGAAAAATATTTTGGCACCCGAAGAAAGCATATTTTGAAGGTTATATTTTTTATCCATAATGTGTTTTGCGCAGATTTGAATGTTTTATATTCATGGTAAATGTTATGTCTTTGCAATTAATGTTATGTCTTGTTATGGGTTATTTGCCCCGATAGTACATTTACAATGCTACTTTGGAAAGCAGTAATGATGAATTAAACAAGTGACGTGATGTGTGCCTGTTTGTCTAAACATGCACTTCATAGTTTGTTTTCTGAGCATAGACTTTTTAACATCAAATACACAAAGCATGGGGCTGCTACTAATTTTATAACACAACAAGGCGTCGTGGGTCTTTTTCCTCCATATTTGCAACTTACAGTTCAATTATTCACGACCTGCATTACAGTTCAATTATTCACGACCTGCATTGTAGCTAAAGTCGTGTGTAGCATCACTAGGGGAAATAGATTACAAAAACACTTAATTCCTTTGGCATAAGGTTTAAAACCCCAAACTTGGCTTGTCGACACACAGCATACTGACAATGCCAGTTGCAATGTGGACTGTCATTTGGTAGTTTGTAAATTAATATTCACAACTTCTAGTTCCGACGGGAGCGGTGATGCGGTGGTTCAAGCAACGCACTATGAGCCCGGCAACTTCGGCTAACATCAGTGGCGAGTGGTGGGTGTCTGAATTGCTGTTCAATAGCTCTCCTTCCATCCTTGACCAACCCACACTGGAGCTTCGTCAGAGAAACCCCCACGAAGAATGACATAAGTTGGGGAGGCCTTCCTCCAGCAATGGATTGACCAAGGATTGTAAATAATTGAAAATAAATTGCCATGTAACCCTATCTATTTCTTCTCTCACAGCCGCTGGACTAGTGGTGAAATTCGTCTGCAAGATTAAATATGCCATGTTGCTCAACGGTTAATTGTATTTAACTGAGTAAAGGAACCAACTATAATTATCAAGAGGCTGGGTTCTATAAATTAGACAAACTCACAGTCCAACGTCTTCCCATTAATACATCCTGATAATACATGAGGTATCATTCTATAGGCAATTTTAGTTTTAGAAAGTATGGCTTATTTGTAGAAATAAGTCCAATGGCTTTATATACTTGAACTGAATATACAATCGCTTTTGTAGTATGAATGAAAACGTCAGTTTGTCTTGGTACATCGGACAACGCTGCAATTGAGAGTATTTCTCCCTAATAAATAGAGGTGGACACGTTATTACTATTGGAATCACAGTCCTAATTGGTTGACAAGCCCAAGCAAAAAGCCACTTAACGATTATACTAATGATTACCTACCTCTTTAAAGTGTCTGAAGTCTGCATTCGAATTTGTGGAACTTCCCAAATGGTCTCGAGTTACTAGTGGGACACTCTCTCAATTAATGTAAATGTTCTGGGCCAGGTAAGTAAACAAGATGCTATCTGCATTCTAAGTGGTGTGCTTAAAGTGGGAACTGGGCCAACAAGTGAAGAAATGCATCGGTTATTTACCTAGTGCGACCCTAAAACATAACCAACTCAGAGGTTCTAGATTTGAAGCTTTCGTGACTGCAATGATTCATATTCTTAGGTTTTTTCGGTAAAGTCACGTAGGTAAAAAACATTAAAAAGTAAAATAAAATAAAATAAACGTCGTGATTTTATTTTACTTTTTAATGTTTTTTACCCACGTGACTTTACCGAAAAAACCTAAGAATACAACTCAGAGGTCATGTGTACAAAGCTGTGTTAAATTAGAACACATTACTTGGGTAATATCGAATATGGTAAGAAGACAATAACATAAGCATCTCCCAATTGGTTTAATCGCGTGGGATCTTTAATTGTGTGGGATCTTGAAACAGACTGGTAGAGGAATTGTGGTAAGTGGGGGGGGGGGGTGTTGACAGTCTAAGACGGGTGGCATTGGCTGAGATTAATCTACAGGCATTCACATGAGTCTGGTAAAATGCTGAGGTTCAAGTAAATGCTATGGGGGGGGAAGGCAATGAATCGATAATAATTATATTCTTAGGTTTTTTCGGTAAAGTCACGTAGGTAAAACATTAAAATTTATAAAAGTAAAATAAAATAAAAATCACGACGTTTCGGAGGCAACACAAGCTTCCGTTTAACTTTTATTAATTTTAATTTTATTTTTTTACCTACGTGACTTTACCGAAAAAACCTAAGAATATGAATCCTTGCAGTCACTAAAGCTTCAAATCTAGAATCGATAATAATTCTGCACCAGCTGTGCTACACTAGCCAGGTGCGTGCGTTAGCCGTGGTGCGGTGCGTGACCTTTACTGGAGCAGTGTGCCACGTCATTGTTTTGGGGGGGGGCGAGAGGGGGCGGAATGTCTCCGTGCCAAAAAAGTCGTCAAACTTAACAATGCTTCGCAAGGTCATTAAGGCCCTGACCCTTATCTGTGAGTGTCACTCTAGCCTGAGTAGTTAGGCCGTCACAGCTCACTGTCGTTGATCACACCCATATGTGATCATCAGCTAGTTCAGCAATCGAGAAACTGGTAAATGTACAAGCTCAGGAGAACAGTATTTTGCCCATCGATTAGGCATCACTTACGTTTATTACGTGATATCTGGATACAGTGTATAGTATTTTTGCGCTTCTATTTAATTTACTGCATGGCAAGTGAATTACAACACAATATTTGTTTTCTTTAGTGGCCTGTAGCACTGTGTGCTGTGGTATGTGGCGCCGTATCGACTGTTAAAAGTGCTTGACAGATTAGCGCTGCACAGATTCCAGAGATGTAATTGAAAGCGGAATGGGGAGGCTGTACAAAGCAGCGCTGTCAATCCCCGCCACGCCAATGCATGGGTCCCGTTGCCCTTCCATCGACCAGTGCGCTCGCCCACCGAATGTGTCATCGACGGACGCGTGCTTTGAAGTCTTTCTCCTGCATAAATCGCGGCCGGGAGGCCCTGGAGATCAGCCGGCCAGCCTCCACCTCTATACCGCCAGGGATTAGGCCGCTCGCTATTTTAGGTCATAATGATTCCCTGCAATCACGCCGCCTTTGAAGGCAGGAATAATAACCAGCCATTCCCAGCCTATTTATACGCAATGTAAAAAATCCTAAATGAAATGCATTTCTGTCAATAGGTTTTTTTTTATCAATAAACTCCACAGGGGCTCATTAGCCCACGACATCTGCCCCCCGAAGCGAGGTTAGCGTTTTGGCTTCGTGCGGTCTGAGCTTGAAAGCATTGTTAACACTCCACTTTGTGAAGGCACAGTTGTGGAGCATCGTTAGCGCAAGTTACTGCAGGAAATCTGGCCTCCCGTGCACCATTTTGACGCCGGTGAAGTGCTGAGAACAGGCTGGAGCAGCTACCGGCAGAGCTACATTAACCGCTCACGATGAGACCTCTTGCCCACAGTAGTTAGTGGCAGAGGTGTGGACTCGAGTCATGTGACTTGGACTCGAGTCAGACTCGAGTCATGAATTTGATGACTTCAGACTCGACTTGGACTTGCATAACAATGACTTTGTCCCACCTCTGAGGTGTGGACTCGAGTCATGTGACTTGGACTCGAGTCAGACTCGAGTCATGAATTTGATGACTTCAGACTCGACTTGGACTTGCATAACAATGACTTTGTCCCACCTCTGGTTAGTGGTGCAAGGCAACAGCCCTGTTAAGGGTGGGTCACAGCTTTCCTGCCTTAAAAAATGCGCGTTATTCATTCGGTGACTTAATCTATGCGCAATGGCGAAGCATTTGTGTGCGATTTAATAGCAATGCATTCATGCTAAGCTTGCAGGTTTTCAATGCAGCTTTTTTTTGGGGTGCTGACGTGAAATATGAAATCAAACTCCTTGCCACAAAAAAGTGAAAAAAACTTGTGAGCTATCCGTGCAGGAATAGTTTTAAGAAAAGTTTATTTTGCGCCACTGCTTATTCTTGCCCTTCCGGCGATTGTTAAGTTGTGAACAAAGAATGCGGCGGCTTCGTCGGCAGAGAGAATCCCATTATGAAATGTAACGGCAGTTTAATAGTGCTTAAAAAAAAGAATTGTTCTCCTGATCGTTCATTAGGCACCGTAATGATTAGCCTCCCCCCTTCACCCCTTGACACGATTCGACGACTTGACATTATTCCGGGGGGGGGGGAGGGTCACGATTTTTTTTATTCGATAAATGTATTAATTTTATTGTCGCTGCCTCATTTCTGCTGTCCATCTTCTCTCGCTCGCAGCTATCTCTCTCGGCACTCTGTGCACTGCCGCATTCGCACCGCCTGCCTCGTTTGTTTCGTCCGCTGCTCCGTTGTTCCGCGATGCTCATCCCAGACGCGGACTTAAAAGGAAAACTCTTTGCACAAAATTTGCATGCATCAAAAATAATGAACTCCTTAAATAATTCGCTGAATGTATGGTGAGCTTAATAAAAAAAAAAATGTAAATCGGTTAAGTGATGAATTATCATCACATCTCGTTGGCTACGCACGATGCGAAAGAAGTTCAGTATATATACATTTATACATCTACTCTTTACCCTGTTTTTTTCCTGGTCTACACGTCAAAACTCACAACAAAATATAAATGTGTTTTGGCCATCTCGGCATTGATTCGTCAGAGCCTATGACCAAATCATCTGAAATGTGCTTGATCGCGTTCGACATTAGAAGCTAAGTAGAGTTGAGCCTGGATAGTGTTTTGGATGGGTGACCACGATGTAAACAAAAGTTGTGGGCTGCTGTGGGGCCACATTGTCAGCAGAGGGCAGTGCATCAATATCCTTTGTTGTACTGTGCTCCAGCATCTATGCTCCCCAATTTACTAACTAGCACGGTAAGGTATGATCTATGAACTAAAACTATTTTTTTATATTACCAGGTAAGGTCCACTGAGCTACATAGCTCTTTTTTCATAAGCGACCTGGCCACAAATGATAGCTCAACGACGTGGTTTATCACGTGGACATTTATAGTAGCCAAATACTCTGAACACACGTTTCTAAATGTGGAGGGGGAAAAACTCGGAGGACCCAGATAAATATCTACGCAGCCACGGGGAGCATTTACAACATTTCAAATATACAGCCGGCGTCAGTGTCGGGATTGAACCTGTGACCTGCATACCAGGCGAGGGAGTTAACATCTCGCCAGCGCAGCACCCCTGGGCGGTGTGAGGATGCCCTCATCCCGCGGTTTGATTGACGTGGACAAATTAGCGTGCAATTAGCATATCTGCCATGCCGTCTCACTGTGTACCATTCACTTTGTCCTGCCTTGCTGTGTCAGCCCCCCCACCTTGTTACCCTGCCCATCTCAGTATCCGTCTACACGTTGACTGTCCTGCCTGCCCAACACATTCCCGCAGAAAGTCCAGCTGATTGAGAACACGGTGCGGTTGGACAGCGGCACGCGGATGTTGGAGATCGCTTGCCTCGCCTGCACAGAGACAGGCACGTGCTGTGGAATGCGTGGGAAGGTTTCGTTATCACTATCATCGTCATCGGTCATGGTCAATCCACTGCTGGATGAAAGCCTCCCCGTCTCTCACGATGTTGCGGTGTGATAAACCACGCAGCACCTTGAACTGATGTCATCGCTCCATGTCCCTGGTGCACATCCCCTTGGATGCATTCCATTCCTAAGCTGCCATAAATGTTTGAAATTTAATGTAATTTGGTTGTCGTTTCGTCATTAGTGACCAGGCTGAGATCATCAACCTACTACACACGGGAACCCGGTTTAATCAATGTGAGGTTGCCCAGATTCGAACCAGATCAGGGCTCTGCCTTCTGGTCCATCTGGCCACCTCCCTCTGTTACTTATCTAAATCTCTGTGTTTGCAAAATCAAAATGAGTGTCGGCTCATAGATGTCTTGTCTGAAGGAGAGAGCGTGATGCATTGTCACCAATGGCCTGCTATGGATCCATTGGCACCAGGTAGCTGGATGAGAATTGAGGAACTGATGCTGGGATTGACCGTGCATCAGTGAATGACCAAAGCAGGACAAGGAATAAATTATAACTCGCACGTCCGATGTGCTCCACGGCAAATTGAGCCATGAGCCACGCATGAGGTCTAACAGAGACGGATTGGGAGTGTTGCCCGTGATAGATTAACGCGTGCTAAGCGAGTCGCAGCTGACCGCTTTATGGACGTCTTTTAAAAACGTTTTAAGGAACGGTTTCACGTAAATTCTTGATGCGACGAGGACGAAGCGAACGAACGCGCACGTAGTGAAGATTGACTGCGCCGGGGATTTTTTTTTGTTTAAACGACAAAAGCTAAATGAATTGTTACATTATTGAAGGTGCATGAAAACACACCTCATCAATTCACAAGTATTTTCACTGTGCGAGCAAAAGAAGTGATGTTTGGTAAAAGATTGCGTGTTTTTTTCTTCCACCTGTCATTGTAACTTTTAATGCATTTTTTAAAGAAAATATGAGATGTTGCTCATTAAAGAAGAAAAAAAAGTGAGATTTGCTGTGGAGGGTTAAGTTGATTGCGATTGCTAATGTTGTGCAGCACAGCGATGTACAATCAATTAGATTTAAATAACATTAAGTGTCGTGGAGAAATATGCATTTGCGTACCTTTCTGCCTAAGTGAGCACTAAACCCTAATAGTCATCAGCAGGTTATAGCCTACAGGGTGCCCCAGGCCTAATCAACATCCACTGGTTCATTCTGCACTCGCTTTCAAGATAACTCCAACTCAGAGCTGAGTCTGTAATCCTTATCAACAAGAACTGTGGCACCACTGAGTGTTCTGTACGCTGCGGTGTCTACGCTGCGCTTGATATACGTTGTGACCAGTGGCATTGAGAATACAGTTTTGGCATGTGGCATTGTCGTGTGACTTTCTAAATCGCCAGTGCGCGGTGCAGCTGATAAAATCGCAGGTGAATTTGCCCATTAGTTTTTTCAGTCAAATTACCTTGGACATTCACTCATCCACTTTTATGTGCGGCGCAAGAGGATGCAATCCTTTTATCTCTGTTTATACACGCAAATAACTCATTTTGTCCGAGTGGTAAATTATAGATAAACATAGAGCATAATAATCATCATTCTCAACATCAGCCTTGATCAATCCACAGCTGGAAAAGGGCTTCTCCAAGCCACCATCATCTCTCATAAGCTGAATTTATCGCTGAACATCCTCTAAGACATATTCCATTCCATGGCTGTCACTTTGTCACTATTCTTGACCTTCGATTAATTAACGAATGGACTCAAGGCACGTGACCAACAGAAGATGTTGCACTCAACTTGCTAAAAGCATGTTTGCTTATTGTATTGCCTGACTCTGCTAGTGACGGCATAAGGTGGCGGCTCATCCAGCAGTGGATTGTACAAGTGATTGCAGGACTCATCGTCTCGTACAAGAGCTCGTTGCCAATTGAAAGTCCTAAACGGTGACATTACACTGGTCAACACACTTTTTCTGGCATAAGGTATTCCAACGGTTTTAAGGTAATTTTGGGGTGCTGATTCCAAATCTGGCATCAGTTTTTGAGATATCAAATATTGCATTTTCAATAAAAACTGCAGAAGAAAAATATTAAATAAATGTGGATATCTACATAAAATGATATTATAAACACACTATCCTAAAAATACAGCACCATATTTTAACACTAAAGCAGTCACTGACTCGCAACAACTTGCAATCATAAGTGACAGAGTTAATTTCGGGTAAAATCAATGAAAATGGGGTATGCCGATAGCATAAAATGAGATGTGATAGAGCAAATCTGAGATCAGATTTGGAATCAGCACCCTGAAATTAGTCTAAAACAGCTGCAAAAGTCCAGGCCAGAAAAAATTGTTTTTTTGTCGTTGACCAGTATTATCGACGGCTTAATCATAGGTTGACGACCCTGTGAGGTGCCATCGGTGAACATTGTACATGTCCCTATCGTATATGTCATTGCTTTACTATCTGATAGACTGCAATTGTTTTTCAATCGTGTGTATTTGCTTTACTGTTGATCTTTTATAAAACTTGCAAACAAATGTAACCACAGGTAAAAATGTAAGTTCAAAATTAGGTACAATAGTAAATGCATTCATAAGCATGGGATCTGTGAAAGTCACCGCTAACACTTTCCACAACAGGAATATGACATCCTTCAATGTTTTTTTCATTTGACAATAATTAACAAATTCCTTAGAAGTCAGTGAGACATTACTAAGACACATGCATGCACGCATTGAACGTGTTCATTCTCCTTTTCAAGCATGGAATAGTTGTATTTCCATTCAACGTATAAACACAGTGATATTTGAACGTCGATCGCTTGTCACCAACTTGATATGCGTCTTGCACAAATAAATAGCAGTTATTTCTAATTGTACATTGCTAGGGAAGGGCATAACGTGAGTTTGCATAGTATCGCGCATTATAGACCACGGTGATTGTGGAATGCCGTTATAGACAAGATGATAAACGATGCTTAATGGTCGAATGGCGCATCATTTCATTGGGCATGTATTCATCCATAACGTGTCGTTCGTCTGTGTTCTAGTTTGTAAGTAATTCATGTGTTGTGGCCTTGAGTGATATATCACCATGATACACTCCAACAATCCACGCAGCCATCCACCCCACGTGTCTGACGTGTGGACATTTGTGAAACGCTTTCATATGGGAATGAAATATGAAACAATGAGGGAGAGAAAAAAAGCCCATCTGTTTTCGCCTGTGTTTGCACGGGTTTTTAACAAACCTGATTTGTATTTCTGCGGAAATTTCATTAATAAGTCAGGTGTGATTTCTCAAGATTTTAACAGAGCTGTTATCTGACAAAAAATCTAGCGCTGTCAAGTTTGTGTGTGTTTTAGAAAATTAAGATTCAGTCGGTTTAGATATACCGCTCGAGTTAAAAGTTTAGATTTATTTTCAACAAAGTTATAAAATAAAAGGGCAATTAGTTTTAGATGCCATTTTTTTAGAAGAGATGTAAAGGCTTTTAAATGTACTCGTTATTAACAAACAAAAAATGTTTATCAATAAACAAGGCTTACATTTGATGTAAATGCACAGATATATATTTGTGTGCATAACATAACACATTCACAGGTATTCATATAGTCCAAGGGAATGATCCTTATTTATTGTGTTCTTAAGGGCTTTTGTCAAGGTCACATTATTAATGTATACGTGATTTGTCTTGATTACAACACTAAGGCTTGGAAATTGTGCTTTATTTTTTTTATTCCCCGAGTGTTTTTTTCATTATGCCGCCCAGCAGTAAAATATGATTTATTGAAGACTCTCCGTGGCTTAATCGGGGAAAGAAAATTACTTAGTTTAAAATGCATTTCACTGAGCTCATATGCTCACTTTATTTGTATATTCAGTTACTTTACATTTTGGTAATATCCGAGCGTATTTTTTTTCCCTAGGAAAACCCAAAGGCTAACGCCAATCTACCCTCGGGCTGTTGTAAACCTTTACACGGATTCTGAAAAAGGTTCATTACGTTTGTGAAATTGCAATGAGTGATTTTCATTTTTACGTCAATTATTTTACATAATTAAAATGATACGGCCAATTCCAATTAAAATATAGTCATAACACGATTAACACTTGAACTTTCACATTGTATTTAGACATTGCTCAGAGTGTTAACGTGTTCTGCTTTTGCATATAAACAGTATCTTTGAATGTGGATGATAAAACGAAAGCTGTGTTTCCGTTCAAAATCATGTTGCATGGTCATTGTTTGTTCATTGCAAGGTAATGTTTTTTTTGGTTGGAGCAACACCGCTTTCTTTAAATGATGAATGAAGTGTTGGTCGGTTAAATGATCAGATTCGTCTTAATCAGACTTTACGAGATGAATTAGATTGGGCACCGGGGTCAGGATATCAGCACTGAATCAAATCCATTGGCTGTAACGTTAAGTGATTTACAAATGCTAACCACTATGTAAATACCGCTCCATTTACGAGGTTGTGTTGCTGTTCTCTCGTGCGCCCGCTTGTAGCTGTTGTACAATTAAAAGACGATCGCCACAGAAAGCGCCTTCACAGCTTCACGCCTTGCGAACCCATCGGGCAGTTTTTTTTTTAAACTAATCCAGACGTGAAGTCTCCTTGACAAGAATTAATGCCCGGTCAATTATTTATCTGTTTAGGCAGTCATGCAGATACAAATGTCTTCATCCACGAGCTATACCTTGCAAATTAATGTACGAGCTGCATATCCAGAAATGTCAGCAGAGTCATCCATTATAGCGCCCGGCGTGGTCTTATTTCATTAACTTGAATATGCAATGGCTTGAGGACAAAAACACAATTCGTCTCCGTGACAGATTTTTCCACTCAATTAGTGCCTGTGGACTTGTCTGCCAGAGAAAAATGATGTTGCATCCTTTAGTGTCAGCTTTAGCAGTCTTTGTCCACGTCATTACTGCTGGCTGCACACGTGTGTGCCGGGCACACGCGTGTTCCACGCTCACGTGTTCTGCCACCGCAACAGTTTGGTGCACTTAGAATATCCGTTAAACGTTGTTTGTTATACTCCGAGGCGGGTTACATTTTGTGGTGTGTGATTAATTTGGCTGCGCGTAGGATTTTCATTTCAAACCCGTTGTCATTTCCACATTAGTTTTACTGACAAAACGGTCAACTCTGTACACAAGTCTTTCAAACGTAGGGCGATGCTGTACCAATTTTTTGTGTGCCTAATAATGAACCAACTTTGTGAAATAAGAAAAAACAACAACACGTGCTTTATAAACGATTTCATGTTGAGTCACGTTTCAAATGTGCTATTGGCATCACTTAATTCGGCAGATATCAGTGCATCACACTCCGTCAGAGGATACCCCTGAAAGATTACGTCATAGAGCTAGTTCTGGAGTCGTTTAAACTAAATTTGTATCCGCACGAAGGGCATGCATTCTAATGCCCTGCAAATATACGGGTTGTTGCATGCCAATAAAAAAAAAGTTTTAAGGCTCACAGCTAGAATTTAGCCAAATTAATTGAAAACTCACACTTAACATAATGGGGTTTTATTTTTGTACAATCAATAGTGGCCAGGGTGAGACCACCAACTCGCTGTACTTAAGAACCCAGTTTAGTCCGCACATCCGATTAGCATGGCTATCTACGTACGGTGCGAAAGAAGTTCAACAAAAAAAACGTACATCGTCACTCGGTGGCTGCCCAAATTCTAACCCTTGACCTCGTTTGTCCCAGCTTAGTGCTCTGTCTATAAAAATGCAAATAGATGTTTTAAGCTTGATTCGCGACGTTCTCTCAATGTATTCACAGTGTTTTCTCGTGTACATGAAAGCATTATTTGGCCAATTATGTTTGTTTGTTTGTTTCCGTAAATCTTTCACCTCTCAAGGCAAACAGCTAAATGCATAGCAGCACTGCTACCGCTTGTTTAAATGAACATGCATTATAATTAATTGAAGCCTATTTTTTCAAGTAGTTATTCATGTATTATTATAGTTACTTATACATGAGAATTGTATATTAATTTCATCAATATATTAATTTTATTTGAATTAATCATTGACGCGATGAATTCCTAATAACCGCTTAAAATATATAAAAATAAAAGTTGCTTGTACGGTGCGCTATCAAAGAAACAGCACCACCTTAATCTTTGCATTTTATATCAAAAGATGTGTTTTGCACATATTAGAGGCATGTCATGATCTTTAATTTCAAGATTAATATTGTGTTCTGTAATGTATTTTGTATGTGATTTCAGAGCAAATTGGCCTGGATGTTACAAGACATTTGCAGAAGGACACAGAGAAACTGCAGTTGGTTAGAAGCCACGTAAGTCTATGCCGCATTAACACGGAGGGCTTAAAATCTCAAGCCATAATACATTTGTTCCTTGTACACATACAGATAGAACATAACAGAGGACTGAATGTTCCCTTGTATAGATCACTGCTGTTTTTTTTTTTCAATTTAATTATGGTAGTTATTTGTATGCAAGCCCTACACTCTGCAGCAGTCATTCCTTCTGTTTGTCCTTTTGACGCAGTGCCTCTTTTTTAAGTGCCGACTGAAGTGCACGCGGAAAGCTGCCACAGTGCAATGGTCAGCACAGTGGACCTGCAATCCAGAGTTTACCGGTTCAATCTCCCGGCACAGCAGATTTAACAACGGGCACCTTTATCACACCTCGCTGCCTCTGTCCACCCAGGAGTATAAATGGGTAGACCACAACCCGTTAATCGGCAGTGCGTGTGTGGTGGTGTAAAGGCGTGTGTACTTCCACCTCTTCCAGGTTGTGTGGCCCAACCGGTGTGGAACAGGAGGCCAAATATACCCTTGAGTAGAGTCCCTTATATCCAGAAGCTGCGTGAGTAATTGCAGGGCCGCACTTCTACCTTTTATATGAGCACCCAGAATGCACCTGATCTCATCAGAGCTTGGAAGCTAAGCCAGGTTGGGCCTGGATGGCGCCTGGATGGGCCACCGCGCCACTTGTCACGTTGTTGTGCAAGCGGCTGCGATGCTACATGACGGGCAGCAGAGGGCGGTGCAGCAGCATCCATTGTTGTACCGTGCTTCTATGCTCCCGTGCCTATGCGTCACACCGTTCACCAACCCGCACAAACAGGCATGGTGAAATATGGACAAACAACCTCCACAACTGGCATAGGGAAGCCCTTATCTGACAGCAGACAAGAAGGCTGTACGTGTATTGGATATTAACACAGCAACTGGGTGCCTTGTCGGTTTGCGCATTTTCTCCTAGGACATCAAATTACCAGGCTTTCTTTAGCTGTTTGGATCTAATTCTAGATTTGAAGCTTTCGTGACTGCAAGGATTCATATTCTTAGGTTTTTTCGATAAAGTCACGTAGGTAAAAAATTTAAATGAATAAAAGTAAAATAAAAAAATAAAATAAAAATCACGACGTTTCGGAGGCAACACAAGCTTCCGTCTTCAGGGCCTACCTTGGCTCCTCCCACCCTCAACCAGTATATATACAAGGACTGTTTTCTTGGAATTTCTCTCACTTGATACAGCTATCGTGCTGTGACGGTTCCACCTGAAGACGGAAGCTTGTGTTGCCTCCGAAACGTCGTGATTTTTATTTTATTTTTATTTTACTTTTATTCATTTAAATTTTTTACCTACGTGACTTTACCGAAAAAACCTAAGAATATGTTTGGATCTAACTCTGTATGTACCTCTCACCTTAACAAAGCTTGTTGTCTTTCGTAAATTGGATGTTGAAGACCGAACTTTGTTTGCTATATACATACATGTACAGTACTTCGGTGTGTCTGTCCTGGCCGTATATAGAAAGGCTGTCACGAGTACTGAATCCGAAACAAATATGCATATTTTCAGAAAAGCAATCATTGGACTAACTGTAGCAGCATAACTTGTTCTTATCCAGCCACCTTTTAAAATAACAAACTTTACATAGACGAGGGCTCAAGGGAAGCACGGATGTCAATTGGCATGACTCGGATGTTAAAACAGGTATTGTGATTTCGATTTAAAGCTTTTGTGACTGCAGGGATTCATCTTCTTGGTTCTTTCAGTAAAGTCACGTAGAAGGGAAATAATAAAATAATAAAAATAAAACATAATACAATAATTCTCACGACGTTTCGGCCACAACGCAAGCAGCCGTCCTCAGGTGAAGAACAGGTCTGTCGGAAATACATTCAGACGCTCTCTTTCCGGCTTGTGTTGTGGCCGAAACGTCGTGAGAATAATTTTATTGTTTTATTTTTATTATTTTATTATTTCCCTTCTACGTGACTTTACCGAAAGAACCAAGAAGAGGTATTGTGATGTTATCATCTTCTTGCATGTAAGTTGTCACACCTTTGGGGTTGTGTCAGTTGCTTTGAGCGATTACATATATATATGTATATAACTGCATGCGCAACCCTTTTGTCAATCTATTGCTGTGTGAGCCCCTCCCCTCCGTCCCCCCACGCTTGGGTGAGTCTTGAGAGTTATTTGACCATACTTCTCCACGCTGGTCAAAGCGGGTTTGCGAAGGCAGGAAGCGGAGAAGTGGGAAGGATAGAATAATCTACAAGCAGTCATCTACTTACGAACATCCGACTTACGGACACCCAACTTACGAACCAGTTTCGATGAAATATTCGTTTTTTTTACATCGACTTAAAACGTGAACTCTCACTTGCAAATTGAACCACGGCACGATTTTTGTTCAGCTGAGCGATCCTCCGCGAGATGTGATGAGTCAGCCTCGTGCTGGAACTGAGTGCTTGTGTGTTTGGGTATTTAAATACATTCGATTAATGTGTTCCGACTTACGGATTGGTCCCAGGAACTAATTGTGTTCGTAAGTCGATGACTGCCCGTACATCTGGTTTTGCTGCACTGCCCTCTGTTGCCTGCCAGAGTAACCTTGCAATCCCTATAACAACAACAATCTGTTTGTCCATGAGTGGCCCCTCATCCAAGTACTAATCCAGGCCCAACCCCTGCTTAGCCTCTGAGGTCTCACAAGATGATGACTGGGTCATATATAGGCTCGCTTGTCACGAATTATCTAAAAAAATACGAAAAGCCCTCCCCAACGGGGGCTGCCGTGAAGCAAACCGGCTCAGCTAGCGGTTACAGGACCGCGCCTTGAAATCGTGAACAGTTTTTTTAACGAACAAAAAAAACCACACGGCCTCACAGAGTTGCGCTTTATTGAAGGTTAAAAGCCAGCGGCTGCACCTCGCGGTGAACTCTCGTTTGGTTTATTTACCGACAGTGGCAAAGGTCAGCCGTATGATGCTAAAACGGGAAACGCGTTGCACTCTGATCTGCTCGGTAGTTTATTAAAGTCCCGCTCGCCAAAACGCGGCCGATAGGCAGCTCGGCATTTTGTACACAATAAAGATGTATCCTGTCCGCCGCGTCATTGGTTGGATGTTTCTCCCGAGAGGCCTAATTAATTTAAATTGCCGCCTGTGTGTGTGTGTGTACAGCGTGTACCGGTGCCTTCGGCTGTTAAAATTATGCGGCGGAGAATATAATCGGCATCAATGCAACGAGATGTGAAAGAATTTCACCACAAACGCTATTTTGTGTGTGCCGCATTCCGCTGAAAAACGCACTTTATAATAGACCATGGGTGATTATTCATTCGCTTTTAGGTCTTCTGGCTCACTCATTTTATAAAAGAGTTTAGGGCTCATTAATGTGGTCAACATGAATCTCATTATTTATCACTAATATTGATCAGTTTTTTATCCACTCAATTGCAAGTTTATCATTCTTTTTCGCATTATTTAGTTTTATTTGCCCCGTAATTTATTTTTGATTTAGCTTTGCAACTCGGGTAAGATGTTTTTTTGTTATATCTTTTTTAGTTTTTTTAGGCACCGTATATTGAGCAGGTTTTGTTCAGAACATCACGTGACATGGGGGTGGCAGAGTGGCTCAAAGGTCAGAGTGCTGAGCATCCACTGTAGAGATCCTGGGTTTGAATCCAGGCAGTTAATGCCTACGATTAAACTAGGTTCTCAAGTGTAGCGAGTTGGTCTAAGCCCAGTCACAATTAACTGCACAAAATATCTATTTAACTTTGAATTCGGTTCTACACTTAGCTTGGTTAAATTCCATATTTTAGAAGTAAAAATATTGGTTTGACCATCAAACATTACTCTTGATGGCAGAGAACATGTGAAATGCTGCCCTATATTCTGTTGACCAGAGGTTAACTGAATAGATTATCAGAGGTAGTTCTTTGATATCCACTTCCATGTGGGCTGCTTTCCAACACAAAGGGTTGCACTGCTCTGGTCGAGGTACAAATCTTTATCTCATTACATGATGCCAATACCACAATCGATCTAGAATTGGGAAAACATATGGATGGAATATAAGGAACGTATACCTGAAAATTACAGGAACGTGCATGCTGTATATGGTATGCAGGAATATGCATGCTGTATGTTGTTTAACAAGAACACAGCTTCCTACATAACCACACAAGACTGTAGAACTACAGATTTCCTATTAAACCAAATGTTTTTTTTAGCTTTTCTGCCGATGCACAGTCACTGATGTATTTGAAGCCACAGTGGAAATATGTTAACTACCTCGCCTGGTATACAGGAGGTCGTGAGTTCGATCCCGACCCCGACGCCTGCTTTTTAGCCCCCCCCCCTCCCGATACGTTCCATTCATTGGCTACCACATTCTGATAAGCTCCCCCCCCCCTCTCCTCCCCCTTAACTTGTATTTAAGAGCTTGCATCTTGGAATCCCTGCCTCACTTGATGCAGCAAATCTGGCTGTGACGGTCCCACCTGATGACGGAGACTTGTGTTGCCTCCGAAACGTCGTGATTTTATTATTTTCTTTTTCTTTTTTATTAATTTTAATTTAATTTTTTACCTACGTGACTTTACCGAAAGAACTAAGAGTATGAATCCTTGCAGTCACGAAAGCTTCAAATCTAGAATGTATATTTGGAGTTTGCGTGTTCTCCCCGTGGTCGCATGGATTGTTCTCCGGCTCCTACGATTTTTCCCTCTACATTTAGAAACGTGCGTTCAGAGCGTTTGGCTGTTCTACGTTTCCACGTTGAGCTATCATTTGTGGCCAGGTCGCTTCTGAAAAAGAGCTCCGTGGGCCTTTCCTGGTAAAATAAAACGTTTATTTTAACACTTAGGCTTTCGCGACCAATATTATCCATAATAGAGGTTATTGGGTTAGATAGCGTAAATATGTGTCGTTAAAACCCGCCACCACCCAACACACCACCCAGAGTTGGCTGTCGCCTGACGATGCTGGTTGTAATTACTGGTGAAATGTCGTCCTCTAATTGTAAATGTTGTGGGTTTTCTCTTCAACACACCGGTGTGCTGTACTAGTAATGAATTGGCATTCTTTGTTCACGTGACAAATCTTACTAATTGCCAATGTCGGGCAATGGCGGGTTTTCACGACACATTTATATTGACGCAATCTAACCCAAAACCTTCTGTTGTGATAGTACGGTTTAGTTTAATATGAGGAGGCCTTTGTACAGCAGTGGACAAAAAGTGATAATGATGTGGGTAATGGTGTTACAGGGCATTGCCACAAGGGCACAGTGAAGGATTGTAAGAGCATTGTGACCACAGTCATTGTCACATGTACAATCATGTCACACATGAGTGGAATCGGATTTTTTTTTAACATAATTATAGATTCATGTTTCTGCAATTGTGTTTTTTTAGAGGGGAAGTTGTGTGTGTGAGGAGACCCACATGCAAACTATCTTTTTCTAGAAGTTAAAACTCATCCAAGTGACAAAAAGATGAATTGATAACCAAGCATCTTTGAATGCAAATTATATAAGAACTTAAAAAAAACAAAAATTCAGCGTTTAACTGAATTGCGGAACAATGGGTCCACTGTAGTGTCTTTTAACTGCTGAACTTTAAGAACTTTGTATTTGGGGAAATACAAAATATGCAATTTTTATCATGTCGCCCCAGTCAAAGAAAAATATACTTTTGTGTGATTAAAAACAAAGAACAAAGACTTCTATGTATAATAATAATCCATACATGATAAGAATGACACTTTAGTAATACAGGAGGGAAGATTTGTCAAATTGAATTCTAAGCAGGCCCCATGGTGTAAGGTGCAGTCTCCAACTCGTATAATTGATTTTCTACGTCTCTGACCTCTTATTTATGTGCTCTGAAGAAGAGTCATTGCCCAAAACCTTTACGACTGTATTTTGTTTATTGTTCAGAGCCTCGGTGTTACTGACGAATGTGTTAAGCTTTTGTTGTTAATTGTGTCGCGGTGGATGAAGACGCTTTTTCGTTAAAGTGTCGGTGGTGTTGCGTAGTCGGCATGGGCCTAACTCAGGGGCTTAAATGGTGACCCTCCCACTTTTCAATGTCCCCCCCCCCCCCCCGTCGCCCTCTTAGCATGATCACTGTGCGGAAAATCCTGCATGTGACAATATTTTATTTAAAATTTGTTCAAATTATATGAGATAATATTTTTAAAAATACATTTGTAAGTATATATGTTTAGCCTAGAGGACTCGCTAATGGCAGCTTGTCCCTGTGCAGCGCAAAAGTGTCTCAGGACCGGCCTGCAAGTGGGCATTGGTCTGGCAGTAGGGGGCAATGCTCGTTGCTTGTGTCATCTCAATTGAGTTAAATTGTGAGTAATTTTTTAAACTCGGAGAATTTTGGACAATAACCCCAGGAGACGATGGCCGACTCTTTTAAAATGACGTTACGTTTAGACTAGTTGAGTGAACAAAGCGGTATTATGGAAACGGAGAAGGGATGGAATGCAAATGAAATGTCAAAATGAGATAATTAAAAAAATAACAAACAATTTAATAGAATCGTAGCTGTGAATTGTGACAATTCAATGAATCGTCTGGGATGGGAATGAATCGCTCCGTCTCGTTTCTTACGGCACACAGTCCCAAAGTGATTCACAAACCCCGTAGCCAAATCAGTGGGTTACCGGTGTGTGGAATTACCAACACTGTGTAGTCTATCCTCACACGTCTTCATTTTATTGCTCTATCACGTCACTTGGTCACCCTCCCCTTCCCTTATGTGTTTTTCTCTTTGTCATAAATTTACCAACAGTTCTGCTCATTATCATTCCTTCTAGTGGCATATACTGCCAATGCCATTTGCTTATTCTTTTTATTTGTAACTCGGTGTATTTGATATTAATTGACACTTCTGCAATCCACAGCCCTCCCCCCCACACTGTATTAGTCATGGGGGATTTTTTGACCATACTTCACCAAGCTGGTCAGTGTGGGTTAGTGAAGGTGCGAGCTCCCAAGAAGAAGGGACCACTCGCCTCCAGATTTAGCCGTGGCCGGGGATGGAACTCAGGTCGCTGGGTTCAAAGCCCCACGCGCTAACCACTGCACCAGAATTCTGTTGCTTGATCATTTCATGCTCCATCCACGTGATTTTTCAGGGTTTATTTACCATTTTATTTGCCCGTGACCATTGTTGTCGTCCTTGTTACCGGCCAGCACTATGCACTGATTTAAAATGTTTCCTCTCGAGCAATAAAGTGCGTGTTGTATTGTACCGAGAATAGAGTGCACATGACTAACAGTTCAACGTTTTCTTCTACAGTTACAGGACACACAGCGACACTTGAAATGCAGCAAGTACGTCCAAAACAGGATTGTAAACAGGTGAGTTTATCGTGGGCCCATATGCAAGGTCTGCTGATTAGGCTGTAAAATCTCCATGTCACATATTTAATGAACTCGGCCATTTGGGCATGCATTGCTTTTCTATATGTACATATGTGGAACTTCATTCGCACCGTACGTAGCCAGCCGTGCTAATTAGGGTGCTTTCCACACCCAAAAACACATTAATTTAGCAATCGTGAAATTAAGGGAACAGCTGACCTTGCATTAACCTACTCTTGCACAGTAATCCAACATTTGGTGGGAGTACGTAAGTAAGTCTTTAATTATCTTGCACACAACACTCACTTATAAACCATGAATGTGGGAGAGCAGATCATGTGGATATCAGTGTGGCTCACACTTCAGTAAAACCTGGTTTATAATGGGTGCGACGTGAATTGTGTGTGTGTTTTTTAAATCTGTTTGTGCTGGTGGGTACTCCCACCATTAAGATTTGTATCCACGGAACAGAGGACCAGATAAAAACAAGCGACATATGTTCACTTGATTCTCACTCGCGTAATACGTGCGTAAAAGTGTGCATGATCAGAATAAACAATCTTCTGTTGACATGTGTATTTTTTAAGAAATGCAAATAGAGATTTTGTAAAATGTTAGGATAAAAAAAGAAAGCTACGTAATAAAAAAAATACTTTTATTTAGATTCTGCACGGATTATGCAGCTGTATAATAATTCAATCTAGATTTGAAGTTTTCGTGATTGCAGGGATCCATACTCTTTGATTCTTTCGGTAAAGTCACGTAGGTATAAAATAAAATAAATTAAATCACGACGTATAATGATGACATGATATATAAATTGAGCAAGTTTCCTAAATTCCCCTGCCTCTGTCCATGCAGCAAGCGCAGTATAAATGAGTACACCACTCATAGTTGATCGGCAGGTCGTGTGTGGTGGGCAGAGGTCGCAACCGGGTACCCGATACCCGTACCCTACCCGATACCCGGCTACCCGTACCCGGCCGGGTACGGGTACGGGTAGGCCGTGAGTCACTGGTGAGTAACCGTTTGTCACTCATTTCGGGTAGGGTACGGGTAGCGAACGGGTACCCGTACCTGGCCGATTACGGGTACCCATTTGCGACCCTGGTGCGTCCGGGTACGGGTAAGGAATCAAAACCCGTTTGCGACCTCTGGTGGTAGGGTAAAGCGTGGGTACCTCCACCTCTCCCGTGAGCTTTCTCGAGCTTCCCTCTCGTGGAGCCCTTCTCCCCCCCCCCCCCCTTCCACCAGCAGTGGTAGTGAGCAAGCCATTTTCGGGCCGCACTTTTACCATTTCATTGTGGGGAGCCCAAATTTGTTTTTAAACCACGGAACACAGAGCTTATCTGTGAAGAAAGCCCTCTCTCCGTCCTTGGGGCCGTGGGCATGGTGGGAGCGGAGGGCAAATTGCCCGCTGTCCTAGCTCAGGTCACAGCGAGGTCCCATGTGCCCTTGTCACCTTGATGACCACCGCCTGATCATACATTCACTCTAAAGCCACGATAAGTTTGCTCCCCCCGCTTGTGAGCGAACGAGCGGCAGCAGCAGCCGTCAGCCTTCAGCCGTGCTTTTCAGGGGGCAGCTTCTGAGGCGGTGGCGGTGGCTGTGTCTGCTGAGGCCACCGTGAGTCTGCCGTACTTCACCTTCATTTGTCAGGAGAATATTTGCAATGGGGGGGGGGGGGGTAGTTGACACGGATGTGAGCGAGGGCACGCCACCGCTCTCAGTTCAAATCCCTGTCTTTGCTGTCGGTGTTTTAACGAACGATAGCTAAGTCATCATTTGTCAGTCCCCCACTGAATGAAGGATGACTCCCCCATGCTATGACACTCTTGGCTTGGTTTTCTTGACCATACGATGTTGGTCAGTGTAAGAGGTGGCCAGGGTCTGGTCGGATATCACTCGCTGCTGCTGATGTTTAGCAGCGGCTGGGAATTGAACTCAAGTGCGCTAACAACTGCGCCACCGTTTCACCTCAATTACAATTGCTTATTACAGTTGTGATTTGGCATTAATGAGGTAGCGCACATTTTATTTATTTACATTTATGTACAATTCATTGTCTTTTACCTTCAGCAAATGTGTATGATACAAGCATAAGTATAATTTGAAAGGAAACCTTTTACTGTATGTGTTAATATGATTTCACAATTCACTTTTGGTCAAACATGAGAATATTAATCCAGTACACCGTTGATATTATAGCAGTATCTAACTAAAAACAAAAGTACGCTCTTTTGTTTTCACGCATTAAAAATCAAAATCAATCTTCAGGATTTTAAAATTACCCCATGATGATTTGCAGTATTTATCAGTATGGCCGTTATTTATTTACAGTGTTTACTTATTATCTTGACATTATTTGATATGCAAATGTTGTGGCCAATGCACAAACAGGCCTTGTACCATCAGCCACAGTGGACCTCAGCACATGACCCTAAACATTTGTTGTGCCATACGGAACAGCATATGGCCGGGAACCTCTAAATGCATCCTAATGGTTTTGTTTTTTGTTTTTAAGCACAGGCTGCTTTTTGAAAGCAGTGAAAGTTTCTGCCAGTGTTTTTCATACGCTTAGATTTATTTTCTCCCAGACAATTGCTTATGAAGTGGTACCCAGCTTCATTAAAATGTAGCGTGTACCCTTTGCGAAAGGATAATATGTCATTCCCAGGTTCATAGTACCCGATAATGGTTTGCGTATGCAAATGCCAATTGTTAATTATGGATGCGCATGATACAAGATTCAACTAAACATGTGTTTGCTTTGCTGCGTTGACAGTGGTGCAGCAGCACAAATGTCATGGACATTGCTGGAGAAGTATAAAACAGATTGACGTTTGAGGTAATGGCCCTTTTTCAGACAAAAAAGCAAGGGCAGAGAGATTGAGTGCAGTGTAAGGTGCATGTGTTTGCCCTTTTTCAATCTACTGCTGGATGGGAGCCTCCCCACTTTGTGGGGGTTGTGGGAATTACTTAACCATGCTTCACCATACAGGTTCAGTGTAGATTGGTGAAGTCTGGCAACATAGATGTGGAATTGCGTACACCCTGAGAAATAAGCAAATTAAATGGTGACTATAAGTAAATATATTTAGAACGTTTTTTCCACTTTCAAAGCAATGACTTGGTGAAGTAATGTAATGGGATATGAAATCTCTTACAGCGCTGTGTAATAATACGCACTGATTAAAACCTTTATTCTGTAGACCCTTTGATATGTTGCTTTTAATTTTTAAGCGCTTCAAGGTGCTCTGGTCCACCTCTTTATTTCATATATATTTTAGGAATTAAAATGTGTTTTCTGAAAATCGGATCGAAGAACAATGGCATGAATATAAATTGATAAAATATTAACCGTGGCACATTTTTTGAAGACATAGCCAACATAACCAATTTAAACGAACTGGCCCGAAATGATAGAAGAAGAATAGAAATACAATAATTCTGCAAGGTTGGGCTCAACATAAATGTGTCAAAAATAAAGTCACGTACAACAAGTTTGCTAAACAATTAAAACTGTAAGTTTATACAATCAATGGACACGTCTGTAAAATACATCAGCGCACATATACTTAGCATAGTTATTAGAGGTGGACTTTGATTAAAATAAAAATGCAGGATGTAGCATTTCATAATAATAATAATTTAAAATTGTAACACGCTCAGAGGCGAGGAGGAACCATAGTGAGCCAGCTTTTCGGTCCTTTACATATTAAGGTGTTATCAGCAAATTAATTCGTGTTTTTACATGTGGGCGGAAACTGGGACCACCTTATGAATACCGTAAGACATTGAACACAATTCTTAATGAAGATCGCTCTGAGACTAAATATGGTGGCAAACATGTGATGAGAGTAGGAATGATGATGACGTTCACAGGTGTGACTGATTATGTTGTGAGGCAAAGCTGATGAGAGGAGGTCTCTTTGTGATTGTGATGGTGATGATGATCACGATGACGACAGTGATGCACTTATGACTATTGCGTGCTCGGGAAGGCGATGGTGTATTAATTTGAGATGAAGTTGCTCGCCGCACATTATTATTATTATTTATAGAGGACACATTGTGTTGAACACGTGAGTCTGTGATAGTGGCAGGGGTTTTAGTTTGAGCCGTTTTTGTTTGTGTCCACACAGACATAACAAGTACCCGCTGTCCAAATAGTTTTGATAGCTGGGCACCGTGCTTATTCCAGCGCAGCATTCCTCAAAAAGTTTTCAAGTGCGGCGTTCGAACTTTGCACAAAGCGTAAAGAAAAAGAAAGAAAGGAAGGGAAGGAGACAAAAAAAAAATCCAGGTTGAGTCGCTCATATATGCACGCTTAACTGGGAGGTGTCGGACGACTTGAGCTGGGTAATTACCGCGCACTGTCAAAACAAACTCGGTGGCGGAGGCTGACGGGGGAGCCCTGTGTGCATCTCTGACCTGCCTACCATTAATAATTCACGGTGCGCGTTTCACCGCCTCGGCGCGGGCACCCCACCTCCCAGCCGCCGCCGCCACCCTCCTCCCCCCGCTCCCCCAGGACGGACGCATTAGGACTGTGGTTATTACTCGCTTGTTGTAGCGGCGAGTCGTGGGGCCGCCGGTTGGGGACACCGCGGATAGTTCCAATTCACACAGCGCCAGAGAGAGATTCCGGACAGCTGTTTGCTGGGATGGTCGTGCAGCCCCATCTCACCCCCCCCACCCTCCTCCCAATCGCAGGTGGAGGACAGACGGAGGGCCGGAGAAATAATTACGTGTCACGGCTCGGCGGTGTGGCAGATCCGTGAGCATCGCGTGCCCGCTAATGCATGGCGTCGCACAAATTATTCATTGGGCTCATAGTGTGACAGTTTTGCATGCGGTTAGAGTGGGGAATCTGTTGAATTATGAAATTTCTTTATGCTGAAACTTTAATAAGTAACATGCTAATTTACGTTCTGTGTTTTTTTTTGGCTATTATAGATTCTGGGGATATGCCTGTTGAAACAAAGTTTCAGCGGTCTGTTTAAATTACATCACTTGCATTCAAAGAAGAGTTCTTTTCAGAGTTAAGAGCTGGGATTGAGCGGCTGTTTCATTATTGAGTTTTATAGGCTGTTGTTTTTTTTTTACAATATTATTCTGTAAAGCAATCATTCTACACCGTACACACACATTGTGTTCACGGATCCACTTAATATTCCAGAAGCCTTATATACATTTCAGGCTAAATGTGTGTTTTTCATAACTAAACGTCAGCGTGTTTTCCGATACGTAATTTTGTCAACATATTAGCAAAATTATCCATTTATATGATGGAGCATCGAAAAGGTTAAGTAGTGGAACATCGGTTTGCTCACCGTGCCATTAACCCCTGTGATCTGAGTTCAATTCCTGGAGATGGTTAACATCAGTGGCAAATGATATCTGAAACAGTCTTCGACACGCGCCCACTTCACCCAGCCACACTGACCAGCGTGGTGAAGTACGATCAAGCAGCTCCCGTGACCAGCACGACGTGGAGGAGGAATCCATGCAGCAGTCGATTGACAAAGGGCTGTACATTGTTGTTTTATTTTTCGCTAGAATATATTTCAGAGATTGTAAAAAAAAAAAATCTCGGAACTACCACCGTGTCGACTCACAAGCAGCTACAAGCCCTCCGTGTAGGTTCATCTCCATTGACAAGGGGTCACTGTGTACCTTTGCCTATCGTAATTCAAAGCCACTTGATTGTCATGGCTATTTCCCCCCATCAGGGAATTGTTGACAAATCACTCAAACGATGGGAACATATGCTTGAACTGACAAACCACTTTACCAAAGCTGCAATTTGCATATTGGTGCACGGCTCGCACCATTGCCGGTCTGTTATCTTGCAATAAATAAAAGCATGACCGCGGTGTTGTCCAGGCGGACGGGGATTTTCCGCATTGAAGTTGTGTCCTTGGCTCTTTATCCCAGCCAAACAAGGGGACACTGCCATAGCGCCGTTGTTAAATATGCACGTTAGATTCGTGGAAGTTTGCTCATTTGTGGATTAGTTGGACAATGAAGAGCAACAATTCACGGCACAGCCTCCTGAGAACCTATAAACTATAAAACGATCAACTATTTTATTTTATCCGGGTAAGGCCCACTGAGCTGTATATTTATTTTTCAGAAGCGATCTGGGCACAAATGATGGATCGACGAAGTGCCTCATCTTGTGGCAATTTGTAGCAGCCAAATCCTCTAAAGCAAACGTCGATTCGAAATGTGGAAGGAAACACCGGAGGACCAGGAGAAATATCCACGCGATCACGGAGAGAACATGCGAACTCCAAATGTACAGCAGGCGCGAGGGTCGGGTTGACCCCACGACCTCCTTTATACTCGGCGAGGCAGTTAACATCTCACCACCATGGCATCCCTCAGGACGTCCACAAGTGATGCACGAATGATGGCAGCGAACCGAAAACCTGGGTGCCCTTTCCCAACGAAACTGTCGAACGTGAGACCTCTTTACCGAGGCAACGACGCCATCGCATGCCGTACATCGCCATACCATCGGTGGGATAATTTTAACGAAGATAATTCACAGCCCCCTTTGTCAATCCAGTGCTGCTGGGTGAAGACCTCTCCCCCCCCCCCCCACGTGGGTTGTGGGTGTTTGTCATCGTGCTAATGGTGGGGAGCGGTAGCGTAGTGGTTAGCACTACGCTGCTCTACGAACCCGGCGAACCGAGTTCGATTCCCGCTCACGGCCATCATCACCAGTTACAATTATCTGAACCGGTCCTGGGCCTCCCCTAGGTCGACTCGGCCTCAAATGAGTACCTAGTGCGATGTGTGAACATCGCCACTGGGGAGACAATGGCGGTCGGGCGTTGTGCTGGCCACCCACCCCCTCGTGTGCCGTGCCGGCCTTCATAGGTGCTCGCTAACAGCACTTGCCCCAACAGTCTGTTACAGGCTACACGGGGGCTCTTTGTCTGTGGTGGGGGGCTCTTTGTCTGTGGTGGGGGGCAGGCAGAAATGGTTCAGATGTTATTCCAAGACCGATGCTGGCAGATGACGGGAATTAAAACTTAGGTCGCCGAGTTTCAGGGTGCAGTACACCACAATCACGACACATTAATGTTTTGGCTTTTTTAACATCGCAAATCTATTTGTTTCTATCTCTTCTGTTTATTTGTTTGTTTTCCGGCTGCATGAGTCATCGGACGCATGGATTGAATGTTTTCTCCCCGTGTGTGTGTGTCTGTGTGTCTACATGTGTGGCTGTGTACTTTATTGGGTTAAAAAAAGCACAATTACGCTCCGCTGATTACACACAATAAGTTGAACCATGTGTGTGTTCCTTGGGTAGTTTTTGCTGTTTGGAAGTGGGTTTGGAGCTGGATGATTGTGGCAACAGGGAAGTTGTGCTAATGGCTATTTGCAATCTGTTGGTCTGTGTATTCTGCACACTAGCTGCTCCTAACGATATTTAAATATTCAAGTAACGTTTGATCTTGTATTAGTCGGGGCTCGATGTAACATTCATATTCACACCATATATTAACAGTAAAGTTGTAATTTGGTAAAAGCAACAGAGAACTTCCACAAAAAAACATCCCGCAAGTGTGCATGTGCCCATTAACCCCGTAGAGCGATCTGCTTCAACTCAACTTCAAAGGCCACGAACATCTGATGCTGGGCCTAAACGTGCTGTACACTCATATCATCGTCCGCGTGCTCCCCGAGTTATCCCTTGTACAATTTGCCTCTCGAGGTGTACATGTTAAGGTGCCGTGGAACAACCCAGAAGACTGAGTGGACGGCGCTTAGAAACGGCGTTGAATATTGCGGTGTGAGCGACGGCGTTTGCGATAAACCATTGGAGAGGTCAGATGCTCCCCCGCGCCAACCATGCGGCAGCCTCGTGGGAATCGCTCACTCACGCTCGCTGATTGATCTCAGCTTTTGAAGGAAAAACTAAAAGAGAACGGAATAATCCAGTCAATAACCGTCTCCGCTGCTAATCCACTGTAAGCAAAACAGCACTCTGGGTACATTGAATGTAATTGACTGTGGTGCTTCTTTATCGACTTGAAATCTAAGCAGCACCGTTGCACATTAGTTTGTTAGAGCTGGCATTTGCCAAGTGCATTCTGAAGTGGTTTGACAGCTATAGGACTACACGCCGTAACCTTTGGCTTACGGCGACAGGGTAGCGGTAACACGTGCTGTTGGCTTGCAGCAGCGTTGGCTGTCAACTGTCGTGTTGCTGAATTGGAAATGCGAAGCGGTTCACGGGAGAGGCCCAGGATGATTTCCTCGACATAAAACATTTAAGGCGTTTTCTTGTAAATATTATGTATATTATCGAAACAAAATTCACTGAAAATTATACTGACTTCCTGGGAAATTATTCATTTTTGATCTGCCAACCCTGGATTTGCAAGACGCTCCAAAGATATATAATTTTTTGTGACGTGTCCCTTTGATCTTTGAGATAGTAAATTGGGAGCAAAATTAAATACACCCGAAAATGCTTCAATTAAAATACCAAATGAAACTTTAATTTGAAAACTGCATCAAATATTCATGATAAACATTTACATGTTGCTAGCAAACCTAAGCATGCATATCTAAAATGCAATACATTGTAATGCATTTATCATGTTTAAGATCGTGCATTGTTTAATGAAGCTATCGCACGTTTATAAGCATACAATCTTGGAAACATTTGATTAAGTGCCGTACCCCTTTGAGGATTGATGATTCCATAGAACAGCCCCAATTTATGGGGTGAATCTAAACGCGCCACCCCAGTGATTGCTCAGTGCCATCGAGAGTTTGTTAGCTTTTCCGAGGAGAAACTCGAAACGTAATTCAGTGAATCCCTCGGGGGAGTTTCACATTGCTGTGGTGTTTGGCTCCCCGAAGTTGACAATGGCAGTCAAGTTCAAGTTCATTTATTAGGTATAGCCCTGTGAGCCATTCGGCTCTTGAATCGGGTGCAACCGCAACAAACAGAAAACAGAAACATGAACAAAAAACATCTTAAAGTGGCTATGTGCAAACAGAAAATCCAAGAAAAGACAGCAAAATATTGCAGAAAAAGCACCGTACACCAACACTGTGTGCAAAAATCCCAGTGGGATGCAAGTCAAACAACAACAATCACAAGACAACTTAGATTTAAGGCCATCAGTCTAACTCTGTACTACAACAAACAAACATGGCCAAACCAAAAAACTTTTCGAAAATGACCAAAATAAAACCATAAAAGCAATGAAGCAGTGATCATAGGAACTGTGACCGAATTTTCACAATAAACGACGTAAACAACATGTACCACCAAACTCTGCAGCCATAGCTGGCTGCACGACGCTCCAGAAGCTGCCGCCGCCGCTGCGAGAATCCGCTGCGCGCGTTGTCGCTCACCGATGGGGCCCGCTTGTCCCTTCTCTACGAGTTGCGTGCAGAATCTTGAGCAAAAGCATTCAAACAACACGGTGGGAGTTTCTTATCTGTCATGTTTTCCAAAATGATGGGGGGGGGGCGCGGTGTTTTTTTTGCAAACTGTAGGTATGTTCTTTATCGGTGATGAGTTGTCTAAAGTTATGTTGGGGCTTTCCGGAGTTCCGAGTCGGCTGTGAGTGTCAGCGCATAACCGGTTTAATTCTGATACAACCAACAACGCTACAGCGCCTTTTTCAGTCCACTTCTAGAAGAAGGCCTCCCTCCCCCATGCTATATTGGTCGTGGGGGATGTTTGGCCTTGCTTATAATAATTTTTTTAACAAATTATAATTTTATTAAATTGAATCTCGAAACGCTGAACGTCGAAAGCCACGTGAGCGTCAACATGGTACGAGACATACCGCTGAGAAAAAAAACGAATGGGATCAAGGGTACGGGAGGGAGTGACAGTGCTGCGGTTAGTATGCTCGCTACGAACCCGGCGACCCGAGTTCGATTCCCACTCACGACCAACACCAGTGACGATTATCTGAACCCAGTAGTGGACCTCCCCTAGGTCAATTCAGCCTCAATAGAGTACCTGGTGCGGTGTATAAATATTACCTTTTAAGAGACAAAGGCGGTCGGGCGTGGCGCTGGTCACCCACCCTCTCGTGTGCCGTGGTGGCCTTCAATGGGTGCTTGCTAACAGCACTTGTCCCAACAGTCTGTTTAGGCTATACGGGGTTTTTTTGTCTTTAGAGGTGAACACAAAATGAGCCATGTTGGCAACCTCCGTCATGCTTTCAGTGTGGGTCAGTGAATCAGAGATTTCAACGATTGTAATGTGTTAGCAGAGCGTGAGGCTGCACGTGGCTTGAGACTGGACCTCTACAAGGTTAGATCATGTGTAGACACTTCCCCTGCGTTCCCCGACTGTGCACCATCAAGGGGTTGTTGGGGGGATCTGTAAATTTGAAACGTGTTTCCTGGTTTCCCTGTGTCCCCCCCCTCCCGCTCTCTTTAATCGCTGCTTATGAGCACAAGAGTCGCCAGATTTATTGTCGCATAGTTTGGGCCGATGGGCCTTCTTCTTGGCGTGTGCTGTGGAATTGACGAGATCCGCCACTGAATAACCCAAGAAGTCAACGGTCCATTTTCCTGCAGCAGCATGCATGAGATGTGTGTCACAGGCTGCTGTCTGACACAAATCTGAAGCTTTGTTCTTGTGAATTTTTTTTCTTCTTAAAACCACAGTCAGGAGCACTAAACTAACATCACTGCATTTACCGCCTTTGTTGAAAATTCTGGGTCACTTTAGTGACCGTGACTGAAGTAGACCCGAATGTGATTTGAAATAAACGTTTCCGATTCATGCAGATTCAAAGCTTTGCATTTATGTGGTATAGTTCAGGACACACAGCTAAGGTACATGTATTTAAATTGGGAATTTTATTTTAAGGAATTCATTGTGGTTGTACACTCACAGAACGGATGTTCTTCAAAAAATGCACCTTCTGTCAATGTTTGCACTACTGGCCTATGCATGTTGACTCATTTGTTGCCAGTAAAGATTTTAAGGTGAGTCAGTTTTTTTGTGTTACATCCGGAAGGGAAACTTCCATGTCTCCGCTGTCATCGTCAACTGTGCAGTGGATACATTTAGCAGGAAATGTAGACAACATAGTCTTCCCCGAATCGGCTATGGTCTGATGCAATCGGGCGTCGACCCACTGCTAATTAAATATTTCTGCTTTTACAAATGTGCGTTAAGGTGACACGGGAGGTGAGTGTGATGGAACATTGGGCATTTGGCGACGCGCCTCGCCCCAGGTCCCTTTAAACCTCGCGAGCTGCACCGCCACGGTCCCGGTATCACCTGTTTTAGTCTTAAAACAAAATTCCGAGCTTTTAGGAAGTGAATGGGGTTCTCTTGAAAAACTCTTAAGCCGTGCTGATATTTGGTCAGATTGTGGTGTGGCTTTCTGGAATTCAAGCGTGGATAGCCGCTATCTGATGGAGGGGGGGGGGGCTTTGGGGGGACCAGCAATACTGTCGTGTGGGCGCGTGACAGCACCTGTGGTCTTGAGAAAGCTGCAAGTCTGCGCCACCGACTTTCCCAGGAAATTGTGCTGGACGAGCCAAGACGCTGTCACCTTGGATGTCAATGTTGAAGTCTCGGGCGGTGCACAGCCTCACGCCCTGGCCACACATCGTCACGATGAGTCCCCGATGACACGTGGATAAAACAACGCGGAGGTTAATGCAACCCACAGCCTTTCGTGGCGTAGTGAGTGTCAACTCTTATTCATAGCCATTTTGTGATTTGTGAAAGCCAAAAAATTGCAGTTTTAATATCTGTTAAATAGTCTTCAAATAATAAAACTTGGATTAATGACCTGTTATAAACAGCGACTTATTGTCAATTCAGTTCCAGTCATGCAAACAGATACAAGTGTTGTTGTATTTATTACATATTTGCAGTGCACAGTGTTCACAACATTACGAGCATTTTTTTTTTTACGTTTCATAATTGCTATTCATTAAACACACCAAAAATTTGGAGCCATATGTCAATTATTCATTTCAAATGTTCCGTGCTCTATCGTAGCGTTTTCAACATCAATGATCCAGATGCAAAGAACCCAAATAAATGTGGCTATATAGAGATATTGTCATGCTGCGGTTGCAGATTGCATACTCTATATGTTCTTGATGATAACTAAGCGAGGTCATTATGATAAGAGAACATCTAAAAACGCACATCAAATTATATGTTGCATATATAAAATAAATTGTTAAACCGGCAGATAGCAAGCCAGAAGCCATGCAAACCATGTGCTCGAGGAGAGTAACAAGTCACCAGGCTGGGTTTTGGCAGAATGATTGTCGGCTTTTTTAAAATATAAAATTGGAGAAGTTCCGAGTCATGCAAATCATGTACGGTCGATCACGGACAACATGCACCGATTCCGCCACGTCCCGTGCCACCGTTGTGTAATGATCCCAAGTGGGCGAAGTCCGGGCTAGGTTAGGGTTAGTCTGGGTTAGGGTTAGGCTGGGTTAGGGTTAGGCTGGGTTAGGGTTAGGCTGGGTAAGGGTTAGGCTGGGTTAGGGATAGTCTGGGTTAGGGTTGGTCTGGGTTAGGGATAGGCTGGGTTAGGGATAGGCTGGGTTAGGGTTAGGCTGGGTTAGGGTTAGGCTGGGTTAGGGCTGGGCTGGGTTAGGGTTGGGCTGGGTTAGGGTTAAGCTGGGTTAGGGTTAGGCTGGGTTAGGGTTAGTCTGGGTTAGGGATAGGCTGGGTTAGGGATAGGCTGGGTTAGGGTTAGGCTGGGTTAGGGATAGGCTGGGTTAGGGTTAGGCTGGGTTAGGGTTAGGCTGGGTTAGGGTTGGGCTGGGTTAAGGTTAGGCTGGGTTAGGGTTGGGCTGGGTTAGGGTTAGGCTGGGTTAGGGTTAGGCTGGGTTAGGGTTAGTCTGGGTTAGGGTTAGGCTGGGTTAGGGATAGGCTGGGTTAGGGTTAGACTGGGTTAGGGTTAGTCTGGGTTAGGGTTAGGCTGGGTTAGGCTGGGTTAGGGTTGGTCTGGGTTAGGGTTAGGCTGGGTTAGGGTTAGTCTGGGTTAGGGTTAGGCTGGGTTAGGGATAGGCTGGGTTAGGGTTAGTCTGGGTTAGGGTTAGGCTGGGTTAGGGATAGGCTGGGTTAGGGTTAGTCTGGGTTAAGGTTAGGCTGGGTTAGGCTGGGTTAGGGTTGGTCTGGGTTAGAGTTAGGCTGGGTTAGGGTTAGGCTGGGTTAGGGTTAGGCTGGGCTAGGGTTAGGCATCATGTGCCTCTCAGCACATGATTCACATTTCCTGCGAAATGTACTTTTTTCTGTCAACGTCTTCAAATGCGGTTACACTTAGATGCAATGTAAATACAAATTGCATTGGGATTTCTACGTAATTTGCGCGTTTTGAATTGAATTGGAACGCAAATGCTGACCAAAGGGAGAGGTGTGATGGCCTAGAAAAATGACATTCTGGAGGTGTACGTTTCAAATAGTGATTTTATGGCAACGCAAGTCACAGCTGACCACTGAAGCCGCCTGTTTAAAAGACACTTCAATCTAATCTCTGGATCGACGCCTCCGTCCTATGCGTGCCATTCGCACAACGAACGCGAGCGATCACGCGCGCTTATCTGCCCTGGAGAAGAGAAACTGAAACGCAGCGGTTATATTTAACCAAGATTAGCAGCCCCCGCGCGGTAGTCCGTGATAGACTGCCCGTGCTATTTGCAATTTGGCAAAATGTAAAACCAATATATTTTTTGTCCTGCTTGGAGGTGGGGGGGGGAGACAGTGGGAATATCTCTGCTGTGCGTGGTGTTTGTTGAGCACAAGTTCGCGGGGTTCTGCTCATTCCTTTCCTACCTTATTCTTCTTTGTCATTCTTTGTGACAGTCTTGGTTACAGGATCAGCTCTGGGCCCAATCATTATCCATTTTGTAAACATATACACACATGCCTTAGTAAATAGAGCTATAAAGAGGTCGAAATTTCAATTTCAATCATTATGTCTTCTTTAATATGAAGCATATGGACAGTATATTAAATAAAAGCTGTAGCCTTGAATGTCAATCCGCGTTCTTTTATATAGTATAAAAATGTCCGTGTAAAAGTGGATGTTTGCACCCGCACCAGAATGCGTTTGAGCCAGGGTTCACTTCCTGGCGATACACACCAATAATAATCGCTATTTAAAAGTCACTGGAGCCTTCCAGGGAAAAGCACAATCTACAATGAGTGTGCTCCATCGACATTAAACGTGGGAACGCAAGTTGGCCATGCAAACCCTTCGTTGCGGTTGCGACACGCTGATCTACTGGGTGCTCGCTTTACGGCACTTGTTCTTAGAGTGTGTAAGGCTAAACGGAGGATCATTGTGGTTTATAAATATACATTTCCTTTTAAACTCAGCATTTTTATACTGTTTTCCTGTTTCTATAAATAAGGAAATGACTGCACCTGTTTCAAGTTTTCCTCTTTTAACTTATCGCTAAGTAGCCGTTTGGATATGGCTTACAAGAATGTTTATTTTTAATTATAAGGATTTAAAATGTATTGGCTGCGACCTTTGTAAAGCCCCAGTGTGGGGCTGTGTTTGTAACCCCAGTGCAGCAGGCACGCTTGCATGGGTGAGTGCGTAGAAGCCTCGACTATGTTAAAATAAAGTTTAACGTTCCACCGTTGGTTTTTAAACAAAAGAAAATTCGCAATTTCGAATAAATACCAAATAGTAAATAAACCACAGAAACGCGATGAAAAAAAGAGGTGGTTCCTAGCACACTCAACTATTACTAAGTCGGTGCGGCTATATTGGAATGTGCATTCGGTATGCGTTTGCTGTTATAAATAACGTGCGCGCTAAATGAACTGGGAGTTGGAATGCAGTGTGAATCACCCATAACCCAAAACCAAACTTCCGGCTAGCTTTTCCATCTAACCCCCACTCGATCAGTGAAGTGCTGCACCCGGCGTAATGTGCCATTTACTTTACAGAAACTTTCCTTCCGCCAGAGTCCAACCGACACGAAATGTCATCGGTGAACGAGAGCTGCTGAAAACAAAGTCAAAACGAAATCGCGATGCGTAAAGCTTTGCGAATAAAGGCAAATGCCGCGCGTTGGTTAATTACAAGAATTCACGTGCTTTCGTTTACTGGAAAGAGAAACAATTTTTGTTGGAGTTTTTTTTGGCGGGGGGGTGTTTTAATGATGATGATGATGACTTAAGATAAGACTTGGACGGACAAATAATGTCGAGGCAATTCTCAAGCATTCTGGGCTAACATTGCAATAATAGTTTAAAATAATCATTTAAACAAATCAATTATTCAGCACTATCGTTTTAACACACTGTAAATGCAGTGACGTTGTGAGAACATGGTGACTGAGCTCCTAAACTTGATTTTTTTAATGCTTAAAACTTGTGTTGGAAAGCAGGGGCCAATTCGTTTAGGCAAATATCTACAAAATGATCGGATTTAGGTGTGCTCATGCCTTGAAGGACAGCTAACACGTTAATTTGCTTCCCATTCAGGGTATGTTGAGACTGGGGTGAAGCGGCGGTGTAGTAATTGACGGACTGCACAAATTAACCCGGCCGCCTGAGTTTAATTCCCAGATACAGCTAACATTAGTGGCGAGTAATATCTGAACCCATCCACTCCCTTCACCAACGCGCACTGGTCAGCATGGTGAAGTATGGTTAGACAACCCCCACAACTAACCATGTGCGGGGAGGCCTTCACCAGCGATGAATTGATAAAAGGCTGCAAAATTGTTGTGCATTGCAATTATTATTACGGTGAGATTTCATAACCCATCTCTGTCCGACCCCATGTGCCCCCGATCACCATTTCCCGTATTTCTCCCCCAGATCTTTGCAGAGCTGTGCACTGGCAGTTGCCTTGGCAGTGTTCACCCTCTGCGCCGTCGCACTGTGCATCTACCTCGCCCTGCACAAACGCAACCACGGCGCCCTCCTACTGCCCTCCACCGACGCGCCCGTCGCGTCCACGCGCTCCCCCACCACATGAAGAGACCAAGGTCCCGCCTCAGAGGTGTGGGCTATCCTGTCCTGGGTATAGTGGGGCTTGCCACGTCGCTCAGGGGGTGGGGGGGTGGGGGGATGTGTTCCGTCTCTTAAAGGCGACGCGGCGAGGCACGAGTCGAACGTTGGGGTGGCGACGTGACCCAACAGTAGCACACTTTCCACTTGTTGCACAGGTTTCATGGTTCAGAGCCAACCGGCCGCCCTAATTAACACTGTGGGTTCATAAACCACGAACATACAGTGGTCGTTGACGATCCTGTCGTGTTTTATATGTGTTTATATTTTAAAGAAAAGATGGGCCATGTGTGCTGGGATGACGATCGAAATTTAGCTTAATTTTCGAATGATTCATAAATGACCTAATTGGGTAAAGCCACCTAGCAGCTTCGATACCTTATGTAAAAGTACTGCAGATAATATTCATCTGCAAACCATAGTGCATTCATGGATAGCCTTGTGCTATGAGAATGTCGTGCACACTAAATGTTTATGACTGATTG